CCCGCCTCCTTCCGCAGCCAGACCGAGGGCACGTCTGTCTCTGCTGCGCCCCGCTCTGCACCTCCCCGGCGCAAGCAGCCTTTGCTGCCCCCTGGACCTGAGGTCCTGCCTTCCGGCTTTTCTGATATGTGATGCAGGGGCAGTTGCTGGTGTTTCCTCTCTGCAGATTTCAGGTTGAATACACACCGAAGGTTGGGCTGAATCGGGTTTGCTATTTGTTGTTTTGGCACCTACAGAGTGCCTGTCCTGATGGGAACAAACGTGCTCCCCAGCTCAAAGCTGTCACCGACACTTCTGGCTAACTTTGCTCAGCCTTCTTCCCCATCTAAGTGGGTTTCCGTGTAACCCGAAGGAGGGGGTCACGGCTCCCCGTGTGCAGTGACCAATGTTCGTGAGCTGGTGCAGGTCCTGAGCTTGGCAGGCTCGGATAACCCTCCTCCGAGAAGGGCCCAGAGACGAAGGGTGTGGAAGAGGATGGGCGACACCCCACTCCACCCCGGGTGAGGGAAGGAAGGGTGAGACTGGCTGGGTTCCCGCCACGAGATCCTGACTTCATTCATTCGCTCGTCAAGACAAGCCTACTGCGAGCCAGGCTCTGACCTGCCGCTGGGAACTGAGTCCCCTCCTGACCGGGGGCGCTGGCGCTGTAGGCAGAGGAGTGGGGTGGCCTGCAAGAGCCGCGAGGGCTCGGCAGAGGGTGCGGTCAGCCACTGGTGGTCAGGGAAGGCTTCCCGGAGGAAGACTCCCGCAACTGCGTGGATGACTGGTAGGAGCTAGCCAGGGGGCGGGAGGGGAGGGACTGCTTGGGACGAGGGAACCGTCAGCGACGACGCTCTGGTCACTCACGGACCCACGCCAGCCAGCGAAGCAGCACTCCCGGCCCACTCCCCAACCCACCCACCCCCTATCCTTGAGGCGGAGCGTCTGGGCGCGAGCCGGGGGAGGTGGTGCCAGGACCCCTCGCGGTGGCTGATTGGGCGGTGCGGCCGAGCGGAGTCGGCTCCGCGGGCGCCGATTGGTGGGAGAGAGCCGGGCTCCGCCGCCAGGTGTTGTCTAGAGCTGGTACCCGCGGCCACGTGGGGGACGGCGCGGGGCTGAGCGGGCGGCGGAGAGGCTCGGAGCTCCTGCGAAGGGACTCGAGTCGACAAGCGGCGGCCGCAGTGAGTGAGCGCCCGGAGCCGGGCAGGGCTGGGGTCGGCGGATCGGCGGGAGAGGGGCTCGGTCCTCACGCGCAGAGATGGGGGAGGGTCTCAGATGGCGAGAGCACCTCTGTCCCGCCTCCGTCATCATCCACCACATCCACCGCCACCTCCGCCGGCCCTCCTCCAGCGTCCTGCCTCGCTCGCCCCTCGGTGGGTCCGGGGAGTTTCCCTGCCCCGGGCGGGGCGATTGCCAGCTGAAAGCCCTGGCAGTGCTCCCCAGGAACGACAACAATCGTAGGAATAATAACCCACGCCATAGAGCGCTCCGCACCGCCCGGGCGCTTCGCCCCCTTAATCCTGAAAACAGCACGTTCCACTCAGTGTCGCCTGTTTGGAGAGTCGTGCTCGACCACCCTGTATCAGATAGCACCCCCCGCCCCCGCTCCTCCCTCCACACACATGCACGCACACCTATCTTCTCCCCCTACTTCATTTCTTTCTAAATCGTTTACCCACTCACCAAAATGTTGAATTTCGGCACCGTCCCCCAACGCAGCTTGAGTGCCCCTTCAGGGCTGGGACTTTGTTTTGTTCACCTGGCGCGTAGTCCCGCTAGGAAATAGGCTAAGAAGAAACCAGTGCACCCCAGGAGATAGCTGCTATTATTATTCCCGATTGACAGTTGAGGAAATGGAGGCTGCTGGGTTAAGTGACTTGCCGAGGGCCACATCAGCGAGCCTTGTACGACCCCATCGTCCAGAATGTTGGCCCCCTGGCCCCCGGCTGCATGGGTATCTCTTCTTCTGGGGGCCGAGGGCAAGTGGGGGTGGCACGGGAGGGTGTGTTCAGGCAGGGAGCTCATCTGTGCAGCTGAGCCAAAGGCAGTGAGGGGGACGCAAGTGACTGAGGTGGCTCTGGCAGCCCCCAACCATCTGGCCGGGGAGGAGGTCAGAGAGACAAAGCTGCTGTTCTGTGGATCAGATCAGCCTTCCAGCACCTGAGGTTTTGCCACAGCAGGATAGCTGGACCCACCAAACTCTGAAGGGGAGGGGCGTCTGAGAGAAGGGCACCTTGGTGGCCTTGAGGAAGAGCCCCGGAGACCAGGGTTTGCTCCCAGGCTTGCTCACCAGTTATGCTGTGTGATCTTGGGCAAGTGACTTCACTCCCCTGAGCTACCCTTTGCTAAATAAACCCAGAGCCTGCAGGTTGAGTAGTTTCCCAGAGTCCTAGAAAGGAAGGGGGACCCTTCCTATGACTCCAATCAGCTCTGTGGTACAGTGTGGCAGGGGGCCTCTGTCCTCGAACCCTTCAGGCAAGTGAACCCATCCCGTCCCCTGTCTCTAAGCAGAGCCACCCGGAAAACCTCTGAGGAGCAAAAGAGCGCCTCCTTTTCAAATGTGTTTCAAATGTGTCCTTTTAGGGAGGTGCTGGCTTAGCCAGGTTCCTGTGCAAAACCTCAGAAAAACAGGTCTGGTCCCAAGAGCTAAGTGAGTGTTTGGGCCTGGAATGGGTATGCAGATCTATTACACAGGTCCAGAGAGCCTGGTCCCCAGCCTGGTCCCCTCCCTGGTCCCCTGGGCCGCCCCCAACTCCTGGCTTCAGGCTTGGGAGTGAGGGAGAGGAAGGGAGAAACTTCCAGTTTCCTGAGATGGGGAAGGACTAGGTGATAATGGATGGGGTGGGGCTCACAGAAGGGCCCGAGGCCTCCCCGCCCCCACTGCCCAGTCCTGGGGTGTCCCACAGGAAGGGAGCTCTGGGCCTGGAGGGCAGAGGCTGTTCCCGGCCCTAGACACAGCTGTTTTGTCGCATGTCCCCGCAAGTGTGTGTGTGTCATAACACATGTGGCTCCTTTCCGTCTTACACTCCGCGTCTGAGGGGCTGTGTCAGCACCGGCAAAATGAGAAGTGTGCTCCTTATCTCCCCCTCCTGCTATCTCCCCATTGTTCCTTCTTTTATCTCTCTTATCCTTCACTGTTTCCAGCTCTGTAGCTGCCTCTTCATCCTCTGTTCTTTCTCTCTCTCTGTCCCCTTCACCCCACTTGGTTGTCGGTCTTTGCCTCCTCTGATCCTCATCACCTTTGGGTCCAGGGCATCCCAGCCCGTGACGTGATTGTGAAGTTTAGAAAGATAAGTTTACTGGAAGGCCCCATCTCATACCTGGAACGGGGGTCACGTAGCTTTTGTGCCGGTTACAAGGCTAAATTTGCTTTATTTAAACATAGAAGGAACAAGAGGTAATGGACATGATGTAGAAAATGATCAGGATCAAAAAGCACGAGGATGTGAGGGGCCAGAAAAGCAGGAAGGAGAGGGTAGAGGAGGGAGGAACCTGGAAGGCGGCAGGGGCAGCCTTTGTCCTGGTTCTTCCCCTGCCGGCGGCTCACAAAAGCACCGAAGCCTCCTTCTCCGGGACTCCTCCGGGCCGTTCGAGCGCGCCCGGGACACACCCATTGCCTGCCGGGCGCCCTGTCTGGTCCCTACGTTTTCCTGGCAGGAATCGAGGCCCTCGGGCAGGCCTTCCCTCCTGCCACGCCCTCCCAGGCTGACTAGTCCCGCAGGCGTGGCCCAGTGCGGGAAGGCCCGGAAAGTGCTCAGGCCTCACTGCCTCCCAGCTCCTTCCTGAACGTCAGGCTGTGCGTCCCGCATCCCGAGACCCTGGTCGTTGGGCATCCGCTCTGGGCCTGGCTGTCGTCCTGCTGGGTGCCCGCTCCTCCATTCCATCCTCATTGACGCCTCACACTATTCCAGGTTTGGGGAATGAGGAAACGGAGGCTCAGAGAGTTGAGGTTTGACCCAAGTCCCACAGGATTTGGCTCCAGGTTGTTCTGATCCCAAGTGCAGTGATTACAAGTAGGCTGGTGAGACGGAGCCTGCCAGGGTAGGGGACGAAGGTGGGGGTCTGTGTTGGTCCCAGAGAAAACCTGGGGGCTGATTCTTCGGGGACCCAGGCAGAGGCAGTCAGCCGTTCTTTCCCATGCTGCCTCTAGTCCACGTTCGCTGAGCACAGCTGCCATCCGGGAGCTCTCCCTGCCCTGCAAAACAGTCCAGTAAGGAGGTTTCCTCCTCTCCTCCACCAGCGGGCCTGGGAGAGGGGCTGCAGGAAGGACCAGACCCTGGGCCGGAGGGCGGGGCTCCTCAGCCCTGCTGGGCAGTGTCCACCTTCCCCACCCCCACCTCAGTGCCAGTGAGTGGTTGGGGCTTTGCGTGCAGGCTGGAGTCAGGCTAAGCTGAATAAGCCGGGGGCCCATCCAGTGCATGGGCCACCCCCCCTCCCGAGACTACAGAGCTCCTGTCCTGGAACCTGCTATGGCTCCCCACTGCCCACAGGGCAGAGCCTCAATTCTCTAGGGTGACATTTAAGGCTGACCTCAGCCTGGCTCTGGCCTGCTGCTCTGGAAGGGTCTACCGAAGGGCGCCAGCTGCTGTCACTCCTCTGTGCCTTTGCAGACTGGTCTCCCTGCTGTCACATCCCTCCTCTCTCCTCTCAGGTGTTGCTGCACCCCCCTCCACTCCCTGACTCCCTGCTCTTTGTACAAACTGGTTGTCGGCAGCCCAGCCCAGAGCACAGAGGTGTCAGTGTTTGACGCAGGGCATAGACTGCCACCCCCTCCCTTAGCTGTTTCCCCAAATCTCGCTCCTGGGGGCGGGGAAGCCTTCCTAGCTGCACTCAGCCCCCAACCTGCATTTCACATCCTCCTCTCTCTCCACCACCATCTAGCATGTTCCATGCCTCACTTACTGAATGTCTTTCTCCCCCACGAGAATGTTGGCTTCATGGGGGCAGGAGGGAGCTTGTCATTTTGTTCAGGGCTCTGTGTCCCCTGTGTCCCCAGTGCCTAGGACACTGTCTGGCATCTGATGGGAGCACCGTGGCTCGACTGCCAGGGAACCAACCCTTGTCCCTCACCCTCTGCAGCCTCCTCTCCTGAGGGGCTTCAGGCTGGGGGCCATGCAGAAAGCGGGGGCAAGGGGCCGGAGGGCCTCCGACTGCGGCCCTGCCCCTCACCGGCCCAGGTGCATCACCAAGTTTGCCCAGGTGGGTGGCGCCGCCAACAGGTGTGCTGTGGTGGGCGGGGACTGGGTAGCAGGTCTGGGGGTGGGGAGGAGCTGTGGGGAGGACCTGTCTCTGCATCTTCCCTCCCTGACCCAGGCTCTGGAATGTGTGTGTGCACAGATAAGGGGGCGGGGCCTCAGGGGGCTGAGTGGCGCGACCAAGGCCATGGGCTGGGAGAGTGGCAGAGCCTGGACTCAGAGCGCAGTGCTCTGCCACTGCCCACAGACTACCCAACAGATGGAGTGTGTGTGTGAAGGGGAATTTGGAGGGTGGGGGTCAGGAGCCATGAGCTTGACTCCCCTGCCTCCCTCCCACCCTCACCCCGCCCCCAAGCAGTATGTGGGCTCCTTCTCCGTGGATGACCTGGACACCCAGGAGAGTGTGTGGCTGGTGCAACAGCAGCTGTGGGCACTGAAGGTAGGTGAGCTGGGGAGGGCCTTGCCCTGGCGGGGATCCCAGCCTCGATCCCTGAGACCATCTGATCCACCCCAGCCTCCAGTCACAGAGAGGGAGCAAATAAGGCCCAGGGCGGGGCCGGACCAAAGCCCTTCTGTGCGGTGGGCCCCGCCAGCACCACACCCAGGCTCCAGGAGCCGGTCCCTTCTGCCCAGAGCCTCTCTTCCCTCAGGAAGTTGTGACCTGTGCCCTACAGGGGGAACCCACGGGTGGGAGATGTGGGGGGTGGTCTGCCAGGAGTCGTTCATACTTCCCTGGCTCCTGGGGATCCACTGCCCAGGGCTCAGTTCCCTAGCAGGTGGGGGTACTCGGCTGACCAGCCCGTAGTAACTGGTGCTGAGGCTGGGCAGGGCAGGGCCTGGGAGGTAATGCCTGCCCCCCACCAACTCTCTCCCCCCAGGACTGTCCCCGACGCCGGGCCGTCATCCTGAAATTCAGCCTTCAGGGCCTCAAGATCTACAGCGGGGAGGGTGAGGTAGGAGCCCGTGTGGGTGCAGGTGAGGACTGGACGGGACAGGCGTCCTAGTCCCGCAGGACGTGCTGCCTCCACCCAGGCCCGGCACTGCCCCTCGAGCCTCCCAGCTTGCCGGCCTGCCCATGGCCTTTGGAGCCCTGTCTCCAAGGAGCCTCCCCTTGGGCAAGCTCGGCAGGCAAGTTTCTCATCTATCTCAGCCCCCGCATCCCAGTCCTCCAAAACCTCCTCCAGGCACCACCTTCTGGCAGAGCAACAGGGCCGTCCAGCCCCGTGATGATTCTGCGGTCCCTGGCCCCTGCGTAGGCCCACCCAGCATTGGCCGGCGGGCTGTGGCCAGCCTCTCACGGCCATGGAAAGGGGGCGCCGGCCTCGCTGCGCATCCCTTCCTCCTGGCGCAAGCCAGCGTTTGTTGAAGACTATCTGCATGCAAAGCAGTACACGTCACACAACTGGGCGCCACTTACCTAAGACCGGTGCAAATGGCGTCCCAGAGCCATGTGTTGAGAGGGCCCTGGGGTCAGGTCCCATGCCACTTGTCCGAGGACTCACTGACCCCACCGGCAGCCCCATCACAGGGGAATTGCCACACCTAATGCCATTCACAAAAAGGGCTCAGAGAGCTACATGCCCCTGCCCAAGACATACAGAAAAAGGCTGAGGGGCAGAGTCAAGATCCAAGTCCCGGCCACCCCTGACCACCCAGTGACCAGGAGTGCCTCCCCCGGGCCTGCTGCCGCTGCCTGCTGTGACCCCGCAGGCTGAGAGCGCTCTGCCTTCGGTTCAAGGGCGCGACTGTGGTGATCCCAACCCATAGGCTGGCAGTGGGGATCGGAGATCAAGCCCGGTGGCCGTGGGAAGGATGAGGGGTTCAGTTCAAAGTGGGGTTCGGGCAGGACTGGAAGGAGGGAAGCGTTCTTCACCCCCGGAGCTGGGCGCGCCCCACACTGGGCACGCAGGCTGGGGAGCAGGCCTGGGAAGCCCTCAGGGCCGTGCAGCTGTAGGCCTGGCGGGGGTCTGACAGAGGCCGCTGTGCCGCCCCAGGTGCTCCTGATGGCGCATGCCCTGAGGCGCATACTCTACTCCACCTGGTGCCCCGCCGACTGCCAGTTTGCCTTTGTGGCCCGAAACCCCCAGAGCCCTGCCAGCAAGCTCTTCTGTCACCTTTTTGTGGGCAGCCAGCCTGGAGAGGTACCTGGGGCTCAGGTGGGCGGGCCAGCACTGGGGCTGGGGTGCGGGGCTGCTGTGCATCAGCATGGGGTTCACCCCTTGGGACACAGGCTCCTTCTGGGGCTCTGCCCCCTGAGGACTCAAAAGCAAGCCAGGGGCTTCAGTGTGCTGTGAGGACGAGGCCATGCCCTTGGAGATTGGAGGGACACCCTGCCGCACCTCTGCTCCTCCTGTTCTCTCTTCCTGGAATGCCCTTCACCTTCTCATTCTGGCAAGTTCCAGATTGCCCTTTAAGGCTCAGCCCATGTGTCTGCGAAGCCCACTTTGACTCCTAGACTGCCCTTTCCTTTGGGGGTCCTGTGACGTGAACCACACTCTGCCGTCGTTAGGTCTGTCCCTAATTACAGACACTGGAGTTCTTTGAGAGTAGAGACCGGGGCTGGGTTCCAGTCCTTGGCCGCATGGAGTGAGCGGTTGGGCAGGCAGATCCTGGAACTCAAAGCCAATGTGACACCGTGAACAACTGTTTAGCAAGTAGAGGCTGGGTTGGGGTCCCTCCCACAGCCAGCAGTAGCTGTCACCCCTGTATGTCAAGCCCCAGGCTGGCTTTTGGAGTGACAGGCAACTGAGACATGGCCCTCGATCTTCCGGAGCTCACGGTTCCAATATGTTGGAATGATGTATGCGGTGGGTCGCATGCTGGGCCTATGCCGGGGAATTTTTGCTCCATTTCATTAAAGGAGCAGAGGGAGGTGGAGATGAGGAGACTGAGGGCAGAGTCTCCATGTTCTGCCCAGGGTCACACAGCAGCTCCTAAGTAACAGAGCCAGGATTGGATCCCAGGTTCTGTGGCTCCAGGGCCGGGTTCTCAGCCACTCCTCTAAGAGGGCACTGACCCCGCGCGCCCAGGGACAGCAGTGCATTTAGCCTGGCTATTCCCGGCTCCGGGCATGGCTCCTGGAACAGAGTGGGTGCTTGGGTGGAGAAGGCTGCGTGGTGGTGAGGTTCTGAGGGATAAGTAGGAGTTTTCCCTCTTACCGGGAAGAGCATCCCAGGCCAAGGGGCAGCCTGCCCCCATGTGGCCTGGGCTGATGCCTAAGACGTTCCCCAGGAGACCTCCCTCAACTGAGCCCCCTCCCTCCCCTTCCTAGGTCCAGATCCTGCACCTGCTGCTCTGCCGCTCCTTCCAGCTTGCTTACCTCTTGCAGCACCCTGCGGAGCGGGCACAGTCTGACCCCTGTCTGGGGCCCACAGGGGACGTGCCCCTGAAGTCACTGTCCGGTTCTGGGGCGCGCCCTGGTCCAGCACAGGAGCCCTTCGGCCGTGATCAGCTCTCAGAGAACGTTCACGCACTGGTCTCCTTCCGGCGGCTGCCAGCAGAGGGGCCCGTGGGCAGCGGGGTACGCAGCACCCAATCCCAGCCAGGGAGTGGGCAGTGGACAGGGACCTGGGTGAGGGTTACATGGGGGTTACATGTGGGAAGGGAAGGCTTCACCTGACCTCGCATGGCTAGGCCTTATCTGCCTGCCCCTCTGGGCCCTTCTTGGCGCCCTAGAAGGAGCTACCATTGTTGGAAGGCCGTGGGGGTGCCCGCCATGTCCGCCTTGGAAATCCCTACTGCTCCCCGACTCTGGTGCGCAAGAAGGCGATCCGCAGCAAAGTGATCCGCTCCGGGGCCTACCGGGGCTGCACCTACGAGACCCAGCTGCAGCTGTCGGCCTGCGAGGCCTGTGAGTAGCAAGAGCGCCCGCCCCATGCGTGCCTGCCCCGCTTGCACCCGTGTGGACGGACAGGTGGACCTGAGTGCCTGATTCCACAAGGCCGTGAGTGGACGTGTCTCAGGTCCACATGAGTGAGTGTGTGTCCAGGTCTGCGTGCCGGGCCTGGCATAGGTGATTGTAGAGCTGTGGACGCGCTTTAACTGGTGAGCGGATGTGAGTGGGGGTGTGCTTGTGTGGATGTATCTTTTGGGGGCTGGCTGGTCAGAATGAGACAGCCTTGCTGCCTCTGACCCCTGGGTGGTCTCCATAGTTCCTGCTGCGTGGGAGAAGTGGCCCCAGGGTCCTGGTGGCTCCGCGTGCCTGGTGGAGAGCGACGGCAGCCTGACGGAGAACATCTGGGCCTTTGCTGGCATCTCCAGGTAGGAGGGGCTGCCTGGCCCGGCTGAAAGCCCGTTCCCTTGGGGCGAGCGGAGAAATAGGCTCTGCACCGACCCCCCTCCCCCGGCAACCCTGCCCTTTGGGTGGCAAACCCAGGCAAATCCATCATCTCAGGGCTGTGGAGAAGATCAACTGAGGTAATTCAGTTGAGTAGAGACCTCTGCACCCAGCACGCAGATCCCTAAATGTCAGGCCTTTAAAATTCTCCTGGTTGGGTCTTGAAGTTGTCCACTAAGGACCCCCTAGAAACCTTTCAGAAGGAAGCCTAAAAGCTTCCTGTCGTTGGGGCCCTCCTCCGGGACAGGCACTGTGTTCAGGGTGCTGTGGGCCGTCCTGCCGATGGCACTGGGAACAGCCTGAAGCTGGCTCCAGACTGGAGGTCCCGCCTTCAGCCTCTCCCTCCGCCCTCCCAGGCCCAGTGCCCTCGCCCTGCTGCGGAGAGACGTGCTTGGGGCCTTCCTGCTGTGGCCGGAGCCCGGTGCCAGTGGCCAGTGGTGCCTGTCAGTGCGGACGCTGTGCGGCATCGTGCCCTACCAAGTCTTCCGGAACCACCTGGGCCGCTACAGCGTGGAGGTAAAGAGTGCGGACCATCGCCCTGCCCCTTGCCCTCAGGCCCCTCCCCTTGTAAGTCCAGTCCCTCACTGGCTCTCGGTTCCCACCCCTTCACTCCATGCGGCACCATTGTCATTGTCCCCGCTGGCCCCCCACCCCAGCTGGGCCACTCAACCTCACTGCTACCTATGGGCTCCACCTAAGGGGCTCCCTCTCCGGAGGCTTTCAGAGGGTACCACTAGCAGAGTCTGGGGCTCGCGTCATGCCTCCCATTTCCATAGGAACCCCAGCTTTTAAAAGCCTGCTTTCCCACGCCCTTGCAGCATGTCTTAGCAGAGGAGGAAGCTGACTCAGAGGGTAGGGGCTTGCTGAAGCGCATACGGCCTCTGAGGCTCCCGGTCTGGAGTCTTGGCGGATCACAGGTTTCCAGGTCTGGGATGGGCGGGCAGGGGCCTTTTTAAAAGTGTGCCCTCACCTCCGTGCTAAGTGCCTCAGTCCTGTCCAAGCTGGGAGGGAAGAAAGGAAATGGTGCCTGTCCCTGCTGTGAGTAGTACGGCGACCCCCCTGAGCTCAAGTTTCCTCCTCTCTCAATGGGGCAGGATCCCATGCGAGGGGGTGGTTGGCGCCCGGCACCATGCATGGGGAGGGGATGCTGGGCTGAAGCCCCTTCCTCCCCCAGCACCTGCCAGCTGAGTTCCCCAGCCTGGAGGCCCTGGTGGAGCATCACGCCGGGACTGAGCGCAGCCTCTTCTGCTCCCTCGACATGGGCCGCCTGAACCCCGGCTATGAGGAGCAAGACTGCAGGCCCGAGGGCAGGCCTTCTCGGACGCTCCGGCCCCTTAGCCACGCCAAGTCTGAGGCCGAACTGCAGGGCCTGGGCTAGGAGGCCAGCCCCACACCGACAGGCCTGTGTCACTCCGGCCCCGGGGCGCCAGCAAGCCACGCTGCCCTTCCTCCACCCCGCTGGTCACCAGTTCCCTCCAGCCACTCTGTCCCTTGGACCAGCCTTCTATCACTTCACTGATTGTGCGGTGGGGCCCAGTGGCTGGGGATTGCCGATGGCTTCTCATGTGACGTGTGGCCCCTGGGATTACAGGGAGGGCAGGCAGCTCCCCAGGCTTCCCTGGACTTGCTGGGCGACTTTGGCTGTTTTGTGCTCTCTGGGCTTCACCGGCTCTTTCTGGGGTGGGTGGGAAGGTTTACTCACAAGGGAGGTGTAGCCCTTTTGAGGAGGCCGGGCCCTGCCTGACTGGGAGTCTCCAGAGAGCTCCTGACCGAGGCAGCCAGGCGCTGAGGGAGAGGTGGGGGGGGCAGGGGAAGCTCCGGCCTCGGGCCAAGGCCTGGGGGTGAGCCACCCCGGGGAGAGACACGGCGATGACCCTGGAGGCTGTGGGCTACACCGGGCTGCCTGTTTCATGAGCCATCGGCGGTTGAGGGAGTCCCCTTGAGTTCTGAGGAGTGGGGGTTAGGAGAGTGAAGGAAGGCAGGGTGGACAAAGAGCGGTGTCACCCAAAGCCCACGTGTGGGGTGGACACCCGTGTGCAGAGAGGGGCGTGAACCCTCAGATGGGGCAAGGAATCTCAGTGCGTTGCTTGGGAAGGCTGGTCTGTTGCTACTCAAGCTACAGGGTTGTGATTCCTGCTGACTGGGAAAGGCTTTGCGCCTCTCCCGCTCCCTGACGTGCCCGAGAACCACCAACACGCACACACGCATTGCATTTCCCTTTGCTGTTTGACTGGGAGGGGCTCGTAGTGAGCCATGGGCTTTGAGGGGTGACCAGGGCCCTGCCCAGCCCAGCTTGCAGGATGCAGTCTAGGTTTGGTGGCCACCTGGGAAGCCACCAGATGCTGACATCACCCTTAACGTGGTGCTGACCAGGACTGTCAGGAGCCACCTCGCCGCCTTAGGCCAGCTCCACTGGGGATGGGGTCAGAGCAAGGCTTCCAACGTTAGAACTGACGTGGGCCCTGCCCACAGGCGCTTGGCCTCAGGGGGCGGCGGGCGGGGGGAGCCCACAGCAATGGCTGGTCTAAGGCACTGGGCCTGCGCTGGCTGGCAGAGCTGGCTGTCCATCCCCCTTTATGTCAGCTTGACAGACACAAAGCTACCGAGTGAGGGAACAAGTTCGCTTTCGGATGAACTGTTTCTGGGGCAGAAGTAGTCATGAGTCTGGGGGCTGCCCTCTCCCCTTCCTGGGAGGGGGGATGTGACTGTTCAGTGCCTTGAAAGTAAGACTTCTGGCTCCCGGAAGGAAGGTGGCGGCCCCAACAGAAGAGAAAGGGAGGCCCTTTGGAATCTGGTGTTCCCAGCTTATGGTCCACACCCAAGACATGGTCTTGGCTAAAGACCCCGTCATTCTTGTCAAAGGGGGTGGGAGTAAGCTGTCCTCTGGGGGCTCATTTCACCGGCACTATAGCGCTGATTCTGCACTGAATGCAAATGGGAACCCAGGGCTCCCTTTATGGCCATTTCTAGCAGAACCCGTCTGCGTGGGCCAAGTCCTGGTCCCCAACGGGAGTGCCCAGGCCCTCCGTTTCCCTGGGAAGGAGGCGGTTTGCTGCATCACAGCGCTGGAGCGGCGTATTTAAGAGGGCCTGGAAACTGGCCCAGGCTTAGGCCAAAGCTTGCCTCTCAGACAGATGTGTTTTATTGTGCAGATTATTTGTGTCAGGGGTGTTCCCGAAGCACTGTAATGTTCCTCCACACACATTTATTGTTCACGTGGTACAAACAGGGCAAGGTTTTTTGACCGGTGTGTACAGACACTTTAATGTCAATTATAGATCATTCTCTTCGTTCCAACCAGCACCACCTGGGTAGCCCAGTCTTCCTTACTGTACGTACTTGAAATAAAATGCATTTCTTTGGATTGTCTAGTACAGATTTTTTCTTTGAAAGGTGAGGTCTTTGTCCAGTTTTCTTGATTTGTTTTTGTTTGCCAACATACCTTCAGATAGTGCTGAGTGTCAAACCAGACAGGACCTGTCCTCAGGCACACGTGTCCCTAAGGAATCAGTATTTTCAAATCATCTCTCCTGCTTAAAACTTCCAGTGGCTATTTCCTAAGGAAAAAGACTCAAGTCCTCTGCTCTGGCACCTTGGGCTTTCCTTCTGCTCCTGCAGCATGCCACAGGACCTTTGCACAGCCGGGCCGGGTCTCCTTGTTCTCCCCACTTTTTGCCTCGTTAACTCCTCAACCTTAGTATCTCTTCGTATGCTACCGCTCTCGGGAAACCTGCTGTCCTCCCCCCGGGGAGGGGTAGTAAGGTCCCCTTGTTGGATGTTCCCTAGACCTCGCCCTTCGGTTTGTAATTACTAGTTCATTTATGGGATTTTTGCTCGTGGGAGATTTGTCTTTGATGTCAGTCTCCCCGCTAGATTGGACCACGGGCTCCAGGTGCGCAGGGACTGGGCTGTCTTCCAGCGCCTATCAAAACGCCTGGCAGGTAGTGTTTCTGCACAAAGTGGAAACTAGAGGAGGCCGTCCTGGCGGGAGGGACCTGTGCTGAGCCTGCAGAGATAGGCCAGGCAGTGTCTGAAGCTAATAAAGACTTTGGCTCTCAAAGTTGTTTTTGTTTCTTAATTTCGTGTCTCAGAAAAAAGGAGGGGCAGCGTTAGAAGAAAGCTTTGGTCTTTCCCAGGACCGGTGACACGCTCCCCGGAGTCAGTACAGGGGTGTGAAGAAAAGCAAGGTCCTGCTTGCCTTTCTCACTAGGTCTCTAACCCCCGGGCGAGGCCCCCCGCTCTGGTATCTGCCTCAGAGGTGGAGTCAGGCCTGACCTCCCCGTCCTAGCTGGGCCCCCTCAGGCAAATTGCTTAACCTCTCTGAACAGGGACAGTGAATATCCGAGGCGACAAGGGGCGCGAAGCGCCTGGTACCGCAGATCCACGCTCCACCAAAGCCAGTGCGGGTCCTGCGTGAAGGCAGCCCACGCGCGCAGGCTGCTGTCGGCGCGGAGAACGCGCGGACGCTCTCGGGCGCCGCCACCTGTGACGCCACGGCGTTGCTCAGCAACCGCGAACGCCACGGTGCGAGAGGGCGGCTGGGGGCTCGGGTCCTACAGCGTCGCCTGCAGCGCGTATCCCCCTCATCCCCGACTCCGGCCGGGCCTCAGGGAAGGGCGAGCCCGGGCGCGAGAGGAGGCGGCGGCCTGGCTCCGGTCCTTCGACTCCCCGGCCGCCCCCTTCCTCCTCTCGGAGCGCCCCGGTAGACCTTCTTCCCCCGCCCCAGTCCCGCCGCCGCAGCCCCGCCCCTGCCCCGCCCCCTGCGCCTGGCTCTCGCTGTGTCCCCTGGTCGCGCAGCCAGGGGTCCCCTGCCTGGCGGTCGAGTGTCCCGGCCACGGCGTCCACGTCGGGCCGCGCCCCCGGGGCCCCTTCCGCGCGCTATGGCGTCCGAGTCGGTGAAGGTGGTGGTGCGCTGCCGCCCCATGAACCAGCGGGAGCGGGAGCTGAACTGCCAGCCCGTGGTGACGGTAGACTCCGCGCGCGGCCAGTGCTTCATCCAGAACCCCGGCGCCGCCGGCGAGCCCCCCAAGCAGTTCACCTTCGACGGCGCCTACTACATGGACCACTTCACCGAGCAGATCTACAACGAGATCGCCTACCCGCTGGTGGAGGTGAGGGCGCCCGGGAGGCCGCCGCCTCTGCGGACCGGCGGGGATGGACGTGGGGCCGCCCCGAGGGGCCCTGAGGGACAGCACTGCCCCCGAGCCGGCCCGAGGGCCCTTCTGGAGACGCGCAGGTGGACGCCAGCAGGTTGGTCTGAAGATTTCTGTGCAGGCGGGAGAGAGCAGGAACGGCCCGCCAGGTCTGCGTCCAGGTCTCCACTGCTCTCCCCACCCCCACCCCGTGCCAAGGCGGTCCCCACCCCCAGCCCTCACAGCCCCCGCCCCCAAGAACTCCAGCCCCGAGACCACGGGCCCTCCCCACATCATCTGAGAGCTTCAGGACTTCTCAAAACGCTCCAGCCCCTTCCCTCAGCCTCCTCCTTCCCTCCCAGGAGTCCGGGATTCCCTCCCCTTCCACTCCCTCCGCTCCCCCTCCTTTCTCTCCCCCTCTCCCTTCCCCCTCCATCTTCCCCTCCCCTTCCTTCCCGCCCCCCTCCCAGGCCTCGGCCACTGTTTTTTCCCCCTGAGCACACAGAGCCTTCTCCCTCATCCTCCTCGGGCTTCCTGAGAGGCAGTGCTGGTACAAGCCTAGGGGGGCAGGTGGGGAATCCCACTAGTTCCCTGCTTTCGCGTGTTTGAGCTTCAAAACAGGAGAGACACTCAGGTTTCACAGATGGGAAGACTGAGGCCGGCAGGGAGGAGCCTCTGGCAGAGGTGCGGCCAGAGCCCCTGCCGCCCCTCTGCTGGGCCAGGGCCCTTTCCTGTCCACCACCATCTCCCCAGCTTCCAGCCAATGCCTGCTTAAATGAGATGTCACAGGTGGTCCCAGGAAAAAAAGGAAAAGTTTGGGAAATGCTGCATACACTCTCCCTGGCTTGAAGAAACCAGTGTCACTTATTTAACCCAGCGTTTCCAAAGTAGATTTGAGCCGGGAACCTCTTTGTTTTGCCTGGCAGGCCATTTAACACCCCAGAACACCAACTTTGGCTGCCCCATCTCTTCCTCCAAGATAGTCAAGGCCTGCAGCAAGCTGAAGTGCTCCTTCACGTGGTTCCGTGGATATATGGAGCTGGAGTCATCATTCCTGATGGGGAAACTGAGGCCTGGAGCGTTACTGAGCAAACGAGGGGTGGTTTCAATTCCTAGCATAGTGCCTGCGGTCCGTGCTCCATCTAGCCGCCTGCCATTAAGTGAGCAGCATGCAAGGCATACACAAAGCACAGTGCAGGTGGCTTTGAGCCAGCAGCACCGGCACCGGCAGGCACCGTTAGGGCCGACTGGCTTCGTGCCTGCCCTGCTGAGCTCCGACTGGCTCCCAGCACTCTCCAGGGGCTCTGACCAGCTGAGGGGCCTGCAGCCCAGAGACCTTCCTTTCAGGTCCTAGTGCACTGAGATTTCCGGGAGTTCTAACTGCCCCTCTCTGCCCTTTCCTTTCGTTTTCTTCTCCGACCCTTGAATCTAGGCTCTGTTCCTGATCTTCTCTGTCCCTGGGTGTCCTCTTGGACTCTCCACCCCAGACCTACCCTTCAGCCAACTCCGCGTGTCCTACCGAGAGCTCCTCCGGTCCACGCCTGGCCTGCTGGGCCCTTTCCCAGCTGTTGGCCTTGCCACCTCCCCCTGCTCCCTCCTCCACACCCACAGCCTTAGAGTCGCCTCTGATGGCCCACCTAGGGGCCAGGTACCATGTCTTCTATCATGTCTGGGCTGAGAATGGTGCGCCAGGATTCCATGCGCTAGAAGCCGTGGAATTCGACCTCTGGAGGGGACATGGAGCTGTTCAGTTTGGAGGGGGAAGAATGGGGACGTGAGGCAATTTAAGTTCGATGCTTTTCATTTCAATTTCAATAGTTATGTGTTGAATGTGAAGTAGAAGAATATTTAGCACATCCAACCTGTAATGCAGTTTCATGGGCATTATTGCTGAGGATGACACCAGGTTAAAGACTCAAGTAACAGTTGATTTCATGAAGAATCACTTCGTAAATAACGGTATGGGAGATGACGTGGCAGGACCCGGGAGCAGGGCAGAGTGGCTGATATTGAGGACTTGCTCCATGTGCGAGCTTGTCCCTGGCGGGTCTGGAGGTATCCGTGGATGGGTGAAACTTTTTTGAAATTTTATGTTTTGCCTTAAAAATGCGTGTAACATTGTTTTCCACGTCACTCCGGAGCAGCGCTGTGCTGCGGAAGTCTCTGCAGTGGCTAAAGTGTTCTGTGTTTGGGCTGTCCAGTCAAGGACCCGCAGGACACAGCGGGACGGGGCTAGTGCTGCCACAGAACGGACTTCGAATTTTATTTAATTTTAAATAAGTTACATTTCAATAAGCACATGTGGCTAGTGGCTCTAGAGCTTTCCAATACAACTATAATGTGAGCCACGTACATAAGTTAAATTTTTCTAGTAGCCACATTTTAAAAAGTATAATTAATTTTAATAATAGTTTATTTAATCCATCATACCTAACACATTATCATTTCAATAAAACGTAATAGATGTTATTATAATACCCATTAGTGAGCCGCTTTACATTCTTCACATGAAGTCTTTGAAATTTGGTCTGTTTTACATTTATAGCGCATCTCAATTCAGATGTTGAAGTGCCGCTAGGCAAAATGAAATGAAGCGCAAAACAAGTTGTGTTGAATGAAAAATATTCTATGCTGCTTCAGTTTTTAAGTGTAAAGTAATTAAACTAAACCAAAATAAATTCAGTTTCCCAGTGGCACCAGGCGCCTTTCTGGTGGCTAGTAAGTAGCTGCCCTATGGATGGCGCAGTGATACTTATTTTCTGTCGACTCTTCTCTGGTTTTGGGTGACACTAGTCCTCTGGGTGCTCAACCATGTTGTTCCTGGGACTTCGTGTGCCCCTGGTTCTGGGAAGCCCAGCCGCGGCCCCTGGCTGGGGGATGGGTGCGTGGCCCGCGGCCCCCGAGGGGCTGCAGGAGCGCACCCACAGTCGGTTCCTCGGACAAGGGAGAGGCGCTTGCCCTGCGCTGCCCACTACAGTGAGGCTTCCCTCAAAGGACCTGTGGATCGTGACTTCCGCCTTCCTTCACCAGCAGTGCCTGGGGTTCCGGAGCCCCATGTTGGTCTGTCTACAGGAGGGAGCCAGGTGTAGGTGCCATGTGGGCCCACAGGGCCTGGGAGCAGCCCTCTGGGCCCATGTTCTGACACTGGGTTCCCCACCTCATGCTAAGTTCCCGAATTTGTGTCTTCATGTGTGAGGGCGGGGGCTGGGCGCTGGCCTCATTCACCGCTCTGTCCCCTGCCAGAGCACGGTGACGGCACAGGGAAGACAGTAACTACGGGGATGGAGAAGTGCATCCGTGAACGAAGAATGACTTCAGGGAGCCTCCCTGTTGGCCCCCCTCCTTCCTTCCCGGCTTCATCTTCCGTCCCCCTTGCCCCAGCCCCTCACCTCTCTGTCTTTGCTCAAGCTGTCCCCTCAGCCTGGAATGCCTTCCTCTTCTGTCACTTATCAAAATCCAAACAACTCTTTCAGTTCCCACAATTCTACCTACCCAGGAGGCTGTGCCAGGCTCCCCGCTTCCCCCTCCTTGTCTGAGGCCCAAAGTTCCCACTTCACACACGCCTCCACTTGCCTTGTATGGGAACCACTCCCCCACGGACCCAGGCAGACACTTGGTGAGCGCGGCTGCACGCCAGCACCCCACGTGCCGCCAGCACCCCACGTGCCGAGTGCATGCAGGAGTTCTCAGTAAACCTCGCAACAGCCTCGGGGGAGGTGCTGCTCTGACCCTTTTTCAGAGGAACCTGCAGCTCCCTGTGCCTGGGTAAGAACCATCTGCAGGCACACAGTCAATAAAGGGTAGAGACTGATTTGAACGCAGAGGGCACACGCTCTTAACTGCACACGGGGACAGTAGGCGGGGAACTTTTTGAGGACAGAGCTGCTACTCATCTCTACTGCCGGCCCGCAGCCCAGGGTCAGCGTGGTGGGAGACCCAGCAGGGACCCAGTGTCTGCCAGCCAGGATTGCAGCCCCACAGCCCGGGGCCTGGCCCTGCGCCTGGCTGTGCTGAGTCAGCTGAGCACTGGGGTTTTGGTCCTCCCGTCCAGGGCGTCACTGAGGGCTATAACGGCACCATCTTTGCCTACGGCCAGACGGGCAGCGGGAAGTCCTTCACCATGCAGGGCCTGCCGGACCCACCCTCGCAGAGAGGCATCATCCCCAGGGCCTTCGAGCACGTTTTTGAGAGCGTCCAGGTATGGGCCTCAAGGAGGTAAGGGGCGGGGTGGGGCCCCACAGGCCCCCCAGCGTTACCACAAACGGCCCCAGGGCACTTCCGACCTGGGATGTAGTGGGAGCCTGAGAAGGTGACGGAGAAGGATTCAAAACTGAGAAAAGGATCCCTCGCAGTTCCACATTTTTCTCCTGCCATTTCTGGATTTTAACATTTGATTTAGCATTTCACATGGATACGATGACCTCGAGAAGTGGTTGTAACAAACAGCTTCTCTTTTTATTGAGCAGTTGCTGCAGACCAAGCCTTGTGCGAGCCCTTTATAGTCCCACTGAACCCCCACCCTGGCCCATCATCCCCGCTTTTGAGATAGGGAAGCTGAGACTTGGGGCTCCTCTGGGCTGGGTCAAAGCCACCCCAGTGTCCAGGCTGCAGGTGAGAAGTGCCCTGGTGACATCTGCGGCAGTTTGTGGAGATTCTTGCTTCTGGGAAATGGCAAAGCGGGGCTAGGATCCTGGTCGGCTGCAGGGGACACTCTGCCTGCCCCGGGGACTCATCTAGTGACCCACAGGAGCCAGAGCTGCCAGGGGTCCACCCACGGCCAGTGCTTGGTCCAGGCCTTACCCGGGGACTCACTTTACCTGGACAGTGGGGAAGCCGCTCCCATTTCTTTTCCTTTGAGGCCTGCAGTGATGGCATTAGACGACAGCAGTACGAGAACTACGCCACTCTGGGGAGCCTGACCCCCCACGTCCGCATCGCAGTGACCTCCTGGCTGTGGTGGGCTCAGGTGGCAGGGGCAGTGCTGGCAGCAGGTGCTCAGGTGTCATCTTTGCTCCCTCTGCCCATCCCTTGCAGTGCGCAGAGAATACCAAGTTCTTGGTCCGGGCTGCCTACCTGGAGATCTACAATGAAGACGTTCACGACCTGCTGGGGGCAGACACCAAGCAGAAGCTGGAGGTGGGCGCAGACCTGGCACAGACGGGGGCGGGGGGGATGGCATCAGATGCTGGCGCCTCAGAAATACGGGAAAGTTCTCTTGAGGGCACAGGTGTGGTGGGTTCAGACTGCAGCGGGCACTTTTGAACTTGACTTTTAGAGTATTCTCAGAGTCCATGATGCACGGGAGCGGTTAATGGTCCTGCCTCTACCACAAGAGGCGGGGCCAGACCTCCCCTGGGGTAATGCCACCTACATCTATTGAAATAGATGGAGTTTTGTAATAGGTATCATTTGGAAAAAGGGTTCCACTTCTAAGATATTATTTTGAAAATCTCTAAGGGTTCTTCAAGCTAAAAAGAAGGTAATGATGATTGTCATTTATTGAGAACTTACTGTTCACTGGCTGCTTTACGCATGTTATCGCATTTGGCACAGTAACTTAGTTAGGGGGATATTAATTCCCACGACTTACTGACGTGGGAAGGGAGGTTTGGAGAGGTTAATTAACTTGCCGAAGTTTCGCAAAGCAGTAAGTGGCCAAACTTGGATCTGAACCCAGGTCTGTCTGGCTTCAAAGATCCTGAATCTCAAATATTCCATTTTACAGGTCTGCTGGGTTCAGATTCTGGGACTTTGTTTCCTCGAAAGGGGTCTGCTGTGGGTGGGCCTAAGGACCAATGATATGACCTCATAAAATTGTTGTCAGATTCAAGAGGGTCATGAGGGGGAGCTCCTAGGCAGAGAGCTGGCGTTCCGCAGGCGCTCGGCGTATGAGCTCTTTCATGCCCTGGGGATTCTGAGACAGTGGACAGTGGACATGACCGGCGATTGCACAGTGGAAGCCCAGGGAGGAGGAGCCAGAATTGATGGGCCCGTGTTTTGTAAATTGTCCATAATCTCCCAAAAGGCTAGAACCGGAATGAAAGAACATTATTTTCCAGCATGTGAAGTAGAATTAGATGCCTTGAGGGGCCTATCAAGATAGGCGGGACTTGACTGATCCTTTGGGGAACCTTAGTGAGGTCAGTGACCCAGTGGGACTGGACAGTTGTCAGCAAGGCCACCAAGACCCTTGGACCTTCATTGCAGTGTGAGGCTTTGGTTACATGTCCTCTCTGGGACTCTTTAAATGCTGAGTGGGCCTGATCAGGTCCCAGGAGGAGAGGCCAGTGGGGGGAGGTGTTGGTGGCTGCCCCCCAAGTCTGGTGCTCCCCACCCGATCAAGCAACCAATGGGACCCACAACCAGCGTTGGGGGCCGGCCCACCTCCTTCAGGGTCAGAATGCCTGAATTGGGCGAATGCCAATCCTTAAGGATCATCAGCCCAAGGATGTTGCTATGCAGATTCCTGTTTTACGGGTGAGAAAACTAGGCTGGGAAAGAGGGCTGCCGGGGTCATTGGGCTAAGAAGTCACAGGGTCAGGGTTGGGCATTTTCCATGACCCAAACTGCTTAACTCTGCCCCAGGCCACATGCCTTGACAGCCATGGGGTGGGGGGCGGAACACCCCCAATCCTCTGGACCCTCCCTGTCCTCCAGACTGGACAGGACACTGGAAGCCCCCCTCCCCCCTTGTGGGGGCAGAGCTGTTTCTCTGCTCAGCTCCAGCGCCTTCTACTTGCCTCCTAACCCCCCACTTGCCCTGGCTTCACTGGAGGGGGCTCTGAGTCCCTCTCCAACGGGCGGCCCCTCCATGGCCCTGTGGAACAGCTCAGACTTCCAGGAGGCCTTGAGAACCTCATTTGTACTTGTCCTATCCTACACAATCCTGAAGAATTTCAGCCGGGAAGACCCTTAGAGAGCTTCCAACCCAACCCTTTCCTGGTACAGATGAAGAAACTGAGTCCCTGGAGAGGAAGGGACTTGGCCAAGGTCATATAGCACACGACTCGTTGTTGTACCTGAACTTGTGGGATCTGAGTGGTCAGGTGCTTTCCTCCCAGTATTTTTAGGGTCAGCGATATAGGAAACCCCCGGGACGGTAAGAAGCCAGAAATGAGTTGCCAGTCAAGGGAAAGACATGTTGATTCATTCATTCAAAAAAACTTGGTGGGTGCCAGGCCCAGGCTGAGGCAGGCCCACAGGGGCCCGAATTCCATGCCTCCCTCCCTGTCGCGTTGCGGACCGGGACCCGCCCCCGCGCCCCGCCCCTTCCTTTCTGCTTCTCGCAAACACAGCAGTGCTTTGCCCTTTCCTCGCAGCAGCCGCCCGCCAGCAGCCGCCCACCTGGAATCTTTCTACTCCCTCCTGGAGCTGGAGCAGCTGAGTCACACCTCAGCCACCAGACAGGGAGATGGGGGGAGGAAGGCACAGGGAGTTGCTCCCACGCATCAGGCCTTAAAGGCCAGCCTTCAGGATCAGGGCCCCCCTCCCCCGCCCCCAACACACGGGACAGCAGGGGGCCCTCGTCCCCGGCCTCCCCGAGAATGGCTCCGTCAACCCGGGCCTGAAGGGCCAAGGCCCGGCACTTCCCCCAGCGGGCCACGGGCCTCAGGCTCGGCCGACCGGGCTGTCGGGGTGTGGGGTGGGGGGGCTGCCGGTGACACATGCGCTCCCAGGGGTGCACCGTGCTGTAGGCCTGGGGTCTCCCAGAGGAGGTGCTGATGGGCTCTCATGTAAACCTCACAGCAGCCTTAGGCGGAGGTGCTGTTCCTATCCTTTGTTACAGATAGGGAAACTGGGGCTTGATGCACCCGCCTAAAGGCACAGTCAAGTAAAGGGCGGGGACCTGATGTGAACTCAGGCCGTTGAGCTCCGCAGCGCAGAGCAGTTGCCGGGCCTGGTCTGTTTGGTAATCGGGCCTATTGGATCAGCGAAGGCCAGCAAGGGATTCTGGGAAGCAGAGTTACACCTCCCCCCTCAGAAACACGAACCATCATGGAACCCAACTCAGCTCCGGGCAGTGGAGGTGGGCCCTCGGGGGCCTCTCCGTTGGGTCTGGTACCCGGTGTCCCAGCGGACTGTCAGGACCCCTCCTCCAGGGGGTGTCTTCCAGCTCCAGATCAGCAGTGGACATTTCCTGCTTGGGCACCAGTCTCAGCCCTGCCAAATCCCAGCTGGTTGTCATGGCAACTGGGCAGCTTTGCAGCCAGAGGAGCAGTTACCAAGGAGCAGGGCACAATCGGTTGCTGTCTCTCAGTGCCTCCCCAGCTCTGTGGTGGGTGGGGGCAGGAATATCAGGGAAGGGATGGAGGGAGCCAGGGACCCCGAGGTGGGGGGCAAGCTTTCCTGGGTCAAAACATGGGGTGGGGGGACCCCTACATTCTGCTCACGAGAGACGGACCGTCCTCACCCTCTTCATGACCTGTGTTTGCGGAGCGCCCTGCAAGTACCCCCAGAACTTTTAATTAGCTCCATTCCCTTCTTAATCCTCCTAATAGCCGTGCAGAAATAGGATTTCTTATCCTCGTTTTACAGATGAGGAAACCAAGGCCAAGAGAGGCAAATTGGCTTCCCTAACTAGCAAGTGACAGAAGCAGGTTTCCATCCCAGGCCTTCCTGACTAAGCTGGAGCTGCCTTCTTCCTGAACCCTGGAGTAGCCGCTCGCTCACCTGGACCTACTGTGTGCCAGGCAGCCTTCTAGGTTCTTCCAGGGAGTGTGGCAGTGATCAAAGAGGGCCCCTCTTGGCCCAGCCAGTGTGGCTTGGTTGGTTGGGGCATTGTCCCATGCACCAAAAGGTCGTGGGTTCGATTCCTGGTCAGGGCACGTACTAGGTTGTGGGTTCAGTTCCCGGGTGGGGTGCATGTCTCATGTGGGAAGCAACCAATCGGTGCTCCTCTCGCATCAATGTTTCTTTCTTCCTGGAATCAATTTTTTAAAAAAAAAGCCCTCAGACGCACTAATGGGTGTGAAGGAAGCCGCCGGGGGCTGCCGAGGGGGCTTCACCCTATGCCCGCGTGCAGGGTCTCCTGCCTCTGCCCTTTGTTCCTTCTTCACGGCTGCCTCCTAGGTCAAGGTCAGCCCTTTGCCATTTCAGGCTTTAGTTACTGCAGGATGCTCCAGCCTCTCTCCAGGCCTTCCCCTTGGACTCTCCCACTGCCTGTGACCTCATTGGTGCCCCGCCACTAACAGCAGTGTGACCTTCAGCAAGTCACTTAACCCCTCTGTGCCTCAGTAGTTTACACACCATGACGCCCAGTCCTTCGGGCTGGCTCTGGCTGTTTCTGCACACTTCGGCGGATCGGGCCTGAGCTCCAGCCCTCCCCCCACGCCCCCAGCACAGAGTGGCAGGGGCCCAGCCCCACCTGCTACCCTGAAGCTGCCCGAACAAAGCATCAGAGCCTCTGGTGGCTCAGACCAGCCGACAGGTGACTTTTGTCCTGTTCTCTCTGCTCTTGCCAGAGTAGTTTTATTTCTTCTCACACTTGAAAAATATTGCATTTCACAGTTCTGTGTCAGCAACAAAACAACTTGGCTGCCTGGGAAGTGAGCAGGGAGCAATCTGATAATGTGCTCACTGCCATTGTGCCGAGAGCCCCCGGGAGCGGTGGCCCGTCGGGAACTCTGGGCGGCAAATGGCGCCTCACCCATCGTGACCCAAGGTTCTAGGAACCTCCCTGTGGCCCTGGAGCTGTAGCAGAGAGGTCCAGAGCCATGGTCACGGGGCAGAGGAGGAGCACCCGGAGGCCTTGGGTGACTAGAGTGTCAGCCCTGGGGAGCTACACTCCTATGCTGAAAGCCACCCTCACAATAATGGCACAACAGTGAGGACAGTAGCTGGCATTCATGGAGCCCTTGCCAGGTGCCAGGCACTGTGCCAAGCATTAGGGGAGCCTTAGTCTACCGAGTCCTCACCACCTCTCCAGGAGATATGTATCTCATACCCATTTTACAGATGTGGAAACTGAGGCTTAGGTTAAGTCGCTGGCCCAACATCCCACAAACAGGCAAGGGGCAGGGGTGGGATTGAGGCCGGCTCCACCTGCAACAAGCTCTCTGCCTAATGGGCTATCTGAGGTGCTGATCAGGGCTGCAGGAGGGCAAAGGTGGGCCGAATTGGGCCCTGCCCTCCAGGATTCCCGGTCCCACTGGTCCCTGACCCACGCCTCCTGCCTGCAGCTGAAGGAGCACCCAGAGAAGGGCGTGTACGTGAAGGGGCTCTCCATGCACACGGTGCACAACGTGGCCCAGTGTGAGCGCATCATGGAGACGGGCTGGAAGAACCGCTCGGTCGGCTACACGCTGATGAACAAGGACTCCTCGCGCTCCCACTCCATCTTCACCATCAGCATCGAGATCTATGCTGTGGGTATGTGGAGCCGGACAGGGTGGAGGGGGGCCGGGTGACCTGAGCTCGGAGCCGCAGGGGCTCCATCTGAGGCTGGGAGGGACGCTGAACCGCCTGGAGGAAGCACGAGGGGCCCCTCCCCATGCGTGGACCCCTGTTTCCAGGATAAACAGCATCGACAACAACAGTAGCAATACTGGCGGCTACCACTGAGCGCTCGCTGCATGCCGTGCACTCTCTGTGCATTCAGTGCGTGTGACCAGGGTGGCGGCTGCAGCACAGTGCATTCCTCAGGGCCCTTTCCTGACCCGTCCTCCACCAGGTGTTACAGCCGGTTCAGTTTTTCAGCATTAAGAACGCCATCGGGAACTCTTGGCGCACAAAGCCTTGTCTGCTTTGAGAGTCGTTTCCTCAGGTTAGGTTCCCTGGAGCAGTGGCACAGGCCTGCAGCGGGCGCTCCATGTCCCTCCTTCCTCCTCCTCCTCCTTTTCCTCCTCCTCTTTTTCTTCCTCTTCTCTTCTCCCTTCTTCTTCTTCTTTTGGTAATAGCCCAAAGAACCCAGCCCCTCCACGTCCAAGCCTGTCCTGGGTACCAGCCTTACTCCTTTACTTCAGGTTCCTGTGCTCATGGGCAAAACTAGGCCAAGTCTGGTTTCAACCAGCAGGAAACTAAGAAGGAAGCCCCTGCCCCTGGCCCCATTTCATCTCATTTGGAACCGTGTATGGTATTGTCTAGAGACCCCACCAAAAAAACCCCACATTATTATTAGTGAGATTAAGAGCAGCAAGCCATTGTTTAGTGAGTACTTGCTATGTGCCAGGCGACCAGCCCCACCTGCCACCCTGAAGCTGCCCGGACAAAGCATCAGAGCCTCTGGTCCCTGAGCCCTTCCCGGATGGGCCGTTGGTGTGGTCTGCACAGCCACCCTGCAGGGCGGGGCCTCGATTCCCGCTTTACGGAGAGGAAGGCCGAGGCTCAGAGCCAGGTGAAGTTACAGTATTTCCCCCAGTTTCACGGCTGCTGAGGGGCAGAATCCAGCTTGAACCCCCACAGGGTGTGTCTTCAAAACCTGTGCTGCGAGGCCCTGCTACCAACCCGAGGGTGCCAAGCTCCCGTCACCCTCGGCCCTCGGGGCCTGTCCAGCTGGCACGGCCTCAAGCCACTGCAGAACTGGGCTTGCTTTCAGAGGAGGGGAACTCCTGCTCTGCGCCAGGCCCCCTGTAGACCCTGTGAAAACGTGCGTCAGTTTGCCCCTCCCACTGCCAGCTCTGCTGGGGAGCTGCTGTTGGTCTCATTGGTTGACAGGAGAACTGAGGATCAGAGAGGCGCATGGCTCTGCCAAGGTCACACAGCAAGTAGGAGGCAGGACTGGGATGGGAATCTCCAAAGCCAATGTTTTTGGCATTAAAGGATACAACTCCATGGTGACCCGGTCATTTCCCCCGACCCTGACGAGAAATCTGTAGGAGCTGTGTGGCAGCCAGAGAGGGCTTCTGCTTGCACAGAATACTGTAGGCCTCCCAGCCCCTGCTTCCTGGAGTCAGACAGCTGGGGGGCCGCGGCAGGCTACTAGCTGTGGGCCTTGGCCAAGTTAAGTGCCCTTGCCGAGCCTCAGTTTCCTGATCTGTAAGATGGGCACAGGAAGAGCACCTCCTTCATGGGCAGAATGGGACCCTCGGTGCCTGATGGCTAACTGGCCCCCTCCCCATGGGGGGCTCACCTAAAGGCCCCCCCCTGGCTGGTCTCTCTGCAGACGAGCGGGGCAAGGACCACCTCCGGGCAGGCAAGCTGAACCTGGTGGACCTGGCGGGCAGCGAGCGGCAGTCCAAGACGGGGGCCACAGGGGAGCGGCTCAAGGAGGCCACCAAGATCAACCTGTCGCTGTCAGCGCTGGGCAACGTCATCTCGGCCCTGGTGGACGGGCGCTGCAAGCACATCCCCTACCGCGACTCGAAGCTGACGCGGTTGCTGCAGGACTCCCTGGGCGGCAACACCAAGACGCTGATGGTAGCCTGCCTGTCGCCCGCCGACAACAACTATGACGAGACGCTCAGCACGCTGCGCTACGCCAACCGCGCCAAGAACATCAAGAACAAGCCGCACATCAACGAGGACCCCAAGGACGCCCTGCTGCGCGAGTACCAGGAGGAGATCAAGAGGCTCAAGGCGATTCTGGCCCAGCAGATGGGCCCCGGCAACCTGTCAGGTGGGGCCTTTTGGAAGGAAGTGGCAGGAAGGGCCCCCGGTCTGCCTGCCGCCAGCCGGGTCTGGGAGATGTGGAGGTGACGCGCCATGTCCTCTCCACTTCACGGGAGCATAGTTTTGGAACAGGGAGGGAGGGGAGGGAGGGCCCTGGTTTGGGACAGCCTGGGTGGCATCTGCTCAGTGATGCCCCAGGAAGGGGCCGGTCTGTCTATTCTGTTGCATCAGCTGGTTTTGGGCGGGGGGCTGTCGCCTGCTCCCTGCCCCTGGGCTGCACATCCGACATCCCTTTGTCTGCCTGCCGGCTCTGTGGCAGCATTGAAACGCTGTGCCACTGAGCAGCTGGGTGACTCAAGCCCCCACGTCTCACCCCCCACGCCGAAGGGGCACCTTGTGAAGGAAGCACTCGTGCCAGATGTTTGGCTGTCAGCTGGTCAGTAGAAATCCGTACCTAGAGCATAGGTCTGCAAGCTTCTTGCAGCTGAAGGACTTCAAGGTTTCTTTCTTACCTGAGAAAGCTTTGGGGAAGGGAGCACAAAAGAACCTGAGTCTGTCTGTCCATCCACCCAGCTCCCCACCCACCTTCCTCACTATCCATCCACTCTACACACACCCATCCATCCTTCTATCCAAGTTCCCTGGGTACCCCTCTGTGTGGACCTGTGCTGGGCACTGGGCACACGAAGATGCTTCAGATCCAGGCTCTGCCTCATGGGCACCTCACCTGGGCAGTGGGTGTTGGGGGAACATTCCAGCAGACCACCATATGGGACAGGGTGATTGAGCAGAGTCTTGAGGAATGACAAGTCTCCCTGTTGGGACGAGCGTGGCCAGTGTGCACAAAGATGCACAAAACAATAAGGTGCATCTGGGGAACCACAAGTACTTGAGCTGAGCGGGGCGGTGGGAGATGGTCGGGGAGGGGCTGGCAGGGGCGGAGCAGCACGGCCTTGAACTTGGCATGGGATTCCTCTGGCAGTCGGCCTTCCTCTTCTGTCCCTGCTTCCCTGCCCCTGACCCGCCTCGCCCTCAAGGTGGGTAAGGAGTCTCTAGCTGCAGGAATGGCGAGAGGCGCGGGAAGGAGTCGGGGAGGCCCTGTCAGCGGCTCCCCAGACACTGCAGCCTGCGGGGTAGGGGCTGAAACACCTCCCGCAGGGCAGGGCAGGGAGCCGAGAGCTGAGAGGCGAGCAGTCGTCGCCAGTTTGTACCCTGGCTCCTTGGGCAAGCGGCATAGCCCCTCTGTGCCTCCATTTCCTCATCCGTAATGTGGAGGCAAGGACAGCACCACCGGCCTTGTTGTAAGGCTGTTGGGAGGATTGAGGCGTGAGATAGGCACGCGTGGGCTTAGCACATAAGGCTCGTTAGACACATGATGCTTTGACTTTGTAGTCAGCCTTAAACCAGGTGTCTGACTCAAAGCTCCGTGTGTTTTCCCCCACATGGTACTTCCTGTTAGCGTGGCGCCCTCCACCCGTTCCCGCCTCTGGCTACTGGCACAGTTCTCTCCTCCCCAAAGAGCAGACGGCCAAACACGGGTCTGTTTCCACTGGCCCCCGTTCCTCTGCCCCCACCCTCCCACCCCCAGTCCAGGCAGGCTGTGCGCCCCGTCCCACTGACCCCTCCCTTGTTCCCGGTGACCTCCTGGTGGTCCTGTCCAGAGAGTGACATCTTGTCCTCAGCGTCCCCTCACTTGGCTGAGCTCCTCCCTGCTCCTTGAAACCCTTGCTTCCTGGACACTCTCTGTCCTGGTCCTCCTCCCTCCTCTCTGTCCCCTCCCAGGAGTCCTCTGCTCCCTGCCCTTCTAAGGCACAGTTATCCTGGGCGGCCTCTGCCCCTCCTCCCTCGACACGCACTCTGAAGGTGGATTCTCGGGTCTCCTGGCTTTGAACACCATCTCCACGCTCATGGCTCTGACCCGTGGACCTCCAGCCGGGCCATGTGATTTGTGTCCAGGTCTTAATTTATAAAGGTGACTGAATGGTGACACAGAGAGGTCAGTGCCATTGAAAGAGAAGTTTAATGTCACATTTACCCTAGAAACAGGAGGCACGCACACCCCGCAGGGCCACAGAGGCGGCACCCGAGTCAGTGGGGAGACAGCGAGGAGCCCAAGGACAGCCCTGGCGAGAGCCGCCCTGGGGTCGCCGAGGGAAAGGCAAGGCAGGGCAGGAGCAACAGCTCAGGGCTGGCTAGTCCGGATCCTTCTGGCAGGTTCGGGGTCCAGGGGCTGTCCCCGCCTGTCTGGCGCCTGGTTCTTGGGGGATTTGGGGCAGGGGAAATACTGGTTTGGTGTGTGAGTTGGATCAGCAACGTGGTTGGGGGTGTGGACTCAAGATCCATTGCTTTTTTACATACGAAAGGCAGGGCGGGCTCACCAACAGGTTCTTTACTCCCTCCAGGAATTGACCAGCCTAAGAGGGGTAGTCTCTCCCTGGCCAGCAAGACCACCAGATGTCAAGGCACCATAAAAAAGAAAATTTATAAAAGCGGTTGACGCAGTGTGTCCTGAGTTCCAGGCTTGACCGCCCCGCTGTCTAACAATCATTTTAAGCTTAACTTGTCCAACACTGCACTCTTGGTCTTCCCCAGATCTGTCGTCCCACAGCTGCCCCTCAGCTGTCCCCACCCAGCCTGGCGGCACCTCTCTCTTTCCCTGGGTTCAAGCCAGAACCCTTGGGGTCATCCCCGGCTTCTCAAAAGCTCCAACCTATGACCAACCCTATAGTCTCTACCTTTAAAACATGTCCAGGACCTGCCCACTGCCGTCCCCGGGCTTAAGCCACTGTCCTCTCTCACCTGCATTACTGCGGAGGCTCCGGCAGGTCTCCTGGGGTCTGCCCCTTACCCGCCCGGTACGTCTTCCATGGAGCAGCCAGGGAGACCCTGCTCAAAAGCAACTCTTTTCACTGCCCTGTGCAAATCCTCCAATGGTGCATTTTAACCCAAAGTCAAAGCTGAGGCCTCCCCTTGGACTGCAAGTTCCCCATGACCTGGCCCATTCCCTCTGCCACCTCCTCTTTGCCCAGACTCTCCCTCACGCACTCTGCTCCGGCCAAGGCGGCCTCTTGGCTGCTCCTGGGACAGTCCAGGCCCCTGCCTGCTCAGGACCTCTGCACTCGCCGCTCCCTTCTCTCTGTCCCCAGGGCCTCAGCCCTCCTTGCCTCTGTCCTTCGCTTCCTCAGATTGCTGCTTTCCTCTTACCTTGTCTCTGAGGTCACCCCTCTCTTTCCCCACCATTTCAATTGCAGCCCTTCTGCCTGGTTCTTATTCTTGAGCCTCCTCACTGTTCTCTCTCCCTCCTTACAACATATCACCTTGTCAACATGTCATGCGTTTGCTTATTTATTTCATTTGCCTTTTCTCTCCCAATTGAAAACAACTTGTGGGAGTGGAGCTTTTGTCTGTTTTGTTCAATGCCACATCCCCAGTGCCTAGAACATGTGGTCCTCAAGAAATATTTCTTTTATTTTTTAAAATACCTTTTATTGATTATGCTGTTACACTTGTCCCAATTTTCCCCCTTTACCCGCCTCTGCCCAGTACCCCCTTCCCTCTGGCAATCTCCTCTTAATTCATGTCCATGGGTTGTGCATATAGATTCTTTAGTTTCTCCATTTCTTATACTATTCTTAACACCCCCCCATCTATTTTGCACCTACCAATTATGCTTTTTCATCCCTGCACCTTTCCTCCCATCTCCCCCCCCTCAGCTGATAACCCTCCAAATTATCTCCATACCTATGATTCTGTTCCTGTCTTGTTCTGTTCTTGTTTGCTTAGTTTGTTTTTTTAGATTCAGTTGATAGTTATGAATTTGTTGCCATTTTAAAGCTTTTTATTTATTTATTTATTTTTAGAGAGAGGGAAGGGAAGGGAGGGAAAGAGAGGGAGAGAAACATCGATGTGTGGTTGCCTCTCTTATGCCCCCAACTGGGGACCTGGGCTGCAACCCAGGCATGTGCCCTGACTGGGAATTGAATCAGCGACCCTTTGATTAGCAGGCCAGCGCCCAATCCACTGAGCCGCACCAGCCAGGGCTTCTTTTTCTTAAATAAGTCCCTGTAACATTTCATATAATAATGGCTTGGTGATGATTAACTCCTTTAGTTTTACTTTGTCTGGGAAGCACTTTATCTGCCCTTCCATTTGAAATGATAGCTTTGCTGGATAGATACTAGGTTAGGTTGTAGATACTAGATACTGGATAGGTTGTAGATACTAGGTTTTCATCACTTTGAATACTTCCTGCCAGTCCCTTCTTGCCTGCAAAGTTTCTTTTGAGAAATCAGCTGACAGTCTTATGGGAACTCTTTTGTAGATAACTCTCTGCTTTTCTCTTGCTGCTTTTAAGATTCTCTCTTTAAGCTTTGGCATTTCATTTATGATGTGTCTTGGTGTGTTTCTCTTTGGGTCCAACTTGTCTGGGACTCTCTGTGCTTCCTGGACTTGTATGTCTATTTCTTTCACCAAATTAGGGAAGTTTTCTTTCATTATTTTTTTCAAATAAGTTTTCAATTTTTGCTCTTCCTCTTCTCCTTCTGGCATGCCTATGATTTGGATATTGGTACATTTGGAGATGCCCCAGAGGCTCCTTATACTACCCTTGTTTTGTTTTGAACTCTTTTTTTCTTCTTTATGTTCCAAATCGTTGATAGGAATCCCAGCTTCTTCCCCTTCACTTTTGGTTCCCTGTTGATTTTTCTTTATTTCACTTAGTGTAACCTTCATTTCTTTCTTTATGTTGTTGCCATACTCAATGAGTTCTTTGAGCATCCTGATGACCAGTGTTTTGAACTCTACATCTGATAGGTTGTTTATCTCTGTTTCATTTAGTTCTTTTTCTGGGGTTTTGCTCTGTTCTTTTATTTGGGCTGTATTTCTTTGTCTCCTCAATATGGCAGCCTCCCTGTGTTTGTTTCTGTGTATTAGGTAGAGCTGCTTTGATTCCCTGTCTTAGTAGTGTGGTCTGTTGTAGAAAAGACATGTGTAAATTTTGCAGGGCAAGCCTTAGGTAATCACCAGGGCAGGGCAACCTACTTCATGGCTTTGTAGCTCTGTGTGGGGGGGGGGGGGCGCCTCGGAGAGCGGACAGTGCTGCTGCCTGGCTTCTGGAGGTTGCTGGCACTAGCCCTATTTCCAGTCATTTCACTTACACCCTGTATGTGACTGGTGCCCTTCCAGCTGTTGTCCTGGTGCTGAATCCTAGAGGGGGTGGTTCTATGTAAGTTCTAAGACTGTGTGGGCCCTTTAAGTGGAATCTCTTGAAAATCTGGCAGTTTCTTCTGCTGCCCCAACCCCTACTGGTTTTTATAGTCAGAAGTTATGGGGATTTTTATCATCCTGGCGCTGGGACCCTGGGCTGTGTGGTCTGGCTGGGGGCTGGGATCACTGGCTCCCAAGGTATCCCAGCTGATTTTTATGCACCACTCGTGAATGGGGGACCACCCATTCCACTACTGCTGCCATCTCTCTGCGCCATAGCGCATCTCCTCACCGCTTCCCTGTTTCCGCATCTCAGCTCCTTCTGTCTGGATGAACGTGGCTTCTTTAAATCCTTGGTATTCGGACTTCCATACAGTTCAGTTTTCTGACAGCCATGATGTTGTTTGTTTTGACGTTTACCTATAAGTCTCTGTGTGTGCACGAGGAGGCAAAGCGTGTCTACCTACAAATCCACCTTGATGGGAAGCCCCCTCGAAATATTTCTTAAATGATTGGATAAATTAGCACTTTCCAGAGAGACGTGCTTCAAATAAATTCAATACTTCGAAGTCTTTTTGAATGAGCATGTAGTTGTCTTTATGGATTGCTGCTTAGTTCCTGCAAACAGCGCGCCCCTTGGTCACAGCCCCTCGTTTCTGTTTTCCTCCCAGCCCTGCTGTCCAGTCAGGTGCTCCTGAACCCTGTCCAGCCGGAGGAGAAGCCATTGCCCCCGCCTGTGATCCAGCACGACACAGAGGCTGAGAAGCAGCTGATTCGGGAGGTGAGACCCGGAGCAGGTGGGAGGATGGGCCGGCTGGTGGGGCCCGGTGGCGGGAGGCTATCTCCAGAACGATGTTATTCCACCCCCACAATCACCCTGGGGTTGGCACTACAACCTCCCTTTTGGATCTCAGAAGGCTGAGGCTCAGCGAGGCGCTGTGACTTGCCCAAGGTCGTGCAGCTAGGGAGAGTCAGAGCTGGGACTGGAACTCAGGTCCCTGACTCCAGAGTCCAGCGCAGTGCTTCGCATCGCACGTCAGGGGGAGGAGAGAAGGGGGCGTCGGGGTGCCGGCCGGCGCGCCTCTGCACTGCTGGAAGGGGCGGGGTCTGACCTCGGCAGTCCCTTTAGGGCCGTGGCTTTCTCTTGGTGGAGAACCTGGTGGCAGAAGGAACAGCTCTGCAGGGACTGGGGCCTGGACGTGTCTGCTGCTGCCCTTTGCCACTCAACTATGACCTCAGGCGGGACCAGCCTTGAGGCCCCGGGAGCCCTGGTCAGGCTGTGGGGGCCTGGGGCCCAGCCTCTGGGGGGGCAGACCTGGTAAGGCCCGTGGTCCTCAGTCCTGCGGGCTGGGAGAACTCGACCTACGAGTCCCCAAGCGCTGCCCCTGACAGGCAGAGGCAGAGGCTGTTACCGTTCAGGGAGCGGCTCAGCAGTGGGCCCTGTGGACCCTGTCCTGGCTCCCGGAAGATTCTGGGAGCCCAGTGGCTCAGTCTGCCTTTTCCCTGCTGGGAGCTCCTGGGCAGGGGGAGCTGAGGGCCTTTAAGGATGGCTGAGCCCAAGCCCACAGAATGAGAGAACAGGGGGTGTTGGAATTACAAAGCCAGAGGTGGACGTTGGTCACAAAACGGTAGGGGTGGGAAGGATTGGCCAGCAGCAAGGATGGGAGCTTCCTCCCCAAGGACAACCTGTTGGGTGGACAGGCACCGCCCCCTAGTGGTCACCAGGGAGAAGAGGCGTTATGCGGGCTGGAGGGTCTTTCTGCTCTGGGAATGGGGGGCGGGGGTCGCCTGGCTCCTCCTTGTGGTGCAACCTAGCGGACACTGCATCAGAGCATTGTTATATTAGGCCACCCCCACTAAGTTTCTTTTCTGACCCTCAGGTTTATTCTGTGAGCCACACATGGAGGAAAAGTTGAGAGTGTCTGTCCTCTCTCCGTTCCATTCCAGAACGAGTCAGGACGCTCAGGAGGAGGGAGGTGGCCCCTGTGTGCCATGGAGAGGGTGCTGGGCGGTAAATGGACTCAGCCATGAGCTGCGGTGTGGCTGTGGGCTTGTCTCCCAGCCGTATGGGGCGGGATTTGAACTAGAAGGCTCCTAGGGTCCATCCAGCTTTCACATTCTGCAAGTCCAGTTCTTACGGGCTCTGTGACCTTGGGCAGGCTGTTTACGCTCTCTGAGCCTGTTTCCCATCTCTAGGGTGGGTGTAATAGCAGCTCTCCTGCTACTGTAAGAGGGGGTCTCATTGTTGGGGTTTGCAGTCTAGCCCCATTCAATCATCAGCAAAGCATTTTCTGAGCGCCTGCTGGGCACTGCAGCTGGAGGCGCATGTGAGGCTGAGGAAGACTTTTATTGCTTCTGAAGTTGGAAGTAATAGAGCAGGCTTTGTAAACTACTGGGAATGGCCTAGAGCCGAGGGAGAAGTTTGTGGTGTAGGAGGGAGTGGGGATTGAAAGATGCGCTGGCTGGTGTGGCTCAGTGGATTGAGTACCTGCCCGCGAACTACAGGGTCGCTGGTTCCCTTCCCAATCAGGGCACAGACCTGGGTTGCGGGCCAGGTTCCCTGTTGGGAGCATACGAGAGGCCACCATACATTGATGTTCCTCTTTTTCCATACCTTCCCCTTTCTCTAAAAATAAATAAATACAATAAAAAAAAAGAGCAAAGTCCACAAGTGGGAGGCTCAGCCTCAGATGGTTCATTTCACTGTCACAAGAGAGGATGCGGGGCTTTGGGCAGGTGGACCGGCAGGTGGACGAGGAGGCGTGGGGCGGGCAGGCGAGGCGTCCATGTGGAGGGTGAGATGGGGGACGCGCAGGGATGGGGTTGAGGGCCGTTTTTATAAAACCTATTTGTCGACGTGGAAAAGCGTTCATGATATATTGCTGTGTGGAAAAATACATGACAGATACATGTATTACAATATCAACCTGTTAAAAATACATAGAGAAGAAAAGTTCAGAAGGGTGTTCACCAGCCATGACTTACCCCAGGTTTGGGTAGGTAATTTTAATTCTGTTCTTTTGGCTTGTGTTTTCTGGATTGCTTGAATGACAAAAAAAATTCTTTTTAAAAAGGAATGCTGAAAGCTGTGTTTTGAAATAACATAAATTTGTGATAAAATGCTGCCCCTGTGTCCCCCACCCCGCCCCCAGGAGTACGAGGCACGCCTGGCCCGGCTGCGGGCCGACTACGAGGCAGAGCAGGAGTCGCGTGCCCGGCTGGAGGAGGATATCACCGCCATGCGCAACTCGTACGACGTGAAGCTGTCCACGCTGGAGGAGAGCCTGCGCAAGGAGACAGGTGGGCACCCGGCCCGGGCTGTCGGGGGAAGCCAGCCTGCTTTCCTCCTCATTTTACTGACCGACGTTTATAGAGCATTTTGCACCCACTAGGATCAGTTCTATTTACTCACAGCAGCCCACTGAGGTAGGTACCACAATCACTCTCATTTTATGAATGATGCAAGTGAGGCACAGAGAGGGTAAGCAACTTGCCCCGGGTCACACAGCAGGTAAAGTGGAGCCAGAATTTGAACCCAGGCAGCCTGGCCCCAGAGCCAGTGCTGTCACCCACAGCACTGCATCGTGATGCCTTGGCTGACTCGGTGTTGTATGGGCAAGTCCCTTTCCAGAGTGTCTGCATTTTCCACAGTCTCCTTTCACTTTGGAGTCTGTTACCAAAGTAACCACATCCCATCAAAACCATTCAGTCATTAGTAAGAAGTTTACCCTTCCTGGAAGTATTTATCTTCCTTTTGACATTCTAGAATGTTCCGTTCCATCACTATCATTCAAACACCCGTGCCACCAAGCAGCACAGACTTCCTAGTACTCACCCAAACACTGTAAAATCCACCTTGTAATGATGACACTATTGGGCACATCATCAGTACCATTTATTGGACATTGCTGTGTGCCTGGTACTGAGTAGGTGCTTCTGCTGAGCTCCTGTAGAGGGCTAGGACTCACGGAGTCCCCATGTTGCAAGTGTGCAAACTGAGGCTTGGAGGAGAGGGTCAGGCCACGGAACCAGGGAACATCTGGAATGTCACAGGAGAGCCCAGGATTCAAGCGACAACCAGGTGGTGGGATGTAGAGGAGGTGGTCCGATGCCTTGAGCTGGGAGCACCAACGAGGTCTGTGTGATCCCAGTCCCCTCCAGGCGGGCAGGAAGGTGCCACTCTCGGTGTAGACCCAGAGGAGGAGGGGAGGGGCAGGTTCTAGCATTTTCTGTCCTTCGGGGCATTCCCTCCAGTCCAGTTTGAACATTAGTTCTCGGAGTGATTTTATTTGCTCTAACATTCATCCACAGTGTCGATATAACTCCTGCAGGTCTAGCATTTGCACCCCGTGGACAAGAGCCTTGAGCTGGGTGCTCTAATGGGGACTCCTTGGGGTCTTGGGGGGAGGGAAATCTGCTGGTCAGGAGCTCTCGGCCTCGGAGGCAGCAAGGCCCACAGGCTTTCTTGTTAGAAGCAGCCCCAAGGCAGGGAGGTGAGAGCCCAGCACATGGCAGCTGGGAGGTCAGAGGACGGAGAGATCATGGGGCTGGTCAGGGAGGCCTCCTGGAAGAGGTGGAAGGGGACAGGGTTTGAGTTCCGACGGGGGGAGAGGGGAGAGGGTCAGAGACAGGAACTGATATCTGTTGGGGTTGGGAGGCTCTGACCTTCAGGTGGTCTCTTGGAAACAGTGGGCTTGGGACCAGCTTCCAGGAAGGTTCCCCACACTCTAACCTGCCGAGAGCTGAAGGAGGCTCTCCATCTGCAGAGGCTGTCCTGAAGGTGGAAGTCCTCTGCAAGACCGAAGTCACGTCCAGGGCCGCATTTGTCGACACGCCTGAGTCCTCGTCAGCTTTCCAGTATGAGACGGCCGTGAAACCAGAGGCCTCCTCCGGAGCCGGCACGCCCTGCAGTGAGGGTGTTTCCAAGACCGGGCCTCCCTCCCGGGCTGAGGACCTGCGCAAGGTGGAGGCCTCCAAGTCTGAGATTTCTTTTGGGTCTGATGAGTCGTCCACACTCGAAGAAACCTCCGTGTCCGATTCCTTCCCCGGGCTCAGGGAGCCCTCCAACCTGGAGCTGTCCTCCGTGCGAGAGGTGGAGGCCAAGAGCAAGTACTTCCTGGGGGAGGAGCTCTTCCTGCATGAAGAGGAGCCCCAGCTGATGCCGCTGGAGCTGCTGCCAGGCCTGCACGACCCATATGCCGACATGGAAGCCAAGCTGGCCCCACCTTCCTCCACTGTGGCCCGGGCAGACGCAGCCAAGGTCCCCGTGCAGGTAGCTGATGCCATGCACAGAGCTCAGCTAGGGGCCCGGAGGTCACCGGGCATACACGGATGTCTCACCTCTGTGGCGCCAGCTCCAACTCCACCCCCTGTGGTGGCTGTGGTCGGTGGCCGGCTCAGGGCACCACTGTCTAGGGGGCTAGGAGAGGGAAGCTTTGTGTCATGCTCCGTGCATCAGCAGGAATGCTGAGGTGGAGATCCAAGGCGATGCCAGGTGCCCACCTGTTCTGCTGACAGAGGGACACCTGCAGGGGAGCTTGCTGAGTTGCCATGGTTACACTGACCGTCCGGGCCTGAGAGAGCTGAGGAGGCCACGGGCAGCCCTCATGCTCTCGCGGGCTCAGTGCGGCGAGCTGGCCTGGGGAGCTGCGGGGACCCAGCCACCTTGTAGGGACCACCCGAGCATCCAGCCCCATTGCTCCTTCTCCATCCGCTCTTTGTCAGTCTTCCCGCTTTTCAACCCATTTCTTTTATGTTGAAAATCTTTTTCCCTTTTTTTCTTTCCTTTGTTCCTTTCCTCTCTTTGCTCTTCCTGCTCTTCCTTTCCGTGGTGTGTGTGGTGATTTGGTGTGTGCTGTGTGCGTGGTGTGGTGAGTGTGTAGTGTGGTGTGTATGTGGTGTGGTGTGTGTGGGGGGCAGTATGTGTGTGTAGAGCACACGGTGCCTTTGAGTCAGACAGAGCTGGGTTCAGGTCCCAGCTGCACCGCTCCCTTAGTCATGTGACCATGGCCAGGCACTTCCTGGGCCTCGGTTTCCTCGCCTATAACACAGGGCTGATGGGTGCTCCACATGAGGCGATGCAGGTGCTCAGAACATGCCCTGTCTCTCCCTTCACCCATTTCTCTCTTCCCTCTTCTTTCTCTCTCTTCATCTTGCCACCCTGCTTCCCGCTCCTTCTCTCGATGGTGACAGGCAGGAGGGGGTGGTGGGGTTGGGGAGCGGAACAGGAGGTTGGGCCAGGGGAGCAGAGGCTGATTCTGGCCCAATGGTCCCTCTTTCTCCCCTACCCCTTCTCCTTCAAGTGCCCCTCCCTCGCAGATGTCCTGGAGCCCAGGGACCTCAGTTGTGAAGCTGAGGCGGAGGGCGACCTCCTGCCTGGGACTGTGAGTACCCCTGGGCCGGCCCTCTGTGGGACTGGGGGGACTTCCAGGGGCCTGGCCCTTCCTGTGACACTCCACTCCTCCCTCTCCGCGCCTCAGTTTCCTCATCCATAACACAGGGACAGCAGCCCCAGCCCTCCCCCAGCTCCGGGATGGCCCATGGCAAAGCAGTCAACAAACCCGAGGAGCTGTTACACCTCTTATTATCCATGTCAATAAGAGGCCACTGTTCGGCAGTGGTTTTCAGACTGCCCCGGCCTCCGCACCCTTAGCTAAAGCACAGAGGCCTGTTGTGTGAGGGGGACAGGCTGAAGGCAGTGGCGGGGGGGCCCTGGGCCACTGTCAGGCACCCCACCGAGGGCGAGGGGGCCTTTGGAACATGGCTGCTCTCAGACCCATCCCCCTCCGCTTAAGAGAGCGCCACAGGCCTTGGGGAATGAGAGGAAGGCTTTAAACCTACTTACATCTTTGGAGAGAGAAAACTACCTGCCAGCCCCTGGACCTGACCACTGGGTAGGAGCGGGCGCCCTGCAGGTTCTTAGTAGATGGCACGTGGGGTGGCGGGGGGACCCTGGCTATAAGGTGACATTGAGATGGAAACCAAGGAGGAGGAAGGGGCCAGGAGGAGAGTGCGTGTCAAAGTCCTGGGGCTGGAAAGGCCTTGACTTTCTCAGGAACGGGAAATGAGGCCCTGGAAGCAGCAGGGTGGACAGATGGTGGGGGCGGGGAGGGGTGCGGGGAGCAGGGGCGGAGGCGCGCAGCAGGCTGTGGGGGAAACTGGGTTTTACTGCGGATGCCGTGCGAATCGTGAAGGGCTCTAATCAGGAAAGGGCTGTGATCATTCTGTATTTAAAGAAAATGACCCCAGCTGCCTCCCAAGACCCGGACGGTGCGGGCGGGAGCGGAAACGGTGCAGCAGGAACTTGACTGGTGCATTTTTGTGTAACTGGCGTCCCTGAGCCGGAGGCGATCCATCCAGATGGGAGGGATGTAATGTCCCCCTGCGGGATTGAGGCCGCCGTGAGCTCCTCTGTCAGGCTCTGGGCTCCCCCCTCCACCGAGGCTTCTCTTTGTGCCCAGGAGGTTGACCGGAGCCCAGAAGTCACGAAAGAGGTGGTGCTGGCAGCAGAGCCTGGCATGGGGACCGAGGCCGCAGCGCAGCCCCTGCTGGCCATGACACGTTCGAGAAGGGACAGTGTGGGTGTGGAGGTGGCAGTGCTGACCAACGACGTGACGCCCATCGTGGACCAGCAGCAGGTGCTCGCCCGGTAGGTGCCGCGGCTTGGTGCTGGCAGGGGCCTCTCAGTGGCAGGGTGGGAGGGGAGCTGTGCCCCAGGTGGGGGGGTGCCCACCGATTCTTCCCGACCCCCACCGAGCCTCACCTAACGCTCCCCCCCTGGCGTGCCCTGATCCTCTCTGCAGGAGCAGGGGCGCGGGATGGTGCTGGAGTCCGCGGGGGGCGGGGGGTGGGGGTGGGGGGTGGGGGGGGGGGGGTGGGGGGCGGGGCCCTGCTCTGGAAACTGCGCAGGGGCCACCACGTCCCATCAGGTGCCCCCTCTGGGAAGAGGCGAAGGACTGTTGCTCACCTGGCTTTTGCAGGGTCTGGCCTTTAGGTTTCAGAAACCCTGGGACAGGGCGACACAGGCTTCACTCAGGTCCTAGCCCAGCCCAGCCTCCAGTGCCCTCCCTGATGGAAAACTTGCTCCTCCTGGGGACAAGTCACCCCTGAACACCCTCTGGGGCCTGGGCTTTCCTCACTGGCTGTGCAGCTTTGTGCAAGTCCCTCAACATTTCTGAGCTTTAGTTCTCGCTTCTGTAAGTGAGAGTAGTGTTGGCCCATGGCCAGGGGTCTAGCCTCCTCCCAGCCCATACTCCGTAGCTCAGACACTAACTGAGCAACTCCTATGGGCTGGGCACCAGGATGCAAAGATGAGGGAGATGCCGCCTTGTCCCTCAGGGGGCTCATGGTCCCGGGGGAGGCAGGTACACAGGGTCGGGGTCTGCAGCAGTTTGCAGTGACGGTGCTGTGCAGTCAGCTGCCTGGGTTGCCGTCCGCCTGCACCAACCGCCCAGTTCTGTGGGGCTGACGTCAAACCTCCCCTGTACCTTAGCTTCTCATCTGCAAATGACAGTGCGAGTTCCAGCTTGGGAAGCTCGTTGTGAGGGTCAAATGTGACAGCGCCTGCAGAGGTGGTGGTCTGGGGTTGGGCACAAGTGGCAGTTGTCGTGATGAGGTCTGGAGTGTGGTCAGGGAAGGCTGCCCAAAAGAGGGGACATCTGAATAAAATTTGCACGACAGAGGCCTCGGTAGCATTTGACATGCCAGGCACAGCCAAGGTGGCACAGGGCACAGAGGGAGGAGACAGCCAGGGCGTTTGTAGGACAGCCAGCGAGTGAAAGCCAGAGTGAGTGAGGAGTGGTGGGGGCAGGGGGAGGGGAACACAGAGGCCCTGTGTGCCCCGGGGCTGGGGCTTCGTCCTGACTCGACCCGACAAGGACTGCTTTTAAGCAGAGCGGTGACTTGAACATGGCTCCCTTCTGCTGTCGCTGCCGCCCAGCCTAGCACCGAGCCTGAAGCCGAGTCTGGGCCCCGCGGCAGCTCTGTTCACACGGTCCCATCCTTTCCCTGGAGCAGGACCATCCCTGTAGTGAACCCCCGTCATGCTTTCTGTCGGAAGCCCCTGTGTCCCTGGGGAACGAGGCAGCGTCCAAAATGCGTTCGTGGTGCTTCACCGGGCAGTGAGGAGTTCCACGGGAGCCTTTCTGGGAGATTATTTATTTATTCACTTGTAAAAGATCTCATCTATTTACTTTTAGATAGAAGGGAAGAGAGGGAGAAAGAGAAGGAGAGAAACATGGATCGGATGCCTCTTGTACGCTCCCAACTGGGGACCTGGCCTGCAGCCCAGGCGTGTGCCCTGACTGGGATTTGAACTGGTGATTTCTCGGTTTGCAGCCAGGTGCTCAATCTACTGAGCCACACCAGCCAGGGAAAAACCTGTAGCTTTAAAGGGCAAAACTCTAACTGTCTTGAACATTTTGGATATAAATATTTTTTATAAATGTATTATACATGTCTGTGCCTGATTAAACATTGTGCACCGAATGCATTTTTTTTTTTTTTTTTTTTTGCATTTTAAAAACTGAGGTGTCATGGACATGTAACAGTAGTTTCAGGTGTACCATGTCATGATGCCATATTTGTGAAACGATCACCACTGTAAGTCTAATCAACAACTATCGCCATATATAGTTACAAAAATGTTTTTCTTGTGATGAGGACTTTCAAGATTTATTTTCTTAACAACTTTCAAATACGCAATATAGGTTTTTATTTTGTTTTTTTTTTAGAAAGAGAGAGAGAGGAACATTGATTTGCTGTTCCAGTTATTGATGCATTCATTCATTGTTTCTTTATGTGCCCTGACCAGGGATTGAACCTGCAACCTTGGCGTATCAGGATGATGCTCTAACCAACGGAGCTACCTGGCCAGGGCACAATACAGAATTTTTAACTATAGTGTCTATGCTGTACGACACGTACCCAGGACCTATAACTAGAAGTTGGTGCCTTTTGACCACCTACATCCATTTCACCAACCCTATGGCACCCAAACTCTGGCAATCCCTGATCTGTTTTGTGTGTCTATGCTTTGCTTTTTAGGTTCCACATGTAAGCGTGAGTGGCAGAGCATATGGTATTTGTCTTCCTCTGTGTGACTGACCTTGCTTAGCATAATGCCCTGGGGTGCACTGAATGTTTGGAACATCTTCACAGCCGGGGTGTATTCTAATCACGCAGGTTGCCTGGGAGGACAGTGGGAGCCTGCTCTGCTGCTGACCATCAGCACTGGCAGGCTGGTGGCGGGCAGGTTAGCTCCGGGTCTGCAGGGAGATTCTCGCCCTTCCTGCTGGGCACAGCCAGTGCCGTGGCGGAGTTAGGTAATCTGGTAGGAAGCATGGTTCTGACCTTGAACCGGCGGCGCTGCTTCTCTGAGCCTCAGTTTACACCCCTGTAACGTGGGGTGTTGGAGGGATTCCATGTGGTCGTGCCGACAGCAGCAGGTGCTCAGTGATCGGCAGGTGTTGTCATGTGGGCCTTCTCCTCCCTGCTGGCAGTTTGCAGCTGTTGGAGCAGCAGGTGGTTGGCGGGGAGCAGGCCAAGAACAAGGACCTGAAGGAGAAGCACAAGCGACGGAAACGCTATGCAGACGAGCGCAGAAAGCAGCTGGTGGCGGCCCTGCAGAACTCGGACGAGGACAGCGGCGACTGGGTGCTGCTCAACGTGTACGACTCCATCCAGGAGGAAGTCAGGGCCAAGAGCAAGCTGCTGGAGAAGGTGCAGAAGAAGGTGAGGCCCCTGATTTAGGCTCACGCCCCCCACGGCCCCAGGTGGGCATTTATGCATTCTTTACATGAACACCTATTATGTGCCCACTGTGTGCCATGCCCAGGTGTGGATGCAGTCACAGTAACAGGTGTGTCTCTGCTGTCCTGGAGCATACTTTCTAGTGGGAGTGTGGGTGTGTAAGAAATAACACAACAGAGAGCCCTGGCTGGTGTGGCTCAGTGGATTGAGTGCCGGCCTGTGAACAGAAGTGTCGCCGGTTTGATTCCCAGTCAGGGCACATGCCTGTGTTGCGGGCCACGTCCCTGGTTAGGGGCACATGAGAGGTAAGAATGCATTTATGTCTCTCTCTCTTTCTCCTTCCTTTCCCCTCTCTCTAAAAATAAATAAATAAAATCTTAAGAAAAAGGAAATAACAGAGAAACAAGCAAGGGAGTATCCAGGCAACAGCACTATGAAGAGACACTAGGGAGGAGAGGCGGCTTTATTTTTCCACTTTTATTGAAGTACAAATGCCCAGATCTCAAATGTAAAACTTCGTTCATTTCCACAAAGTGACTGCGCCATGAAACCTGCTCCCAGATGGTGGAACAGAGCATTAAGAGGACCCCAGAAGTTCGGAGGGACAGGGGAGCTGTCAGGGCAGCGGTGACTTCTAAGATGGGACCTGAACGTTGAGAGAGAGCACGCAGGCCACGTGATGACCTGCAGGCAGAGCGCTCTGGGTCCAGAGAGGGGCCAGGCCTGGGAAGGAGGTTAGCAATTCCAGGAACAAAGGGGGCAGGTGTGGCCAAGGGTAGGGAGGGAGGCAGGAGCAGAGAGAATGAGGTCCCGCCTCTGTGACAGTCACTAATGCCTTTGGAGCATCCTCTGCATGGTCTGGGCCTCATGATGTCACCCTTGGCCACCTGCTGGGTTGCCCCCTCCTCTTCCCCACGTAGCACTGGCCACCAAAGGTCGTGCTAAAGCCTGAGTGTGAGGCTCTCTTCCTCCTGAAACCTTTTTCATTTCATTTTATTTTTTTTGGCTGTTTTCATGCCGTTTATTAGTATTTCTTGTTACGTTTTTCAGTCAAATTCTTTCTTCCTTGGTATCTCATAATTTGGTTTATATATCTAAGTTTAAAAAAAAATTCTTTCCTGAGTTCAGTTACTGCCCCATTTCATACCATCTTCAAATTCACCTATAGATTCAAGGCCGCCAATAGTAAAGTCCAGCTGGCTTCTTTGCAGAAATTGATAAAGTGACCCTAAAGTTCATATGGAAATTCCAGCACTCAGAATAGACAAAACAATCTTGAAAAGAACAAAGCTGGAGGACCCACACTTCCCAATTTCAAAACTTGCTACAGAGTTAGAGTATCCAAGCCTGTGGTACCGGAGTGAGGACGGACACACAGACCACTGGCATGGAATTGAGAATCTAGAATAAAAGATAAACAGTTCAACTTAAAAGTGGGCAAAGTATCTGAGCAGATATTTCTTCAAGGAAGATAGACAAGTGGCCAATGACCCCATGAAAAGATGCTCAACATCGTTAGCCACTGCAGAAATGCGAATAAAATACACAGTGAGATACCATCTCACACCCCCTAGGATGCTATAATTAAAAAAAGACAGATAATAGCAAATGCTGGGAGGATGTGGAGGAACTGCTGGGGGGAATGTAATATGGTGCAGCCGCTTTGGAAAACAGTCTGGCAGGTCCTCAGCTGGTTGAATATAATGTTTCCATATGCCCCAGCAGTTCCGCTCAAGAGAAATGAAAACACGTCCACACAAAAACTTGTACACTAATGTTCATAGCAGCACTATTCATTATAACCCAAAGTGAAAACAACCACAGATGTAAAAAATGGGGCATATTCACCCAATGGGATATGATTTGGCAGTAAAAAGGAATGAAGTACTGACACATGATACAACATGGATGAACCTTGAAAACACTATGTTAAGTGAAAGAAGCCAGATACAAACACCACGTAGTGTCCGATTCCATTTATATGAAATGTTCAGAATAGGCAAATCCATAAACAGAAAGTAGGTTGGGGTTGCCTAGGGCTGGGGGTCGGGGAGAAGTGGGGAATGACTAATGAGTATGGGGTCTCTTTTGGGGTTTGAAATGTTCTAAAATTGATTAGGGCAATAGTTGTACATGCCTCCATTTAGTGAATATACTAAAAACCACTGAGCTGTACGCTTTAAATAGGTGAATGTAAGACGTGAATTATATCTCAGTAGAGCTGTTGTAAAAATCCTTGCACATGATTCCAGATGTACAAAAATATATAAAGACTATTACCACGAACACCATGTACCTACTGCCCAGCTTGAGACTTGGAGCCTTATTCATTTAGGTGAAGCCCTTGGGTATCTGCCCCTCCCTGCTGGCTCCCTGTGTTCTACCAGGCATCCTCTCTTTTCAGTTGGTTACATGTGATTTCTTTTTTATCCTCACCCGAGGACATGCTTATTGATTTTTGGAGGGAGGGGAAGGGAGGTAGAGAAAGAGAGAAACATCAATTGGCAGCCTCTCATGTGCACTTCCTGTTGGGATGGAACTTGCAACCCAGGCACGTGCCCTTACTGGGAGTTGAACCCATGACCTTCTGGATTTTGGGATGATACCCTAACCCACTGGGCCACACTGGCCAGGGCAAGTTACATGTGATTTTTTTTTAAATAAAGATTTTTATTTATTTATTTTTAGAGAGGGAAAGGAAGGGAGAAAGAGAATGTGCTGTTGCATCTCACGTGCCCCCTACTGGGGACCTGGCCTGCAACCCAGGCATGTGCCCTGACTGGGAATTGAACCGGTGACCCTTTGGTTCTCAGGCCAGTGCTCAGTCCATTGAGCCACACCAGCCAGGGCTCAGTTACATGTGATTTTTACTCCCACAAATTTAAAACCTTCTTCCCTGCCTGTTTTCTGAGGAAGGGGACTGTGCACCGGTGAGTCTTGGGGCTCGGGGAGAGCGTGGCTGCAGCTGGAGTTAGGCGCCACCTGTGCCGAGGAGGGAGTGGAGGGCCAGCCTGACAGACCTGGGCAGGAGATCAAAATAATCTAGACCCTATGGTCAGATCGAGGTGGGTCTGACGCTAGTCCACTGGCTGTCACGTCATAACAGGACTGTGGCAGTGGGAAGGCAGGGATGGCTGAGTCTGAGAGTTTTTGCCTATTGCTCCCCTTAGAAAAAGAATTTGTACAATTCTCTGAGATCTTTGAGGACCGTGGTGACTATAGTGATGTGTGAAACCTGCTGAAAGGCTCCTGAATAAAATGTATGAGTGTGGGATAGTGACCGAGGGCTGGCAGTGGGGGTTGATGATGAACTTCTTTTCGTGCTCTCCACAGCGCCGTGGACACAGTAGGTGCTCATTTAAGTGCTGGGTGGCGAGGTGGTGAGTGAGTGGGTGGGTGGAAGGATGGTGTGCTGGGGGACGCGACCAAATAGATGGAAGGGTGGTGGGCAGACAAGAATGGATGGATGAGTGGATCAGCGAACAGATGGTGACTGGCTGGCTGGGCGAGCAGTTAGTGGATGGGAGGGTGGGTGGATGGTGAACTGTCTCGGCGTGTTTCCTGCTCACGGCTTGTCATGCTATGTTTTCAGCTTCGGGCGGCAGAGGTGGAGATCAAAGATCTGCAGTCGGAGTTTGAGCTCGAGAAGATCGATTACTTGGCCACCATCCGCCGGCAGGAGCGTGACTCCATGCTGTTCCTGCAGCTCCTGGAGCAGGTGCAGCCCCTGATTCGCCGGGACTGTAACTACAGCAACCTGGAGAAGATCAGGCGCGAGGCCTGCTGGGATGAGGACAATGGCTTCTGGAAGATCCCTGAGCCTGTCATTGTGAAAACCAGCCTCCCAGTAGGTCAGCAGCCTGGCTGTCCCCTCGGCCTTGCCTCGCCTCCTTCTCACGTGGCCACTTGGCAGACTGCCAGGGAGCCGTGGGAGAAGCAGACAAGTGACCCTGAAATTCCAGCCATGGGGGACCTGAGAGAGTGGCGTGTTCTGAGTCAGACAGATGCAGGTTGGAACTGTGGCTCCATCACTCCCTGTGTGACCTCTTGGGGACTCAGTGTCCTCATCTGTGAAATGGGGATTAAAAACAGCACCTTCCTTAAAGAGTGCTGGGTGGCTTAAAATGTGTTAATACGTGTAAAACCCCTAGAGCCATGCGTGGCACATCTTAAGTGCCTGGAACACTCCACCATTATCATGATCATCCTTGTCATTTCATCCTATAACCACCCCGTGAAGGACAGGATTGTCACGTGTACTTCCCCTGTGAGGAAATGGAATCTCAGAGAGTGTAAGTGGACCATCCGCAGTCACCACTGTTGCAGTGAGGTGCCAGGCTGGGGACGGGCCCGAGCCGTTCAGTTTCAGGCCTGGTTCAACTTTGGCTTTTGCCGCTAACTCCTGTGTGACCTTATGATGGTCACTGTGCCTCTCTGGGCTTTGGTCCCCTGATCCTCACAAAGAAAGGGTTGGATAAGGTGATCTTAAGGCCCTTCCTCCTCTAGTGAGTCTCAGAGTAAGGCCAGACTTACAGTGGCTCTTTCTGCAGCCACTTAGCAGGCTCTGCCCATTCAGAGGGCGGTAGGTGGTGACATTCCCCAAGGCCCCCACCAGTTCTCTCCCTGGTCAGAGTGTTCGTCCAGGTCCCTTGTCTCTGATGTGTATGGCCACCGCCACCATCCCTGCTGGAACTCCGGGTGGGCAGTGGCAGCCTTCCTCCTGCCCCCAGCAACCTGCTCTCTTGCCTGCAAGCAGGGGAGTGGCTTCTTTGGTGGCGAGCCCTCCCGCTGTGTTCCCCAGAGCCATCCCTTTGCTTGGGCTGGGAAGTGTTCTCCCCGGCCTCCCACCCGGTCTGGGGAGAGTGCTGCAGCCCACCCTGTCCCTCAGGCCCTTGAACCGGGCAGCAGTGACTTCAGCCTTTGTTTTCTCATAACAGTTTCAACAGGGCCACAGAACAAACCAGCCCGCAAAACCTCGGCAGCAGACAACGGCGAACCGGGCATGGTAAGGCCTTGGGGAGAAAGGGGCGAGGGGCGGGGTGGGGGGCCTGGCGTGGCTCGCCCCCAGGAGTAGTGGGTCAGCATTGCTGTAGGGAACTGCACTTCTTTCATCCGCCCTCAGGATCCAAGCAAGGGGCTGAGGCTGGGTCTTTTCTGTCTGACTCTGTTGGCACTTAGACCCTCAATGGCCTCCGGCTCTCATTTAAAGCCACTTATGGCCATAAAGACCAGAGGGGAAGTCGATGGGTCACGTCAGCCAGAGAGGGACAGAAACCTCATCTTCAGTCCCAGAGGCCCAGCAGTGCGTTCTGGTTCCCTGCGCCCCAGTTGGCGCCCCTGGACTAAAAAGATCCCTGAAGTTTCCATAAACCATCATCGGGCTTCTAAAGTCACTTTACTCCCATAGCTCCCATATTTTGTATCACAACAGGGATATACAGGGATATATGCCCTTAAAGCAGAGGTCAGCAACCTTTTCTGTAAAGGACCAGGCAGGAACTACTTCAGGCCTTGTGAGCCATATGGTCCCTGTCACAACTACTCACTGCTGCCACAGCCGTGCGTGATATGTAAATGAATGGATGTGGCTGTGTTCCAATAAAACTTTATAGAAACAGCCTGTGGGGCAGATTTGGCCCCTGGACTGTAATTTTCTGATCACCATTACAGATATTTCAGAAAACCCACACAGAACACACCTTGGATGTCAAGGCCACGCTCAGGCATCTCTGGCTGAGCTCAGAGGGCCCAGGAGGTGTCTCAGGCTGGCCTAAAGCTCGGATTGTCTGCATTTGATAACTTAACTTGGTAAAAAAAAAAGGGGGGGGGGAGTTGTTCCTGAAAAAAACGTTTTTAGCCTGGCACCACTAAGGGGTTATATTAGTCAGAATGCTTCTAGTTTCCAGGGATAGCTGCCCAAAGCAAACAATCGTAAGCAAAATAGGAAATTTAGACCAGTTTCAGGCATGGCTGGATCTAGGGGCTCACACAGTCAGGCTTCGGCTTCTCCTAACATCCTTGCTCTGGACTCCGGCAGCCTTTCTCCACGTGAGAAAGGCAGGAAAGATGGCTGCTGGCAATTAGTGACCAACAGGAAGGGGAGAGCTGGTCTCTTAGGATATCCTAAACTGCTGTGGAAAGGTTCTTATCTATTCTGTCTGGGTCATGGGCCTACTCTTGGACCAATGATTATGTCCAGAAGATGTAGTTCTGTGATTGGTCCAGGCTGGGTCACATGTCTGGCTGTGCAGCCAGGGAGTGGGTGGACAGGTGGGTGAGCGTGGTGGTATCAGGGCACTATAAATGATCACCCCACCAGGATGATGTCAAGTGTGAAAAGGATAGTTCCCTGAAGGAAGAGATCCAGGGTGAAGAAAACAAGTCCGTGATAGTGGTGAAAAGTAACAGTTCGCGGTGATAACAAGGCAGAGACTCCAGTCCTAATGATCATAAATGTGCCCATGCGCCGAGTGCAGCATTACCTATTGCATGAATACGTCAGGATGGGTTTGGGTGTGTTGTATTGTCCTTGCCCCTAATGGAGCCGGAAGGATGCTCTGTTCTGAGTTTTGCAGGAAGGAAAGAGGTGCTTCCCTTTCCTGGTGTAGGGACATGGGCTGTGTCTGCTTGGCTGGAGACGGGGCTGCCCTGCCCCAAGCTACCCAGATACCACCCACCCGGGAGGCTGGGCCTGTGGCAGGGCAGAGCACAGCAGGCAGTGAGGCTCAGGGAAGCGCCACCCCACCAGGAATGCAGAGGCTGCTGAGCCCTGGGGGAGGCCCACATAGGAATTGCACAAACAAGGAGCCTTAACCCATGAGGATTTGGGATCTCAGCAGGAAGAAGACCGCTACAAGGTGATGCTCAGTCGGAGCGACAGTGAAAATATTGCCAGTAACTACTTCCGGCCAAAGCGGGCCAGCCAGATCCTCAGCACGGATCCGATGAAGAGCCTCAGTGAGTGCCCTGCCCACCACTTGTCCTCCCTGAGAGCCCTGGGGCCGCCTGCCTGTTGGGAGGCGTGTGGCAGGCAGATCTGGAGTCAGGCAGCCTGGGTTAGAAACCCCTTTCTCTCTCCCATGAAGAGCCTCAGTTTCCTCAGCGATTAAATGAGAGGGATACATCTACTCAGGATCAGGCGAAATGAAATGGGGGAAATGGTCCAGCCCAGAGCCTGGCACGTCGTAGGTGCTCAGTATACAGTCTCCCCTTTCCTCTACCCCTTTGTTTCCTGGGGGAGACGTACCGTTTGATTCATCCGCCTCCCCGGACACGCTAGGCCCCCCGCACACAGCTCAGGGCCCCGCCGTGGGGTGCATGGCTTCGGGTCAGCGGCCGGCTTCCTCGGCCCGCCGTAGGAGAGGACAGCATCATGGCTTTCTCCTGCGGAGCCCAGAAGGGCGAGCAGGGCCACAGAGCAGAACATTTTCAAAAGCAAGAACTGAAAATCACTTCATTCTTCTGCTTTTAAAACTGAAAGACCACAGAGCTCCCAATAAAACATCAGTGAAAAGCACATCTCAGTTCTTTACTGAGGTTATTTAAGAGACAGAGTGGGTAGAGTCAAGGAATAAGAAGGGAAAAGTTGGACAGGAAGTAAACTAACGTCAGTTGAGAATCTGGCATTGTGCCCATGCTGCAGACAAGGAAACTGAGTCTCAGAGAGTTCAGCCAGGCATCTCTGGGAGGCTCTAAGGAATGTCTCAGGCTGCTGTAAAGCTCTGATTGGCTGCTTTTGATAACTTAACTTTGTAAAGAAGGGAAAGTTGTTCCTGAAAGAAACCATTTTTAACCAGGGGTTACATTAGTCAGGATGCTTTCAGATCCAAGTGAGGCCATACTTCTAGGAAGTGGTGGAGTTGGGCTTTGAACCCAGGCTTTCTGGCTTGAGATCCCAGCCCAGACCCTTGGATACAGACACATGCTGGGTCTGAGGTCGCAGTCAAGCAGCGTCTTAGAGATTGAGGTCCTAGGTGTGGGACCAGAGCCTCTGGCTGGGTCGGGGCTGGGCCAGTTTGTGCACCTACACACAGGGCTTTCTCTCCATACCCTGCACCCCTGGCTTACCAGTGCCCTCTGTGCCTCTCCTCCACAGCACATCACAGCTCGCCACCGGGCCTCAGCTCTCCACTCAACAACAGCTCTGCCATCCCACCCACCCAGGCCCCTGAAATGCCCCAGCCCCGGCCCTTCCGCCTCGAGTCCCTCGACATCCCCTTCACCAAGGCCAAGCGTAAGAAGAGCAAGAGCAGCTTTGGCAGTGAGCCCCTATGAACACAGCTAGCTGCCAGCTGCCCCGTTTTGGGGCTTCTGTAAGACTGCCAGGCCCTCCGGGGCAGCGCCAGCTGGGCCTCCCCCAACCCGCCTCCATTGTGACCAGGGCGCTGGAGGGGGCTCTCGCCCTGGGGAGACAAATTCCCTTCCCTGTTCCCCAGAGAGCCCACTTCAGCACGGGCGGAAGCCTCTGGGAGGCCGGACCATCGCTGGAAAGGCCCACTCCTGCTCTCAACGCCACGTCAGTATTCCCTTCTGCTCGCCTGCCCCAGGGCCTGCCATTGTGCCCGCCAGTGTTGCCTGGTGCCTCGGTGGGTTCAGGGTCTTGGCTCTGCCCCAGCGCCTTCACCAGCAGCCCCAGCAGAATGGGCAGCAACTTCCATGTGGACCAAGCTCAGTGCGTTGGTGACTGAAACTGGTGCCTCCATCCATTTGGCCCCCACTTCCTGGGGGCGGCCCTGCAGGGCGGCTGCCCAAAGCCAGAAGCAGCTGCCTCCCTGCTGCCCACCCCCGGCTGGTCCGTGGCCCAGGGAGGCCACTCCACACTCAGCTGCCCCAATAAACTGCCTTTTACCTGCAAGCTCCCCTTCCCTGATTCTCTGACGGTGTCACTGGGGCCCCTCCCTGCCTGGCCTCCAAAGGGAAGCTCGTTCTGGAATAAGGTTAAGTACCTGAGGCCTTTAAAACAAACAGGCTCCAAAATTTCTGCTACTCCCTGCAATTGTGAGTACAAGTGCTTTTTTTTCTGGGGAAGGTATCAGAACTGTCATCAGATTCCCAAAGGATCTGTGACCCAGGAAAGCAGAGCCCTTGTTATGTAAAACAGGCCCCATCTTGCTGAGGCCCAGAGAAGCCCCAGGTTTTGTCAGCCCTCAGAGGCTGTGCTGGAACAGAGGTCCTCACAGGGCCCTGAATGGATCTGGGCCACCCCAGCAACCTAGGACACACCCCTCCCCTTGCGCACTGTAGCTCAGGCCACCCCGGTGGGAGGGGCTCACAATCTGAGGGAAGAGGTTTGGCATTTGCTGCTGTCCTGAGTCTTATTTCACTCTGATCCTCATCTGTGAAACAGGGATAACACCCACCCCATAGAGTTAATGTGACGTTGAAATGAGGTAGTATCTAAACTTCGGGTGCAAAGCAGGTGCTCTGTGTCAGCCCACCATTCCTCCTCCCTCTGTATTTCAATTACTGTGGTATATGCCACAAGCCAAGTGCCTGGTCCAAGGTGCTCACAATCCTGGAGAAGCTGGGCTAGGGTGGAGGGCGCTTAGATAATTACAGAGATAAGTCTAACCCGAGGCAGGCTGCAATATGTACTTTCAGTAAAGGGCAGCAAGATCAGGTCTTCAGGGGAACAAAATACCCTCGGTGAAGGGAGCAACATGGTTTCTGGGGGAGTTCCCATAAGGGATGGAGAGAATATCTGGGGAGGCTTAAGACGGGAATGCGGTGAGGGGGCTCCCAGTGGAGGGAGCTGCACGAACAAACGCCAGGTGGGGAAGCTGAGGATATGCTGAAGGTTCGCGGAGACTTCTTCCAGGTAAGTCCTGAGCGGGGACTAAGGAGGATGAGCCTGCGGAGATAATGCAGGTGAAGACCTGAGAGTAAAAAATCTTTGGGTGTCCCCGAACTGTGGCAGACTCCTAGGCAACAGGTCTAACTCAGACCTGAGTTAGAAGTGAAGTTTCTTGTGGTAGCTTTAACTTAGACCCGTGACGGCGCTGAGTCGGGTCTGAGGTGAGTCCTGACGCCGGATCAATTTAGAAAGGGGCGGTGGCTCAGCCTAGCCCTGCACGAGCGCTTCAGAACCTGCTCCGCTCCTCCCAAGAGCCCAGAGCTGTCCCAGAGGCACGCGGTTGAGTAGGAGAGCTGCTTCTGGTTATTTTTATTTCCAGCCTAGGACAGTGGCCTGGAGAGAAATGAAATGCGCGGGTCGAAGGGCTAGTGGCAGACGGAGCTTGGGAATGAACCCAGTGAGAGCTTTCCAATCTTCAGGCTAGTCCACCGCGGCCGGCAGGCAGGGCAGGGCAGGCCCGTGCCAAGGGTCCTGGGCCCGTAAGCTGAAGGGGATAAAGTGCTCCTGATCTTATTTTTCCAACCCCTCCCTCCCTCCCTGGAGATGGTGGAGATGGCGCCTGGTTTCCAGTCCCGAGTCTGTCCTTGGCCGGTGAGGACCGAAGAGCTGGTCCCGGACGGCCGCCGCCACTCCGGCCCCGGTTCCGCACGCGGCAGTCCACACCGAACAATCCTCCACCGTTCTGACGAAGCTCCCTACTGATTGGCCGCGGCTTCAGAGCTGTCTCTCTAGGATTGAGCCGTTTCATTTGGGGAGGCGGAGCCGAGTCCCTCTTCCGCCAATCCAATTTAGAGGCTCTGCTTACTCCAGAGGCACTTCCGGTGGTGCGCCCGGACTGTAGTAGAGTCCCAGCGGCGGCACGGGGCGCCCCGCACCGGCGTACCCAGATCACTTCCGGGTGGAACTCCACAACTACAAGCCGCGATTGGGCAACCTTAGACGGGGTACTTCCGGTGCCCAGGTGCTTGGGCCCTTTTGCAGGAGTGGAAAGATGGATCTTGGCGCCGTGGCCCGTGCTTGGCCCCGCTCGCGGCAGCCGCTGCTGCCGCTGCTGCTGCTGCTGCAGTTCTCGCTCCGCCCGGCCACCGCCAGCGGTCCCCGCACCTTAGTGCTTCTTGACAACCTCAACCTGCGGGAGACGCATTCGCTTTTTTTCCGGAGCCTGAAGGGTGAGTCAGGGGGTCCGAGGGGGCGGCGGGTGAGAGTCCGGGGTTGGAAAGGTCCCCGAGCCCGAGGGCATTGGTCACTCTCCCTCCCACTCGTTTTCCACGAGCGGGCTGCCCAGGTCTGGCCTGCCGCTTGGGGGTGACGGAAGGTGATCTTGTTCTCTGCAACGGTGGTTTCCCTTTGCGTCCCGGCTGCCTCAGTTCCCTGTTTTCTCCTTGTCCAGATCGGGGCTTTGAACTCACATTCAAGACCGCAGATGACCCCAGCCTGTCCCTTATTAAGTACGGGGAGTTTCTTTATGACAACCTCATCATCTTCTCCCCCTCGGTAGAAGGTAAGGGCTGCGCGCCTCCCCGAGAGCCGGGAGTGGAGGCTCAGGACTGATCTGCCGCTTTCTTCTGGATTTTGGGCATGTTCTGGGTCATGGGATGGGTCACCAGCTCTGGCCGCAGCTGCTGCCGGTGAAGAGGAACGTGTTAACGTCTCACCTGGGCTCAGCAGGGCACATCTTTCTAAAAAACACAGCGGAGGATTGTAGCGTCAAGTGTTGCCACAGAGCATGGAGCCTGGGGCACTGCTCATCTGAGAAGTTGAATATTCTCTGTAAAGCAATCGATAGGAAAGATGAACTCCTAGTTGGGTTGGCCCGTGTGGAAAGAGGAAATGGCATGCTGTTAATATGGTGTGTTGTAAAGAGGTGTGTAGCGGTTGAACTTAAGAATTCAGCTGGGGCCCTGGCTAGTGTGGCTCGGTGGATTGAGTCCTGGCCTGAGGACTGAAAGGTCAGTGGTTCTATTCCCAGTCACGGCACATGCCTGGGTTGCGGGCCAGGTCTCCAGTTAGGGGTGTGAGAGAGGCAACCAATCTCTGTTTCTCTCCCTCTCTTTCTCCCTCCTTTCCCTTCTCTCTAAAAATAAATAAATGGAGTCTTGAAAAAAGAGAAAAAATTCAGGTGAATTGATAGTTCACAGACTGAAAAGAACCTTGGTAATTGTGTAGCCCAGCCCCCTATTTGAGGCTGGGTGGATATGTCTAGAGTCTTATCGGAGGCCTGGGGAATTGTTGAACAGAATGAATATCTTTACCAGATTATCCAGTCCCTACTTCAGTTTTCCTGTGACAGATGGCTTATTATCTTATGAGGCAGTCCGCTTCACCACTGGACAGTTCTGTTAAGAAGTTCTCATATTAAGTTGGAATTCATCTCCTATTTCCTACTTATTTGGGCTGAGGGAGAGGAGGAAGGGGTTTCTGCTCCTCCTCGGGGCCCTGGAGAAAAAGTCTAATGCTTACTTTGCTTACTGGCAGAGCCTTCACACGGTCGTAGCCTATTCAGCGGTTTCATCCCCAGACTAAATGCCCCCAGTGCCTTCCGCTCTCTCCCTCTGCCCTGCTTGTTGGTGAGCATCCTAGTCCTTCTCTTCTTTAGTGGCTTCGGTTTATCGCTTGCTCAGAGGACTCAGGTTGTCCCTCTCTGAGGTAAGACAGGACCGCCGTCTCTCCCTTCAGTTGATGAAGCTTAGGAAGTCTTGCACTTCATTGGCAGCTACTGTATTTCTCTGTAGTTCATGTGAGATTGGGTTTGGACAAATCCCTGAAGTGTTTTTCTCTAGGCTCCCATCACTTATCATGTTACCCCCAACTCCCCCACAAAACGTGCCTTTGGAATTGGCGTTTTGGAGGCAAGTGTAGTTGGGTGCGAGTGACCCCAGGTTGTACAAGTTAAAACCTTCAAGTTACTGGGCAGGGGGAAGGAGCCTTCAGCAGGTTAACTGACGTTTGCCAAGTTTCTGCTGCGTGTGGAAGTCTGAAGTAGGTCCTGAACTGCTACAGAGAGCCTGCTCTTGCTTACTTTCAGCCTCTTTGCTGGGATAAGAACAAGGACTTGAAATGAGTGTGTGCGACGGAGTGGAGCAGCCCTTCGAGCTGTGCTCAGGAGGTGGCGGGGGTGTCGCCGAGAAGGAAGGGAGGAGGCTGAGAAGACCGGTGGGGGAAACGTTGGAGAGCCTAAGACGACAGTGCTTTTCACAGATGTTCGTTGACTTTCTGTACTGCCTTTATGATTGGTACCATGTTCCGTATCGCCTGTGCTAATAATTAGTATTTTTCTTTAAATTGACTTGCTTTTTAAAAACTAAAACAACATTTTAAAAGGAAGCCAGCAACGAGCCCAGTCTCACCGCGGGAAGCGGACAGTCTGTGTAGTCCCTTGCGCGCAGAAGTTCCCTGTAAAGAGAGTTAAGCATGGCGCTGAGTTCTGGCCAGACTGTCCCGGCGGAGGCTTTGCGCCCGAGGCTTCCTCTTACAGGAGATGAGCCAGTATGAGGGACGTGCTCAAGACCAGTGTCACACTGAGACATTCTCTCCGATGGAGGAACTCTCTCTCTCTCTCTTTCTCTGAGATTCAGCGTTACTTAAAGCCCTGCCCCACGTCACATTGTCACCTTTTCTGCCCCCGGCCCCTGGCGGAGTGGGTCCCACACTTGGGAAAGGCTGCCGCAGTTCCTTTGTGCACTCCTGGGGAGAAGGCTTGTGTCCGCTGGAGGAGAGGGGTCAGGGTTAGGGTTTGGCCCCTGCTCCAAGGGCCCTTCTGTGGTACTGGAACCCCTGGGAGCCCCCTCAGGCGTGAGGACACCGGCTTGGCTTCCCTCACTGTGCACCAGTGGGTTCCCTGCCCTCCCCGGGATCAGGAAGCTCCCAAGTCACAGTAGTTATGGCTACAGAAGAAGGAACCGTAGCATGTCCTTTGTACCCAGGTAAATCTGGGTTCCTTTTTGTAGATGGTAAATGGGCTTAGGAAGGTGATGGGATTGCCTGGGTTTAAGCCCAGGTGTCCCCATTCAGCAGTGGCACTCAGCATTTTGGGCTGCATAATTTTTGGTTGCGCTGTCCTGTGTACTGTAGGATGCTTAGTAGCATCTGGGGCCTCCACCCAGTAGATGGCAGTAGCTGCGCCCCCTTGTGACAACCAGAAATGTCCTCAGACTTTGCCCCTAAGGGAACCACTGCACTGTGGCAAGACACTGTTTTTGACTGGCCTAAGACTCTGCCTGGCCTCCGCGGGAGAGCGGGGAGGCGGCTCTGTAAATGTAGTCTGAAGGGTTGGGTCCCCAGACAGACACAGGTGTCCTGTCTGTGCCTGAAGGAAAGGCAAGGTGCGTGCGGGAGAGAGGGAGAGAGAGAGAGAGAGAGAGAGAGAAAATTACCTCAGAAAAGAGGGCCATACTCATATTCAGATTTTTACAGCTAGTTTTGGATGCTTATGGTAGTCACCTGACCAAATTGACCAAAAAGGGGTATGATCTCACAATTACAAATGTTGGAAATTAATGAGCCCTTTTGGGGATCACTGAAAAACAAAACAAAACAAAATGAAACAACAGTAGAGCCCTGACCGGCGTGGCTCAGTGTGTTGGGCGTCACTCCGCAGAGCACAGGATCGCCGGCTCGACTCCCGGTCCGGGCACAGGCCTGGGTTGTGGGCCACGTCCCCGGCCGGGCGTGTGAGGGAGGCAGCCGATAGGTATTTCTCTCGTACGTCAGCGTTTCTCTCCCTCTCTTTCTTCCTCCCTTTCCCTCTCTCTAAAAACAAATTAATAAAATCTCTAAAAACAAATGGCATGTGAAGTGGTTCTGTTTTAGCTACGGCGGCTGTGAGTCTGCAGGATTGCTAGGGAAGAACCGTGCACATGTTGGGCAAATGAGTGCTGGTCGCAGTGACAGCGTCATGGACCCTTAGATCAAAAGTGTCCTTTCTCAGGCAGCCTGGATGGGCATCAGGCCGAGGGGCTCTTGAAAACTTTGTTAGGTGACCCTACAAGTGGCTCTCAGGTGCAGGTGATGAGCTTGAACGAAGTTGTTGCATGATGGGAGTGGGAAGATACAGTGTTTCTAAACAGTTATCTTATATATGACTTGAAGTTTGTAAATAACTTGACAACTACAATAGGTGGGTGCGTGTTTAATTTATGCTTCTCAAAGTCTATGAATTTGAACCATTATTTTTGGATCGCCACCTTGGGAAAGCGGGAGGATTGCCCTGAATCAGGACATGCATGCGGTAAACGTCCCTCTCCTTTGGGCCCCCAGAGGGCGCTCTTCTGTCATTTGTGGCTGGTGGGCTGTGTCCACCCTCCCCTGCCCAAACGTCAGCGCAGCAGTGAGAGGAACCTTCCGGATCACTGAGTCTGGTGCTCCTTTCAGATTTTGGAGGCAACATCAATGTGGAGACCATCAGCACCTTTATTGACGGTGGAGGCAGTGTCCTGGTCGCCGCCAGCTCAGACATCGGTAAGTCTGAGCTCAGCAGTTCCGGTGCTTTCTGCCGTTTCTCCAGGAGGCTGCCAAGGTGGCCTTCACTGCGTGCGAGCCAGCACGTATAGAGCCACCCAGTCCCTCCCGTCCTGTCACCAGCACCACTGAGATGCAGGCCCTCTTAAGGGCTGGGGACCCTGTTTTTTCTTCTCTTTTTGTTTGCCCCCCCCCCTTTGTTTTTATTGGTTTTGGTGGCTCTTAAAAAGAGGAGACAAGTAGGGAAAGGCTAGTTGGTGGAGCCCAAAGCATGGGACAGATTTTTGTTTTGTTTCCTGTTGGAAAATGTTAAACACACTTAGAATTAGGAAGAGAACGACCCCTGTGTACCTGTCACCTAGTGTCAGCCATGAACAACACCTGGCCGGTCTTGTTTCATTTTTGTCTTTCACTGCTGACAGCTTTTTAAAACCATGTTGGGTGGGCTTCTTGGTGAGGTGATAACGAGAAAGAGACAAATCATCCAGGTCGCGTTTGCTGAGATGCTACTTTGCTTCAAAGGGGTTTTTGTGCAGAACCCAGGCCCCTGTGTCCCTGCGGGGGGAGAAGGCCGGGTGGTTTTTTGCTTTACTGGTTTGGATTTTGACCTGACGCCTGTTATCGCGCTGTCGTCCAGCCGTCCCGCTGGGGCGGAGCCCGGCCTGGCGAAGCTGCAGGGCCCTGGGGGTGACCGGGAGAGAGAATTGTGGAGATGCCAGGACAAAGGACACAGCTTGGCCCAGGGCCCACCCAGAAGGGCTCAGCCAGGCATCTCCTGGGTCTGTGTAGGTGACCCCCTTCGAGAGCTGGGCAGTGAGTGTGGGATCGAGTTCGATGAGGAGAAAACGGCTGTCATTGACCATCACAACTACGACATCTCAGACCTCGGCCAGGTAACCAGGCCCGTCACCTTCCAGGTTTCAGGCCCGTGGAGCACAGCTCAGCCTGGAACCCCTGAGGCCGTCGGGAGGGACCGCTGGATTGGGGCGCCTGCCCTGACCCCCGCCCTTCCCTGTGCTGTTGCAGCACACGCTCATCGTGGCCGACACCGAGAACCTGCTCAAGGCCCCGACCATCGTTGGGAAATCATCTCTAAATCCCATCCTCTTCCGAGGTGTCGGGTGAGCGGGCAAGGAGCGGCCAGCAGAACCCGGGGGGTGGGGAGGGGAGCACCCTGTTTTGTCAGGAAACTGACCAGACTTATGGGATAGTCCTTCCTCCAGAGGATGTGGGGGAGATTAATTCATGACATTACAAGTCTCACTTCATAGTTACAGCAAAGGAGAGCGAAGTGTTTGGCTGTTATGAAAGTAGGATTCATTCCTGCAAAGAAATGGCCCTCACGGGACCCCAGGTCCTTTGGGCCCAGTTCTTGGGCTCAGAGTAGGGTGGCTCTCTTCCTTCCACAGGATGGTGGCTGATCCTGACAATCCTTTGGTATTGGACATCCTGACGGGCTCTTCCACCTCTTACTCCTTCTTCCCAGACAAGCCCATCACCCAGGTGAGGGGCCTTTGCAGCCTTGAGGCTCCAGCTCCTGGGCCCAGCAGCAAAGCACCTTTTCATTTGAAGACGAGAACTAAGCAGAAGCGCACACTTGGCTGAGGCTGAGGAGCGGGGCAGGTGGTGGAGTGGGGCGGTGGGCCGCAGGGGGTGCCGCAGGTTCTGCCCTCGGGCAGGGCCTAGGCTCTTGGGGTCTGGTCCGCTGTCCTCTGGTCCTAGAGGCTCAGCGGCTTGCCCTTTGCCCTGGCTCTCTGGGATGACAGCCTCGTGTTGTTCTAGTATCCCCACGCGGTGGGGAAGAACACCCTCCTGATTGCTGGGCTCCAGGCCAGGAACAACGCCCGTGTCATCTTCAGCGGCTCCCTCGACTTCTTCAGTGATGCCTTCTTCAACTCAGCAGTGCAGAAGGCCGCGCCTGGCTCCCAGAGGTAGCGGCCAGGGGCCTTGGGGGCGTGTGGCTGGGGTGGTGGGGTCTGTGCAGAAGGGGAGGACCTGATGGGGAGGAAGAAGCCTTCTGGCTAAACATGTCAGAGGCTGTGTCTTTAGGTGCTTTAGAATTGTTTGAGGACTTGATTTTGTTGCTTTGTTGCTGGTGTTGGCGCTCCAGACTTTTCTAGTTGTGGCTTCTCTGGAGACGTTTTGGACATCGTGCACTTACTGTGCAGGTGACACCCAAAGCAACACCGCGTCTTTTCATGTTTTGTGTGCCCACTGGGAAGAAGTCGGCTCCGGTGCCCCAGCCTCTCGGTCCCCGCTTCTGCAGGTATCCCCAGACAGGCAACTACGAGCTCGCAGTGGCCCTCTCCCGATGGGTGTTCAAAGAGGAGGGCGTCCTCCGTGTGGGGCCTGTGTCCCACCATCGGGTGGGCGAGACGGCCCCACCCAGCGCCTACACTGTCACTGACCTTGTGGTAAGTGCTTGTGGCGCAGGGCCCCAGCCCAGAAGCGTCTGTGGAACACTTCTGTGTGGGGCCCCCGGGGCGTAAGGAAGGATAAACAAACTACCCCTGCCCTGGGGAAAGCCAGGCTCGGGGATACTGGCATCCTGATGGAGGCCTTGTGGAAAGGTGTGGATTTGCTGCGGGGGGGAGCAGGATGGGAGGGGCTTCGCTGACTCACTCTGCTGAGAGTGCAGGTTCTGAAAGAAAGGACCTTGGAGTCGTGTTTGAGGATGAATCTGTCAGGCGAGAGAAGTGGGGAAAGGCAAGAGAACAGCGAATGTGGGAGCAGGGCTGCCCGAGGGTGCCCGGCCTGTTCCGGGGAGGATCGTGGTTTGGGTGCAGACTTCCACCGGCCTGTGCAGCGGTGTGGCTGCGAGTCAGGGGGCGAGCCTGCCCGGCGATCTCTCAGTCACTGCTCGGGGCGGGTGGTAGGTCTTGCCCCGGTTTTCGCAACTCCTGGGAGGGCCTGCCAGGTTCGTGGGTGGGGATTCAGCGCAGCAGAGGGTGGCAGCCTCCCTCCGGTCCCTGACCCCCGGCTGATCGGCCTTGCGTCTCAGGAGTACAGCATTGTGATCGAGCAGCTCTCAAATGGCAAGTGGGTCCCCTTTGATGGGGATGACATTCAGCTGGAGTTTGTCCGCATCGATCCTTTCGTGAGGACCTTCCTGAAGAGGAAAGGTAAAAGCAACTCCTTCAGGGAGGCTGCAGGGAGACCACCCCCGCCTGCGGCTCGCCCTCCGAAGGGCAGCGGGAAACCCCTCCCGGTTACTTCTGTTGATTGCCCCCAGGTGGCAAGTACACCGTCCAGTTCAAGTTGCCTGACGTGTACGGTGTGTTCCAGTTTAAAGTGGATTACAACCGGCTAGGCTACACACACTTGTACTCTTCCACTCAGGTAGGCACGGGTCACACAGTCCACTCTCAGCCAGGGCGTGCCGCGCCTGGACTTCTGAGCGTCCGGGCCTGTCCCTCCTGTCCTTCACAGGTGTCAGTGAGGCCGCTGCAGCACACGCAGTATGAGCGCTTCATCCCCTCGGCCTACCCCTACTACGCCAGTGCCTTCTCCATGATGGCCGGGCTCTTCATCTTCAGCATCGTCTTCTTACACATGAAGGAGAAGGAGAAGTCGGACTGACGGCCGGCGCCCTGGGACTCCTCGCAGCGTGGGGGCGGAGGGCTTTTATAGGATTGTTTTTTCCCCTTTGTGGTGTTTTTTTTTTGGTTTGTTTTTTTAAAGCCGGGGGACAGTGGCACAGCCTTTACCTCAGTGGGAGATGCGGCATTGAGTGCCAAGGGGTGGGGGTGAGGGAATGATTTTTATGTAACTTTCCCCACCTAATGCTAAGTGGTATATTTCGTATGTGCAGTCATGACCGTTTCTAAAATAAAGAGAAACATTGCCCTCAAACTCCCCCTGGCCCCTGTCGTGCTTTGCTAGTGGGGGGGTGGTGTTCGGTAATGACTGGGTACAAAATAGAAAGTTGGCCTCTTTTAATTTTGTTGAAGACTGGACTGTATTTTAACTGTGAAATGATAGTGTTTCCAAACTTCTCAAGGGATAAAATAAGGTTAATAATACACTCAGGCCAGTGGGGAATCACTGAAACGGGATCTAAGGTAACAGCACTTGCCTTTATAACAGACTCACAGAATTGCTTTGTTGAAAAGAACCTTAAATATATGTTCACTTGCCTTAGGGAACAGCCATGTTCCTAAAAAGCATGTGCAAAATCCCTTCTCTACTGGTGATCTCTGCTGACAAAATTTTCTTTATGGTACAAGAATCAGTCTTAAAGCCAAATAGTTCAAAGCACAAATGTACTCTGCAGTTTTAAGTGTGCATTTAATTCTTCACAATTCCTGTCACGAAATGCTAGTCAGGAGGAAATTGGCAAGTACAAGTCACTACGCTGGTAATTTACTTTCATCGCTGTTTAGCTCTGCTAGACTCAATTCAGTGGCCAGAGGACCCCCTGGGAATGCTTCCTTGGAACCCCCCGGGGCGTTCAGAGTGCACAGCGGAGGTGCTGAGGCGCTCCGCTGTCAGGCCTGCCGTTTACCCACTGATACCTGAGTGTACTGACCTGTGCCAACGTTTGCTTTAGTGCAGGTAACATGCCAGCAACAGCACTGCCTTGGCCTGGATCCTCTCTACAAAGGGGGTGCAGGTCCACCCCTCCTTGGCCCAGCTTCATCTAAAAGCCCAGCTCAGCCACGAGCTCCTCAGAGGTCTGTGAAGACGGAACGTGAGCAAAGGTAGGGCTCTGCGGCCAGCGGTTAACACCTGAGGGTGTCCTCTCACCTGGCAGGGAATGCCTCCCTTCGGATCTGTAGCATCCGTACACGGGCCTAGTGATTAGTCAGCGCTTCTTTAGAGTTAGATCCTTTGAATTCATCTAGACCAGGGGTTGGCAAACTGGACTGTGGGCCAAACCAGCCTGTTGCCTGTTTTTTGTATGGCCTGCAGGCAAAAAAAAAATGGTTTTGACGTTTTTAGTTGGTTTTAAAAACTTAGGGCTATTTAAGTGACACATGAAATTCCGATTTCAGTGTCCATAAATAAAGCTCTGTTACTGGCACGCAGCTCCACATATTGGAGACTGCTTCTGTGCTTCTGGGAGACAGCTGGGCAGCCGCGGCAGCCTGGCCGTTCACTCCCCGGCCCGTCGGGAAGGGTTTGCCAATTCCTAAATACACCAGCTCCTTCACTCTACCGGTAAGACCATGCAGACCACACAGGTTATATGACGCATCCAAAGTCGCACAGCTAGAGTTAATAGCGACACACCAGGAACCTCACTCAACTTACTCCTGTTTGCCAAACCAGAGGCCTTCTCTCCCACTGACCAGCCCCCTCTGCGCCATCTTTTCTCCTGACTCCTCCCCTCACCGCGGACCCCCTCCCTCAGCATTCACAGACCATCACGACATAGTTGCTGCCAAGCTTTTAGTAATGCACCAGCTACATCGGCTGTCACGGGGCCGCCCTCCAGGAGTGGAGGAGGAGGGCTGCCTGGCACAGCGCCTCATACTCCAGGTTGGCCAGAAACAACATCTTCATTTTTGTCTCCACGCAGCTCTTCTCCGTGAGCCTGTTGGCCAGCAGGGTGGCCGCCGATTGTTGCAGGAGCCAGGCGATCATCTTGTCTAGTTTCAGATTCTTCAGGGCTAGAGTACGCTCACCCCAGAGGCTTAAGTGAAGCACGTTGGCAGCTACACGGGCGGACGGTCTCTGCAGCAGGAAGGGACGCCCAGGCTTAGAACCTTGGTGACAGTGTTCGGCCCCCAACCCTCTTCGGTAAGGAATCCTCTTCTCAGGCTTTTCCCTGCTCTGGTCCCAAGCACACTCTTCTCCACTGCCCTCCTTCCTGCCACACCTTTCACCCTCCTGACAGGCACTGGCTGCTCTCTGTCTGTGACCCAGGCGTCCCCCCGTGCACAGGTGTGCGTGGGGGCAGTGTGCTCCCCAGGGGAAGAGCCTCCCTGTTACGGAGGGCCCGCGACCGTGTCCTGCTACGAGCACCCTCTGGCGTGAGGGCTGTCCCCCCCAGTAACTGGCAGCAGCGAGCACTGCTGTGATCGTGACACGCTCTGCGCTGGGGCAGGACAGTGGGAGAGTACGAACTTGAACCCTGGCCTGCCTCTGCTCTTTCCACGAAGCCTGCCGCCTGAGCCGGATGCGCCACTCCAGCTGTGGCTTTACGTGTGTTGGCCTTTAGGCTCCTTCAGAGTAACTTCTAAACGCCCAGCCCTGCTCTTACAGGCGTCTTCACGTCTCCTGTCATGTTAGATCTCAGTGGTTTCCATAACTTGCATCTCCATTAGACATTTCTTAAAAATGCATCTTTTCCTCTCTGAGTAACTTAAGCAACTAAAGCCAAGAAGAGCTGAGCTGCTGGAATTCTGACTGATGTGGATAGCTTCCCTACCCCCATTCATACTAAAGTCTACTTTGTTCTTCTGTACTTGGCTTTTTTTCTTTGTAAGACAGAGGAAGCTGTCTGTCACCCCAAACCCGATCTTTACTCTGAGGTTTCTGCATGCAAAATGCCGGCAGAGCCCAGGGGAGGCCTCACCTTGCTGGCATCCCGCTGGAGCAGCGCCCTCACCAGCTGCCTCACGGCTAGGGGCACCGCCTCGGGCAGTGCAGGCAGCTGAGCCTCTTGGTAGCTGCGGCTTTCCAGGGGGGCTCTGCCCTGGCCGTAAAAAGGGTTGGCGAGCCCGAAGATTTCGTAGGCGAGCGCTCCCACTGCCCAGGCATCGGCCTTGCTGTAGTCGACCACCGCCCGGGGCCCAGGGCGGGCCGTGGACACCTGCTCGGAAAGCAATGGGTGAGCATTCGTGCTGCTGGTATTTCTAAGCTCTTCACGCTCCTGCATGGCACCTGATTCACGGGCTTGTCACAACTCTGTCCCAAGGAACCCAGAATCTGAGTTGTAGCTCAGACCCAGAGGAATCTGCGTAGGCTTTCTACTTTGTGCTGACAAAACCTGCACCTCCCAGGACCTTTAGGGAGATCCAGGTTAAAGCAAAGTGACAGGGGAGGGACATGTGCCAAATAATGGGTCCTAAAAGATGAAGGAGTTGAGAAAATGAGGTAGCAAGTCTTGGTCTATCAGTGGAAACACCAAAAAGCTGCTGCTGATGGCGCAGGACGTGCTCAGTGAGACTCACCTCAGGAGCCCTCAGGCTGCCGTTTCCGCCCAGGTCCACGTACCGGCTGGTGAAAGGCAACTGTAGGCCGATGCACTCATCGGCCAGGCAGCAACCAAAATCCGAGATCACCAGCCAGGGGCAGCCGTCTGGGGAAGGGACAGGAGAGGTAAGTGACTGCTTCTCTGTCTTTCCTCTGAGAGGCCCTCCTGTGTCCCTCTTAGAGCCGCCATCAAGACACAGGTGAGGGGCTAGCGGGCTCAGGGTTGGTCCAGGAGAGCAGGGAGAGCTCCCCAAACAGCTGGATGGTGGGGCCAGCTCCACAAACACAGAAACGCCTCCAGGGGACCGAGGCTCCCAGACAAAGCCCCAAGCAAACATCTGGATACATTTGGCTGAATCTAAATAATGTAGTAATTGGACCTGTCCCAAGACGGAAGGACTGCTCATAATTTACTCAACAAATGGTGCTTGGCTCAAATGACCTCTAATGGCCTTTACACCCTAAGAATTTTCCATTTGATCTTGAAACCCTAAATCCAAACCTAAGAAACAAGTGCATTAGGAATTAGTTATTTGTGAAAGGATTCACAGAATCTTCCTTTTAAAGCCAGTTCCTCTAGCAGTTTAATCTCGTTTACTTATTTTAAATCTAGATCAAAGGTGATCAAAGGTATGAATCTACTTTACAGTATCCCCAAACAACTAACCATCCAGCTTCTACCGGAATGCTTCCAGTGACGGGGACGTCGTTATTTCCAGAGGCAACTGGGCTTACATTTGGACCTCTTTCACAGTTTGGAAATTCTTCCTTACACTGAGCTGAAGTCTACCTCTCTTGTACTTTTTCCAAGAAAACTTCCACCACTGAGGTTGTTCTGAAAGTGGGCAACAGAAAGGAACTTGGAAATATTAACTACCACACCACAAATCTCAGAGAGAACTGAAAGCCTTCACTTTGAAGGAGAGACTGTGCGTGTTTTGTGTGTAGAGCTAAATTTAGACAACTTGTAATAGGACATAAAAACAGAAAAGGGACTCTAACTCGCCCCTTCCATTTTCCCACCAACCACTTGGACCTCACACGTGACTGCAGGCTACGTACGTTCCCAGACCTCGTCTAGTACCCCCTGGAGAACGCTGAGCTGCGTCCAGGCGCCTACCTGCATCCAGCTCCACGAGGATGTTGTCAGATTTTAGGTCTCTGTGTGCGACGCCCTGTTGAACCAGATGGTCCACCCCTTCCAGGAGCTGCAAGAGCATCACGGTGGCGAGGCGGGGGCTTGGGGTGTTCTCGCGGAGGTACTGGCGCAGGGTACAGGGGTAGCTGGCAGAGAGGGTGACAGGGCCTCTATCATTCACTTATTTACTGTTAGGATGATGGCCTTTCCTCCTCTTCCTGGAGCTTTTGGATTTCTTTTTGCTGCAAGTATCCTTTCTGATCCCACCCACTGTCTTGAAATTAGGAAGAGCCGGGAACTTATATGTTGAAAGTAACGGTGCAGGTGCTCATTTCCTTCAAACACCCACTTGGGCAGTGTCAGCGGGTGCAGAGGTGGAGGAGCGAGAGCAAACAAACAGATAAGGCGGCCGCAAAGCAGGGGCGGCAGTCAGAGGCACTGAAAGCACTGGGTGAACAGTCTGTTCTAAGTGAAGATGACATTCTGTCTGCATGGAAAACATCCTAAGGGAAAGTGCTCGTGGCACGGCCTTACCTCCCACACGGGAGGGTCCTCCCTGTGTCACAGTGGCAGGGACCACCCACCCCGCCCACTCACGTCCTGCCTCACCAGCACTTACTTCTTCATGACGAGGAAAAGTGTCCGCCCGTGGCCCAGGCCTTCGGGGTTAAGTCGTGGGGGCAGCACATCTGGGTAGTCGACCAGGGCACCCGGCAGCAGTGGGACAGACGAGGTGAAGGCGCGAAGGACCCGGATGATGTTGGGGTGAGGAGCCAGTTGCTTGGGACCTCTGTTGGATTTTCTGTTTCCGCCAACATATGAGGCCAGTGACAGATACAACAGTTGGAAAGATAATAATCCAAGGCCACAAAAAATACTGCCATTCATTTATTCACCCATTTCTTTATCAAATATTTACTGCAGCTCTGCTCTGTTCCAGGCATACAGCCTGGTGTTAGAAAAACCATTAACGTGACTCATCACACGTGATGACTCCACCTCCGTCTGTCGTCCCTCCGGCCACCCACCCATCCGTCCATCCCACAGGGCAGACATGGTGGGTAAGAGCCCCGGGAATCAGACTGCCGGGGCGGGGATTCTGGGTCTGCTTTGGAAGAAGTACTTAGCCTCTCTGTGCTCAGTCTAGTGCAAAAGGGGAAAAAGGTTGTAACACACTTTGTGAAGTTGGTAATATTTGTTAAGAAAGGACCTAGAATCTCTGTCATTCCAAGTTTTTGCAGTAACATTTAGTGTGAGGTATGAGCTGAATAAACCTTTGCTGAATGAACGAACGGATACGGACCGTTGGTCATAGAGCTGCCACCTGCCTGCCCCGCCAGGAGGCGCACCCCCGCAGCCCTGCTGAGGCACAGGGATGTGTTTTCGATTGTGTCGCTGCCTTCTGTGTACTCTCTCAGCCCCTCAGCCAAAGAGGAGGGGACGAAGGGGTGGGAGCAGACCGAGCATAACAAGCCTGCAGTCACACGTGAGGTCCAAGTGGTTGGTGGGAAAAGGGAAGGGGCGAGTTAGAGTCCCTCTTCGAGGGGTACGGATGAGGAAACACGGCAGTAGCCTGGCAGTCGGCAGTGGAGCTGTGAAAGGATGACATGAGGGTTGCTTGGGGCCATTGGAGGACAGAGGTGTGCAGGCCGCAGGTACCAGGAACGGGAGAGCCATGGGTAAGGCATGAGGACACCGTGTGGCAGGGAGGAGAGAATGGAATGGAAGCCCAGCGACATCGAGACAAGTCTCGGGGAGCATGACGCTGCCTTGTCCTCAGGCTGCCTTGGTTCCCCAGGGAGGCAGGCCCAGCCCCTGTGTGGCCTGCTGCTGCTCTTTCTCCTGAGTCCACCCCAGTGGGCCCCTGGTCTCTGCAGTCAAAGGAGTCAAAGTGTTGTTCCCTTGGGCCACTGGGGCTAGTGGAAGAATCAGGACCACAGCTCAAGGGTAACAGTGCCACACGGGAAAGCTCCGCCCAGCTCTCACGGGAGCCCAGAGGAAGAGTGTGGCTGTGCTGGGGACATGTGCGTGGTGGGTGTGTTTGAAGGAAGACCAGGGCTGGGACAGGAGGCTGTGGGGAGGGCAGTCCGGCACAGCTAACTGCACGCGGGGACAGGACAGTCGTGGAGGGACCAGGCGCTTTGGGGGCGGGCAGTGGGGATTCGGTAAGTAGCGCGTCGCATGTAAATAGGACAAGGTCAGAAATCGGGCGGGAGAAGAAGTGAGGAGCACATACGGAGGGCTGATCTGAGGCCCCTAGATGAGCGAAGGCTCAGGAGAAATGCGCCCAGGCCGCTCTCAGGGAAGTGTTGCCCCCAGAGCAGCATTAGGCGGCACCAGAACTTCGGGCAGTAGACCTGCGGCCACATTTGTCTAATCATTCAGTAGACGCTGAGCTGTGGGGGAACGCAGCAAACAAAACAAAAGCCCGGCCTCAGAGGGCGTACCGCACAGCTGGAATGAACACATAGGCCGTGACTTGCTCTCTGATGGAGCCACGAGCCAAGGCGGGGTAGAGGGCTGGAGGCGGGCAGGGGCGATTCCAGACTAGAGGTCTGGGCAGGGCTCTCCGTGGCAGAGATGACACTGCTCTCAGCCATGTGACAGCACCCCAGAGGCCGCTGACGTTCAGTGGTCCACTGGCCCCTACAAAGGACTCAGAAGAGGACGACAGTGCTGAGCCCACAGGCCTGCATGGACCCCCAGTTGTACTGGAGCCTTCTGAGCAGCAGAAGGGGTTTTCCACGTGTGTTTCCCTAGGTCCCTGTTTCCACCTTCCTGCTCCTGCCAGAACTAGGTCTGTAAGCCAGTCCTGAAGCAAATCACTGGAACTGCAGTGGGCCCACCTCTTGCTGGTGGGCTACAAACATCACAGTGAGCGTGAGCGTGAGCGCCTCCGTTGTCATAGCGCACACACATGGACACGGGACTGCAAAGCCGCCGTCAGCCAGGCTGCCGTCTGCCTGCTGTTCGCCGAGAGCAGCGCCTCTTTCCTACTGCCTCGCTAAGCTAATGCCTAGTCATCCTTCAAAAGGCAGCAAGAATTGTCCTTTCACGTGGGGACAAGAAGCCTTTCTGAATGGCTCCACCTCCACCATGCACATACCACCTCTGGGCTCCCTCAGCACCTGAGCACACGCCATTCTAGAACTTACCACACCTGACTGTCCGGCTGCTGGGCCTCCCGGAGAACTTTTGGGGAACAGGCCTCTTTTTTTTTTAAATCTCTTGGCACCATTAGGTGCACCGCAGCTATTAGAGGAATGAGTGCTGCCTCTGCCGCGGACAGAGTTCAGCTGGTTTGGGTTGGGGGTGCTCCGCCTGGGCGTTACTTAGGAAGGATCAGAAATCAGATCGGTTTTCCACTTTGTGCAGTGGGCGTTTTGGGATGGCCCTCTCTCCCTGCTCCAGTGTGAACCAGCCATTGGCATCTTCAGTCGGAGTCAGGTGATCTACAATTTTCCCAAGGGATCTGTCTACCAACTGAAAATCCATCCTTAACTACATCATTCAGCAAGCATTCACTGTCTCCTGTGAGTCATGTCAGACATTGTGCTGAGTGCTGAGGACACAGACGACGATTTTGTTCTCAAAAAACCCACAGCCAGTCTGGTGGGCAGACGGGCGCTTACCTGTGAGTGACTTCTCCATACTCCCCGGCCAAGGCCACGCGACTGGCTGGGACTAGCTCTTGGCTCATCTCGCTAAAGATGGCTTCGCTGGAGGAGCCGGCCTGAAATGCATCCACAATGAGTCCAGGGTTATACCCAAGCAGAATGGCAAGTCCAAGCCCTCCTTGTATCAGGACCAGAACAGCTACCCTGCCCAAAATTGGCTCTGACCTTCAAGATAACCCCTCTAAAGTGTGAAGCCAAGATTAGTCTCTCCTGGGAGAAAGGGCAGAGGTGCCATCCATGCCACCTGAGAAGATGCTTCCCACACCTCAAGCTCTAGCAGCTCAGGTGCCAGGGCAGGAAGACATGCCAGGATGGTCAGGGCACAGGACCCCTCCTCCTGCCACAGGTGCCCCTTGTCACCACGACTCATCCTCGTGGGCTCCCTTCAGCAGACAGGCCACAGCCTGACAAGCTCGCCCTAGACGAAGTTGTGCCGAATCACAGAACAGCTTTCCTATCCCCCAGTAAGAAACAAACAAACAAACCCAAAGAGGAGGGAATTCACCTTATTTTCCTCTTTCACTAGGCACAGCTCTCAGTACCCGTAAAACTTAAGTATGGAGACCCTGTAAGAATCAAGTCCTTTAGCTTTTGTGAATGCAACAGCTGTAACATCCCAACCAGTGGAAGCTTTGATGCTTTGACAAGCTGTTTCAGAGGCAAAGGATCTGGATGCTTGTTAGCTATTAACCCAGCTTGGAAGGGCAACGTCTAACAGCCTGCCTTCCCCAAATCAAAACGAGAAACTGCACGCACTCTTCTGTGTCCAGCATCAGCTGCAGGGCTGTTTCTACTTCAGCCCTGGACAGATGCTCTGGGAAGGAGAAAGAATGGCAGGTGTTGACCAATTTTCTAAACCCACCTAATGTGAGGACAAGGTAAAGAAACTACTCCAGATAGACAGGAAGCTCCATTTTTGTGGGGGGAATATACTCAATTTCCCAAAGCCTTGAGTCGTCCAAGAGTTGACAGCAGGAAGGTGACAAGCAAGCCTCTGACCTGGAGGTGAGGTGGAAGGTGAGTTTAGAGTGTGGCTCTTCCTCTCCGGTGAGGCAGGTCAAGGGGAGGAGAGAGGATGCTGGCAACTGAAGTTGGAAATTAGCTACCTACTGGTAACTGATCAGCCAGGCCTGCCAGGTGAGAAGCCAGTGGCTTAGGCACGTGCTACTCAAGCTGTGGTTCATAGACTGGCAGCAGGGGCATCAGCTGGGAGCTTATTGAAAGGCAGACTCAGGCCCCACCCCCGACCAGCTGGTCAGGATCTCCCCGCCCCTAGGTGATTTGCAGATGCACCATGTTAAAAGACAGGCCGTTTCACCCTCCTGTGTGAGAGGGTGAGGAAGCCTAACGATACGGGCGCCTGGCCTGCGGAGAATCTGTCTTCTCCTCTCTATTTCCTGGGAAAAGCATCATCAGGTCCCCCAAGACTGGCACTTGGAGGATGAAAGGCCCGTCCTTACCGAGATGTTCCACATCATCTTGATGGCTAAGGGGAAGGCAGGTGCCTGTGGAGCCTGCTCCCTCTCTTCTCCTCGGGGGATGATGTCTGGGCCTCTCCCTGGAAGGAGCCCCCGGCTCTTTGCCACCTCCAGGTCCCGGGGCCACACAGGTATGGTGGCTTCATACACAGCAGCACTGCAGCCCTTGCCAATGGGCTGCCCGATCAGATACTCGTCCAGCTGGAAGCCCTGCCAGCGTCTAGTGTCCAGTAGGTCAGGGAGCAGCTTGCTTTTCTGTGTAAAAATTGCCTGTGAGGGAAAAAAGTATGCCTTGTGAGCCAGGGAGACCAGTAAGGCTCAACTAACGGGAAAGGGGGCAGGGGAGTGTAGCAGGGCAGGGGCTGCAGTGACGACTGAGAGCTGTGAAAACACAACCAAGTTAGGTTTTACTGCTCTGCCTAGACGCAGGCCGTCCTGTCTCTCTCTCCATTCAGATTAATTTTTCCCAAACTCTGTTGCTTCACTGCATCAGAGAGCCCAACACTGAACATCATTAGCTACGAGGTCAGACCTTCCAAATTCTGCAGCTGACACACACCACTCCTTTGCTGCCGGTCAAGCCCCCGCACGAAGCTGGAGTTCTAATTATGGAGACAGCTGTCTCTGCAAAGGCCGTGGCAGGCAGCTTGTGGGTGGGGAGCAGGAGCTGTGGATCGGCAGCACGCGTGGTGCACAGCCGCCCTTTCACTAATGAATGATCTCCGGTCGCTTTGCAGACAAGAGGGTGAAATCAGGAGGATCCCTCCAGTTGAGCCATTAAATCCTGTCTTTACTTCTTAGAAATCTGGTGGGCCCACCCTGTCTTCAGAAAAGAACCAAGAATTCTGATGGAAATATGAGATGGAAATGCAGGTGCTGGTGGAGATGCACTAGGAAAGAGCCCATTTCCCCCCAGATCAGAGTCCTTCCCTACTTCAGGCAGGTGACATCACTTGTCCACTTGCCCAGGCTCCACCTCAAATTCTGTCTGATCTGCTGATTCCTTCCTTTTCATGGTTCCCTACCTTTAGACCTTCCCACCCTCACATCAGCCTTTCACCTGCTTCTCAGCTAAATCAAACCACTGCTTTCATGTGTCACTCACTCCTAACGTTCAAAAAATCTAGCCAATACATTATTCAGTGCTTGTCCTGGCACTTCCTGTATGTGCAAACTATGTCACCAGGCTGGCCTGTGCACTGCCCACACTTGTCCTTCATACACTGCTGTCTGGACCTTTGCTCACACCGTCCCCTCCGCCCCCTATTTCTATTGTATTGTTTTGTCTGGCTCATCTCTATTCATCCATCAATTCCCAACTCAAGCTCCTCCTCCCTGTATAACTAGCCCTGATAACCCAGCCCACAGCGACCTTTCCTTTTGAAGAATTCCTAAAGCACTTAGTATTTATAAACTAATACCCCTTGCATGATAACTTAAAAAAAAAATGAAAGCCTATTTTGTCAACTCATTTCTAAACTCCACGGAGCAGAAGCAATACATAAATAAGTGGAGTAATCCTTTAACAACCATGGTTTTGAGAATAAGACATTTTTTTTAACTTTTCATTTAAAAATAATTATAGATACACAGGAAGTTGCAAAAAGATAGTACAGAGCATCCTATGTACCCTTCACCCAGTGTTCCCCAATGGTGACATCTTTTAAAGCAGCAGTACAATTTCAAAGCCAGAAAAAGACTTCCAGTCAAGATGGAGGCATAAGTAGACACACTTTGCCTCTTCACACAACCACAGACAGACTTACAACCAGATCTCAAAACAAGTAACACCCAGAACTGCCATAAAATCAAGTGTTATGGAAGTCAGACAACCAAAGATTTAAAGAAGCCACATTTGCCTAGATGGGTAGGAGGGGTGGAGTCATGGAAATGGGCAGAGAGACCGTGGAGGTGGCAGAACGGACAGTCCCACGTTCACGTGTGGTGGATAAAAATCAGGAGGGATACCTTGGAAGCCAGTGATCCCAGCCCCAGGCCACACTGCACAGCCCAGGGTTCCAGCACCAGGAAGAGAAATCCCCACTACCTCTGCCTGTAAAAGCCAGTGGGGGTTGGGATGGCGGAAGAAACTGCCAGATTTTTGCTGCTTAAAGGGCCTGCACAGACTTAGAACATACGCAGACCCCCTACCCAGGGTTTCACCACAGGGCAGCAGCTGGAAGGGCACCAGGCGCATACGGGAAGTGGGTGAAATGAATGCAAATGGGGTGAGTGCCAGGCAGACCTCCAGAAGCCAGGCAGTGGCATTGGCCCCTCTCCAAACCCTCCCCACACACAGAGCCACAAAGCCGTGAAGCAGGTTATCCCGCCCTGGTGAACACCAAGGCTCTGCCCCACACAACTTAGCAGGGGTGCTAAGACAGGGTCACAACAGCCCTCCCTAATGCAGAGAGGCAAACACAGGGAGGCTGCCAAATTGAGGAAACAAAGAAATATGGTCCAAATGAAAGAACAGAACAAAACCCCAGAAAAAGAACTAAACGAAATGGAGACAAGCAACCTATCAGATGCAGAGTTCAAAACACTGGTGATTAGGATGCTCAGAGAACTCATTGAGTATGGAAACAACATCAAGGAAGAAATGATGATTACACTAAGTGAAATAAAGAAAAAACCACAAGGAACCACCAGTGAAGGGAAGGAAACTGGGATTCAAATCAATTTGAAATATAAGGAAGAAATAAACATTCAACCAGAACACAAAGAAGAAACAAGAATTCAAAAAAACAAGGATAGTATAAGAATACTCTGGGATATCTCCAAAAGTGTCAATCATAGGGTTGGAAGGAGAAGAGGAAGAGTAACAAATTGAAAACTTATTTGAAAAAAATAATGAAAGAGGACTTCGCTAATTTGGTGAAGGAAATAGACATACAAGTCCAGGAAGCACAGAAAGTCCCAAACAAGTTGGTCCCAAAGAGGAACACACCAAGACACATCACAATTAAAATGAGATCATTTGGAGGGTTATCAGCTGGGAGGAGGAAGAGGGAGAATAGGAGAAATGGTGCAGGGATGAAGAAGCATAATTGGTAGGTACAAAATAGACAGGGGAATGTTAATAGTATAGGAAATGGAGAATCCAGAGAATTTACATGCACGACCTATGGACATGAACTAAGGGGGGAACTGCTGCAGGGAAGGGGAGTAATGGGTGGAGGAGAGCAAAGGGGTGGGGGAAATTGGGACAACCGTAATAGCATAAGCAATAAAATATACTTAAAAAAACCCTAGGAAAGTGACACTGGCACACTACAGTTAATTAGACTATAGACCTCACTGAGTTTTCACCATTTTTTAAAAAAAGATTTTATTTATTTTTAGAGGGGGGAAGGAAAGGAGAAAGAGAGGGAGAGAAACGTTGCCGTGCGAGAGAAACATAGATTGGTTGCCTCTCGCAAGCCCGCAACTGGGGACCTGGCCCACACCCCAGGCATGTGCCCTGGCTGGGAATCAAACTGGCAACCTTTCGGTTCACAGGCCAGGGCTCAATCCACTGAGCCACACCAGCCAGGGCTGACCATCTTTTTTAATCTGCACTCTTTGGTGTGTGTATAGCTATTCAATCTTATCCCATGTATGGATTTGTGTAATCAACACCGCAATCGAGATACAGAATTGCTCCATCACCACAAAAGAAAAGAACTCCTTTGTGTTACTTCTTTGCATTTGTCCCCCCCCCCTTCCCTATTCCCTAGCAGCCACTGATCTGTTCTCCATATCTAGTTTTGTTATTTAAAGAATGTTATATAAATAGAATCACACAGTATAAGCTTTTGAGGCTGACTTTTTTCACTAAGCATAATGCCCTTGAGTTTCACTTAGGTTGCTACCTGCATCAATAGTTAGTTCCTCCTCATTATTGCTTAGTATCTCATTGTATGGATGTGCCAGTTTGTTTAACAACACACTTGCTGAGGGACATTTGGTTGTTTATAATACTTTGCTACTATGAATGATGCTGCTAAGATTCATGTACAGGGTTTAAAAATTATTTTAAAGAACTGTGTTAAAAACACATAACATAAAACTGACCATTTTAACCATTTTTAAGTGTACAGTTCAGTGGCATTAACTACATTCACATTATTGTATGACCATCACCACCATCTGGCTCTAGAATTTTTTTCATTTTAAACTTAAATTCTATACCCATTAAACAATAAGCCCCCATCCCTTTCCTTCCAGTCCCTAGTAGCCCCCATTCTACTTTCTACCTCTATGAACTTCATATGAGTGGAATCCTACAGTATTTGTTATTTTTGACAGGCTTATTTCATTTAGCATAATGCCCCCAAGCTTCATCCACGTTGTACCATATGTCAGAATCCCCTTCCTTTTTAAGGCTGAATAATGTTCCACCCACTCGCTGATGGGCATGTGGGTTGCTTCCACATTTTACCTATTGTGAATAATGCTGCTATAAACATAGGTGTACAAATTCCTGTTCCAAGTCACTGCTTCCAATTCTTTTGTGTATACCCCAAGAAGTAGATTTGTTGGATCATATGATAATTCTATTTTTATTTTTGGGAGGAGCTGCCATACTGTTTTCCACAGCAGCAGTGGAAAGAGGAGTTTTTTTGTTTGTTTGTTTGTTTGATTTTAACAAAAACATTTCCGTGGACAGGTTTTTGTTTAAGGAAAAGTTTTCATTTCTCTGGGTAAATGCCCAAGACTGCAATGGCTAGGTCATATGGTAATGCATGTTTATTTTTTTAAGAAACTGCTGTTTTGCAGAGTGGTTGTGCCATTTTATTTTCTCACCAGCAGCCCAGTTTCTCTGCATCCTCACCAGCATTTGGTATTACCACTACTTTCTATTCTAGCTGTTCTGATAAGTATGTAATGATACCACATTGTGTTTTCAACCTGCATTTCCCTAATGGCTGGTGATGTTGAACATCTTTTCATATACATATTTGACATCTGCGTCTCCTCTTTGTGAAATATACACTCATGTCTTTTGCCTATTTTATAACTGAATTCCTGCCCCCCCATATACCTCCATCTAAAAGGAGCAGCCACTATTCTACTCTGACACCATATGAAATTTTAGGGTTAAAGATGCCATATCTGCTGATTCTTTAAAGAAGAGTTTATTTATTTATTTTTAGAGAAGGCAAGGGAGGGAGAAAGGGAGAGAAAAATCAATGTGTGGCTGCCTCTCATGCATCCTGTCCGCCCCACTGGGGACCTGGTCTATACCCAGGCATGTGATGGGAATTGAACCAGTGACCCTTTGTTCTGCAGGTGGGTGCTCAATCCACTAAGCCACAGCAGCCAGGGCTTGGTTTTTTGTTTGTTTGTTTTTTTTAAAGAAGTCAAACACCTGAATTTTAAAAACTGTCCACTAATTACAGATTTTAAGACAAAGGAGGATGAAGTGTGAGAAACAGACACATAGATGGTAAGCTTAGGAGGATCAAGCCCCTCTGTTAAAAAAAGCCTCCATAAATCTAAGAAGGATTATCAAGTTTCCCACCCTTTGCTTCTGCCAGTTAAGCCGGAGCAAAAGACAAGGACATCAGTTGGGGACTAGGTCAGATGTCACCTGTCATCCCAAACTAGCCAGAGCTCAAACACTTTGATGCTGAGTGATAAGAACTGGGCTGGAAACCAGGCAACAGGGGAGACACTGGGCAAGTCACTCCACCTTCCAGCCCCTGGTCCTAAACTGCACATGGCAGGGCCAGCACTCAGTCTGTGGCCCCAATCCCCAGGCAGAAGACTCACCTCCCTGGAAGAGAAGGGAATTCTGGCAGCAGATGACCTTCACACTTGAGCAGTGCCCACGGCTCCCCCCTGGGGCTCCTGCCTGCCTGCCTGCCTACTCTGCAGATGTTGGACTCGCCAGCCTCCAGAACTGCAGAGACACTTCTTTAAAATATATCTTTTCTATAAGCATATCCTATTGGTTTCATTTCTCTGGAGAACGCTGACTAATGAGAGCTTAGTAGAATAGAAACAGCGGTCTCTAAGCTATTTTAAGCATCTTTTAAAAGCCTAAGAACCCACACATATCCAATCACTCCTGATAACTCCACACAGGTTAAAAACCGTCATGTGTGATGTTTTCTCCCGCTGTTTATAGTTTTTACTTGGTTTCAGCTATGTTATCAATTGTCTGGCTAAACTGTGCTGGCAGCCTGGCTCGGTGCTTAAGGGCATGGGCTCTGGAGAGGCAGACTTTACCAGCTGTGTGACTTCGAGCAAGTTATTTTACCTCTCTGAGCACGTTTCCTTATTCGTAAATTTGGGATGACAACTACCTCAGGGTTAGAGTGTTATGATTTGTCATTAAATTTTTAAAAAATTACACAAAGCCATTACAATGGTGCAATAGGAGGTATAATTAGCAGCCTCTCTTCCAAAACATGTTTGAGAAGGGACAACAGTAAAACAAACGAGGCGCTGTCTCCCTAGCAGAAGATCCGTAACACTGAACGTGAGCCTTAAGTGATGATTTCCAAAGAATTGCCGGGTCTGAGTATAAATATGGTCTTCCCGGATTTCAGGCCTCCCAGCCCCTTCCCCGCCGCGCCCACAATCTAGCCCCGCCCCCGCCGGCCTCCGGGCCCCGCCCCCGTCCTTGGCCCCGCCCCTCAGCGGCTGTCGGTCCCTCACCAGCTGACGGTCCCTCACCAGCTGACGGTCCCTCTCGAAGCCCGACTCTGGGCCCCGCCTCGCCTCGCCCCAGGCCAGAGCTCACCTGGATCTCCTGACAGGCAGAGACTGCCCTCCGGCCCTCCGCCTGCTTCTCCTCGACCAGGCCCAGCCCCAGCCCGAAAGCCAGAAAGACTGCCCGGCCGCAAGGGCCCGCGCCGCCCCGGGCTCTCAGCACGAACTGCCGCTGGAGCCGCGCCGCCAGCCCGGCCACCGACTGGCGGAAGAAGCGGTAGCGGTCGGGGAGCCCGAGCCTGCGTGGCTCCGCGACGGGCCCCGCGGCCTGGCCCGGGCGCTCTCCGCGGCCCCGGACCGCCGCGGGGCCCGGCCACTCGGGCCGCCCCCAGCCGTAGGCCGGGCCAGGCTTGGCGGTGAAGCGCAGCAGCAGCGCTCGACCCAGCTGCAGGCCTCGGCCCAGCGCCTGTCGCACCGCCATGGTAGCGCCCCAGGCGTCCGAGACGTGGGTCACAACACCACCAAATTTTAGGGGCGGTGCCTCTACGCAGGCGCGGCCGCCGGTGGGCGGGGTCGCCGATCTGACCGTTCCAGCGCTGAACGCGCGAGGGCGTTGCGTGCGCACCTGGCGAAGCGTAGTTTCTTCCCCTTTTGCACTTTGGTCGCAAGGTGGTGGTGTTCTGTGTCAGGAAAGTCCTGAAATGAACGTTGCTGGTACAAGGAAACTAGTATCTATTATCACCCGCCATGCCAGACCCTTTACATCTGCTAACTTATTTAATCCTCCCCCCAACAAGATATGAATATCATTTCGACAGATAAGGAAACAGGCATAAAAAGGTCTGTGACAGAGGTCACAGTGTCAGAGTTGAGGTTAAAGTTCATGGTGTCTTGACTATTGAATTTTCCCCCTCCCCAATGCCCTTAGACTCCTCTCTACAAGCCCATAATCCCTGTTCACTTCTTAGGACCCTAAGAGAAATCTCACCCAAAAGCCACATTTTTCAGATTAGTGAGCTGAGTCTGGAGGCATACAGGGAGTTGCCCAAAGTCATATAGCTTGTTAGTGGCAGAACCCTGGTACCCAAACCAGCTGTTATGAAAGGCTGATAAAGGGGTTCATACTGAGTGATTTCTTTTTTCTTTCTTGCCTTTTTAAAATGGGAATTTTTTAAAGTATATTTTATTGATTATGCTCTTACAGTTGTCCCATTTTTCTCTCTCCTTTTCTCCCTCCACCCAGTACCCCCATTCCCTCCAGCATTCCCCCCCACCTTTGTTCATGTCCATGGGTTATACATATAAGTTCTTCGGCTTCTCCATTTTATATACTACCCTTTACCTCCCCTGTCTATTTTGTACCTACCAATTATGCTTGTTCCCTGTACCTTTTCCCCCATTTGCCCCCTTCCTCCTCCCCACTGATAACCCTCCATGTAATCTCTATTTCTATTATTCTGTTCCTTTTCTAGTTGTTTGCTTAGTTTTAGTTTTTTTAGTTTTGGTTGTTGACAGTTGTGAGTTTGTTGTCATTTTACTGTTCATAGTTTTTGACCTTTTTCTTAGATAAGTCCCTTTAACATTTCATATAATAAGGGCTTGGTGATGATGAATTCCTGCTTTGTTGGAAGGGGCAGAGCCTTAGGTATTCGCCAGGGTGGGGCAACCCAGGTCGGGGCAACCCAGGTCGCTCTGTTGTGACACTGTATGTGGGGGAGGGGTTCAAGAGGGAACAATGCTGCTTGGTTGGCTCCTGGCTGGCTTTCGGTCACTTACCCCGCTACCCACGAGCAAATTGGGACCTTCTGGTGCTGATTCCCAGGTGGGTGGGTTTGTGTACAGTCTAGGACCTTGCGGGTCTCTCCAACAAACTTTCCTGTGAGGCTGGGAATTTCTCCCGCTGCTGCATCCCACACAAATTTTTATAGCCAGAGGTTTTGAGGCTTTCTTTTCTCCACGCTGGAACCCTGGGTTGTGCAGTCTGCCTCACTCCCCAGCTGTTCCTCCTGGTTTATCTGCATGCAAATGTGCGACAGCCCAGTCTCCCTCCCTTTATTCTGATTCTAAAGTAAGCTGTGAAACTGCCATTCTCCAGACCATTTTGTCAACCCACTGAGATTTTGCTTCCAAGCAGTTGTCATTAGTGTGGCTCAGAAAAATTCTCTACAGGTTTGGAAATTTCTTATGCACATAGAAATCAGATATTGTCTTTAATTTTTTTTTATTGATCTCAGATCATTTTAACTTAAAATGCTCTGTTGAAATTGTCCTTTGGAGAAAAATAAGGAAGATAGCAGAAACGTCACGGTCCCGTGACCACAGGCTCACCCATGGAAGTTTAGTTGGGGCAAATGTCTTATTTAAAGTTTATATCTGCTCACCTACTATGTCATTATCATTACAGCTCTTCTCTTTAATGCTCATTGAGGGAACAAGAGATTTTCTGAGATCTTTAGTTCTAAGTACAAGGATTTTCTTCACTCTTCTAGGAATGTAGCATTTTACCATGATGAGTACATGGCTGATGAAGCTTACTCACTAAAGGAAGACTGTATGGGTCGTTTTGAGTTAAGGAGTGTGTTTGTTATCAGCCTTTGGATTTAGTCCTGTAGGGTGCAGATAAACTCACCAGACCTGTGATGCTTAACCCACTGACCTGTGAAACTGAAATCTCCCGACCAATGTTAATTAACCCTCCTTTGTAGGCTGTGTAGTTTCTTGCTCAATAGAGAGCCCTGGACTTTTCGATTAAGATAGCTCTAGACTGGCTCACGTCTCCTTCTGTAGAAAAATCTAAGTTTCTCTGAAAGGTCTGAACCAAGCACAATGTGAAGCTGGATGGACAGGGCAAGCGAGTTCATTTCTACACAGAGAAGCTTCTAGTAGGAATTTCAGGGGTTCTGTGTTCTCCGTTCTCAGGGCAGAGATACAGCCTTATCATAGGAGAACACCCAGCTACCTCTCTTGAGGATTATGGTCCTGATTCCATTTGTCTCCCTCTGTTTTCTGGAGAAGAAAAACTCCATGGTGGCACCAAATCTCAGGTCTCAAGAGATAGTCCTGAGGTTCTTTGATAACATCTTCCATCTCTTCAGTGGTATCTCAAGAAGGGGAAGTCAGGGTATGATGTATGGTTTTCTGCTGAGATATTTGTTTATACTGAAGATTGAATAGTCTATAGGAGAGTCTTGCTCATTCTTAGACCATTATTAAACATCGCTAGGTACCAGGGAGGCTTTGATAGGCTCAGCCACAAGAATTAGAGAATGGTGGGGGGTTGTCGGAGAGACCATGGGGTTCTTCTCTGCTGTATGCTCTGCTCTGTGGGCGCCCTTCTGTCTTCATTATATTCTTTTCTTTCCAAGCAGTAAGACTGTGCAGTTTTTGGTAAGGTACATAATATTCCTAAGGAGCATCATTTAACCTTCCCCCAAAGGACATGGGGGAGGGGGGAAAGCTGATGTTAGTGTAAAAATGGAAAAAGACAAGGAAAAAAAAAACCATCAAGGGCTTTTTGACCTTCTCTCCTGGCACCATTTCAAGACTCTTTGTCTCCTCACGGCAGGGGACAGACACATTTTCCCAGGGCAGCAACATCCCTTATCCACAGCCCATTTCAGAAATGCTATCTCTAAATTGCAAGCAGAGATGGAAGGAGTTTTTGCTAAAACTGTTGACAGAGCAAAGCTGCTGCCAGATGAAAATCCGCCTGCTTGACACTCCTGGGCTGTAGTTTTAGGAAGTTGGGATCAGACAACGGTGAGCAGAGAGTGAGATTTCACTGGGAAGAAGAGTCTCTGTTTCACTCAGACAAGGTGAACACGTGCTGCTAGTGGAGGGGGCAGATGTCATGTTGCTGAGAAATTTGATCTGTAGTTCCTGCAGTCCAGTAAACTGGCTGGCCTGTGGGGATGATTCCGAGCACGAATGTGGCCATGTCACCTGCTTCACAGGCTCTTGGCCCCTGCCCGTTGCCCTCAGGATAAAGCCTACACTCCTTAGCTAGGTACAGAAAGACCGTTGCTATTTGGCCCCAGCATCTTCCTTGCTGTCCACTTTCCCTACCTTTGTGGTCCAGCGATGCTGAGTTACTTACAGTCTTCCCAAGCATCAGGCTGATCCCCTGTCATAAAAGAATCCCCATTCATACTTGAGGTCACCTCCTCCAGGAAGTCTCCTTTGACCTTTCCTAGACTGGGCTAGACATTCCTTCTCTGTCTCCCTCTTTAAACTGCGAGTTCTGTAAGCACAAAGACTGTGATTTCTAAATCTTTGATCTCCTATCTCCCAGCACAGGGTCTTCTGGAACCCAGCCCTTGTTTGAGAGCCATCTGGGAACACAAACCCTTAGTGGGCAGGCTCAGTCCCAAGGAGGAGGAGAGAGAAAGGGGCTGGGCAACCTTTCAAACTCACTTGGCTCACTCCTCCTTCCCAGCAGTGAGCCAGGAGGAGCCAGGAGGAGCCAGAAGGAGCCAGAAGGAGCCAGAGGAAAACCACAGAAATATCGAATAGCTCACCACCCACCCTCAACAGAATCACCTACTGCAATTTACAGGAATTATTGATAAATGAATTTCCTTTCTATGACTTCTTTTTATTCCTTTTTTTCCTAATTTAACCTTTATTGTATTTTTTCCCATTACCATTTAGTCCCCTTATATCCCCTCCCCCCAGCAAAGTCCTTTAAATAAAAGTAATATGTATACATGGTTTAAAAAGCACTAACAATATATACAGACAGGCTCATCATGAAAAGCAACAATCCCCTGTCCTAACTCCTTCTAAGCCAAGATGCAGCAACATTTTACTCCTATAGCTATTTTTCTCCATGGTTTCCTTCAGATCTCTAATATCTCTTGATTTGGCAACCTGAGCTATTTAATGCACAGAGCTGCCCAAGTCACCCCTGCTGCCTGAAACTGACGGCTGCCCGCGGGAATCGGGTCGGCTCCCTAACATGGCTACCCTGCCTGCTTCCTCTAGCCACGCCCCCCAACCCCTCACCCTTCCCTACTTTTCTCTTTGCTTTTCCTCGTCCATGTACATTTTTAATTTTTACATCTGGAGAGCGCCCACCCCCTGGTACTCATGCCTTTGTGCAATCTCCTCCCCTTGACTGTGGGCTGGACCTTAAGGACTTGCTTCTAAGGAATAGAATTTGGCAAAAGTGCTGGGCTGTCACCCTCATAACTAGGTTACCAGGAGACTCTGGCTTTGGTCTCGCTCCCCGTCTCTTGCTCCCCTGCTTGCTTCTTCAGAGGAAAGCCCGCTGCTCTGTGGTAAATTGCTTGATGGAGAGGCCCACATAGCAAGGAACTGAATCCTGCCAACAACCACGCTAGTGAGCTTTGAAGTGGACCTTTCCCCGGTTGAGCCCTCGGATGAGACATTAGCACTGACTGCCACCTTACCTGTAGCCTGGCATAAGACCTTGAGCCAGATGACCCAGCTCTGCCCAGATCCCTGACCTGCAGAACCTGTGAGATAATACATTTCCGTTGTCTCAAGATGCTAAATTTTGGCATAATTTGTTATACAGTGATAGATAATTAAGGCATCGTTATGCCATTTTTTTTTTTCTGTTTGGTCATGGAGTTTTTAATCTGCCCCACCCCCACCACTTTAACTTCCCCTTCCCATACACCTCAAAAGTGAACAGGCTGAGTGTCCTTCCATGCCTGGGTTTGCACTCATATAATCGCATACAAAATATTATGTGTGTGAGATTTACTGGGCCATCCATTACTTATTCTTAAGTTTTTTTAATACTCACCCAATGATATACTTAGAGAGAGGAAGAGAGAGAGAGAGAGAGAGAGAGACATTGGTTGATCGCCTCTTAAACGCATCCCCACCAGGGATCGAACTCACAGCCTGGGTATGTGCTCTGACTGGGGATTGAACCCACACCCTTTTGGTGGACAGGATGATGCTCCAACCAACTGAGCCACCTGGCCAAGGCCCATTCCTTATTCTTGAACAGCATTTTCTGGCTTCATTTCTGACACAGGCACCCAAAGTACCCCTAGTGTCGGTCAGAGTTGTGCCCTCTTGCCTGCCAAAATGAAACCCTAAAGAATCTTGCAGTTTACATAAGTGATCAGCAGCAGCTGGCAAGAGCAGCAGAGATAGGCATGCTTCTTAGTTATTTCCATGGGACTCTGGGACTCAGCCTTAGGGTCCTAAACACCGCAGACAGCCCTGAACAACAGCGCGCATGCTGCTCCCAAACCACAGGTGCTTAGAACAGTGGGCCTGCAAAATGGAAGTGTGTGTTTTACACAAATATCCAGCTTCTCTCCAGCCAAAGGAGTGTTGTTCTTCCAAGTGGACATTATTTAATTACTTTCTGGAATTCTTCTTTGCAAATTGCCCTCCGCATTGTTTCCATGACACACAAGAACACACTGGGCGCAGCCCTTCGGGCCGTCCTCATGCTTTTGCCCTCCCCACGCCCCCTTCCCTAGTGGGTGACCCTCCTTATGCCCTGGCTGGGACGTCCCCTCCTCGGGGCTGCCTTGCCCATTCTTAGACAAGCTCCACTCCCTGTTCCCACCTTTTTCCCCTCGAGTGACACTTGTCATGGAGGTCTAGAATCCTTTCGCTCTCCTCTCCCGCAGGCTGACCGAGAGCCCTGTGAGGACAGGGGTTTTGTCTTTCTCGCCGCTGCCACATCCCCGGGGTTTGGCCCCAGCGCTGGAACAGAGTACGCACTCAATAAACACTTGTTAAATGGATGAATGGATGGGCTCTAAAAGACCGTTGCCTGTTTGCAAAAATCAAATCCATGTTTAAAGGACCAAAAGTTGCCACCCTGAACAGCCGGCACGTATCAAGAGCTTACTGCCAGTAGTGCAGTATTCCACGCGACCCCCACAGCGACTCCACGGGGTGGACACCCTCATCCCGTTTTACAGATGATAACATTGGGTCTCAGAGTCATGAAGCAACTGGCCCGAAGTCACACAGCTAGAAGGCTGTCCAGCTCCAAAGTTTAAATCTTTCACCATGATGCAATACCATTTTTTCCTTATTACATGTAAAAGAGTTTTGGAAGTTTGAAAAATATAGATACGTACAAAGAAAAAAAAGTACTAAAAAATTAGTAAAAAATCCCCACTGAGCAGGATTTTACCTGATGTTAACCTTCTGGCCTCTTTAATTCCAGCATTACCTTTTCTTCTCCCCGCCGCCCGCCCCAGAGTAAGAACATGCAGCAGCAGAGTGTGCTGAAGACCCCGGCCGCCCAACAACCATTTCTGAGGAAAGGCAGAGCGGAGTTTTGCACCTCGCCAGGCGCAGCAGGTCGGCCTGCATGTGCTGTGGAGAAGCCGGTGTCCCCAGACCGCGGCACCTGCAGATGCTCTGGATTCTGTTCTTATCCTGGTTCCGGGGCTGGCCCCGAGGCCATGTCCTCCAGGGCGGATGCCCAGAGCTGTCACCCTCTTCAGCGGGCCTGCCTGGGTCCTTCCCTTATTCAGTCTTCACTTTCCTAACTGTGTGTGAGTGTGAATGTGTTAGAACCAATGCACTGATGGGACAGACAGTCCCCTCCTGGCTCTCCTCACACCCCGGAAGGTGGCATGGCCCCCACTGTACCTACCTTATACTCAGGACCTGCCTGGGTCACAGTATTTTTGTGCGGTAGGTCTGTTTGCACCTCTTTCTCCCTGTCAGACTGCAAGTCCCTCAAGGACAGAGATGCCTTTCTTTCTGTAGAATTTGCCACATAAATGATTCTCAGGTAACTAAAGGCTGCCAGACATTCGCCGTAGGAGACTGGAAAAAAAAAGGTTCAAATTCCAGTCTGCCATGTTCTAGCTGTGCAGCTTTGGGCAAGCGACTTAACCTTTCTGGGCTTCGATTTATCCATTGGTAAAGTGAGGGCAATGTACTCTGAGCCTGAGAAGTGAGGACTAAATGGGTTCATATATGTTGAACAGCTCAGCACAGTGCCCAGCAAAGGGCATGCACTGTTTCTAGACCACAGTGGGAGTGACGGGACCTGGATTCCAGTCTGCCTTTGCCACAACCCTAGAGCACGTTACCTGACCCCACTGAAGCCCAGCCTGGTCATCTGTGAGAAGGAGGAGCCCAAAGCAGACATGAGACATGGCCGCCAACAGGCCCAGCCCTGGGGGGCCACCCGTCTGGAGAACACAGGGCAAGAAGCCTAAACACATTCTCTCTCCGCACCGATGGGCACACAGTGCCAAGGGGCCCATTTCCTCTCCCAGCAGAAAGCACCCAGGTCTTTCTATAAAGACAAATCACCCTGTCCTTCCTAGGAGCTGCGAGCAATGATGGAGACAGAGCAAAACGTGCCTTTCCGTGTCAGGATGTGCTGTGATGTTTATAATTAGAAAAGTCACTTGAACAGGATAGAACCTCAGGAAGGCTAGTGGGGAAGCATTCCAGACTTGGCTGGAATTTGAAGGTGGGCCCGCAGGAAGGAAAGGAGGGAATGGGGTGCTCGCGTCTGCAGAGGACAGGATGGGTGACCGGAGGAGTTATGGCACAGGCTGGTGTGAGATGGCAGTGCGTGAATGTCATTTGGAAAAGTCATCTTTGCCCAGCCCCTGTGGGGTTGGGGCTCAGCGGGAGGTGACCCAGGTTTGTGAGAACGTCTTCATGAAGTTCTCCGGGCAGCTGTCCCCTGAAGCCCTTGTGGGGACCCAGCTTTCCCAGGCAGTAGGCATTCTTCACTTTATCTTCTGCAGGTCCTTGGGCCCAAAGGAGGCAGGCAGCAGCTCCTGGACCGTGCGGAGGAGATACGTGCCATCTGGCTTGGTCATGTAGACATCCCAGTTGGTGCCAAACTGGAAAGGAGACAAAGCTAGCGTGAGGGAGGCAGCGTGGCAGAGGGGCTAGGACAGACCTGCGTTTGAGTCTGTACCTCTCCTGCTATGACAAAGAACAGCTAATACCTGCTTCCCTTCCTTACGGCATCTCGTTTAGCCTCAAAGCCAGGAGAAATTGCACGCCTGCTTCCTTGCACACCAGATAGTGCACCTGCATGATTTCATTGTCTAGCCTTTGATGTACGTGCTGTTATTATCCCCATTTTACTGATGAGAAAACTGAGGTTTTGCTGGGTAACATCAGCAAAGCAGGATCTTAGCCCAAATCTATCTCCCCATCTTTCTCTTACACTATCAGGAGCTACCACTTGCTTGCTGTGTGGCCTTGCGCAAATGACTACCATTTTTGGGTCTGGGTATCTTCACCTGTGAAATGGTTTCAGAGACAGAATGTACTAGGCAGGAAGGAAGACAGGGGGAGAGTTAAATCAGCCGTGGAAAAACGGAAAGCGTCCTGTAGTCGGAATCGATGGACCAAGGCTCTACCTGGCCAGGTGCTGTGAGAATCACAGATGATGGGCGTAAAGTGCCTGTATGCAGTGCCTGTATACAGTGCCTGGCACATGGTAAATGCTCAGTTATCGGAAGCCAGTCCTATATTGGTTGCTAGCAGTTGCTCGGGTGTGCAGCCTGCTTGCTGTTTGCACGCTTCTGCCTGTCTCCAAGTCATTACCAGGCACAATCAGTCTTCTGCTTTTTTAAAATTAGTGTCCTTGGCAGGCTCTGCCTGAGGGGAGGGATGAAAGTTTGGTGGGTCTTATGGATGAAAGTTGAGTGAGTTTAAGTGCCAGGCCCCTGGCCCCCAAGCTTCATCTCTCGTTATTAGCACTTTCCTTTCAGTTTTGCCTGTCCCCACAGGAGCCTTTTCATTTGCCTTCTCTCATTTGCCAACATCTAATCTTTTGGGAGAAAACAGCAATGAGCAACTGGACCAAGTCAGGCTGTAGGAGCCAGGGAGCTGACGTCCTGATGTGGTTTCCTTATATGGCCTTGGACTTGGCGTAGAGCTGGGCAATGATCTCTGTCCCTCTAACGTAAGATGGAGTCCAAATTTTGAAGCCAGTGCCTTCCTTGTGGCGTTCTGCATCTAGATTTGGGAAGCGGGTTCTGCTAACTGCCTGGACTGAGGCAAGAAGCTGGAGCTTGCATGTTCAACAGACACTTTGGAACCCGAAGGCACAAAAACAAAATGGAAACAACCCCATCTCCCCGCAGATTTAAACAGCCTCAATAGCAGAAGTCTTGGTGGAAAAGCAGCTCCTTTTCTGCAAAGCACTATTATGTCTCGTCCATGGCTGAAATGACTTTGTCCCATTTATAGAACCGTAAAGGCAGGGCGTCAGCCGTGTGGGGCAGGCTTTGCTGTGAGCCTGAGCCGGCTGTGACTGCCAGCTCCCCACTGCTCCGCTGCGTCCTTCGCAAGGTCATGTCACTTCTCTGAGGAATGGGGATAAGGACCCACATGTCCCTCCTAGGCTGTGGGTGGCGTGGGGAGGAGAAGGGATGCTGTGTGTTTAGGGGGGCTGATGATGTCACATCGGAGCTCAGGGGCCTGTGGGATTCTTTAAGCTGGTGGCTTTAACCTCTTGGGACTCGGGAGAACACAGATCTCTTTCAGAGCCCACGGAAGCTCCTGAACATCTGTCTCCCCCAAGTGCACATGTACACATTGGAAACTCCCGCTGAGTCCAGATTAAGAACCCATCCCTTTGTTTCTAGAGCTGGAAAAATCCAGGCCTTCCCTCAAGACAATCTTTGTAAAAAGCACACCAGGTCTCTTCAATCCCTTCTTAAAAACATCCAATGAATTCCCTGATTCTTTCCTTTCCAACTTTTGTTTTAATGGCCTAAGATACACATAGCGTAAGATGGATCACTTTATCCATTTTAAAGCTTACAGTTCAGTTCCCTTTATTCTTGGGATAAAATATACCCTCCATCCCACGGCCTAGAAGGCCCTGTGTGATCTGGCCCTGCCCATTTCTGACTTCACGCCCCATCACTCACTTCCCCCTCATTCGCTGTGCTCCAGCCTCCTTGACTTTCTTGTGATTTGTCAAACTCCCCAAGTGCATGGGCATTAATCTTGCTGGGTCCTCCTCCTGGAAATCTTCTCTAGGTCTCTGTCTGCTTTGTCTTTTCTCATTATTTATATCCCCACTCAAATGTCATCTTCAAAGAAAGGCCCTTCCCAGTCATCTAGAGCAGGAGATGGCAGACTTTTATCTATAAAGGGCCAGACAGTAAATATTTTACGTCTTGTGGGCCATGAGATCTATGTTGTAATGGCTCTTCTCTGCTGTGATCGGGCCAAAGCAGCCACAGACACTATGTGAATCAACAGGGAGAGGCTGCGTGCCAATAAACCTTTAACAGCTGTTTAATAGAATAAATACCTGCAGGCTGGATCTGCCCATGGGCTATTGTTTGCTGACCTCTGACCCTGATCGAGAGTATTACCTGCTGCTCCTTCTGTCACTCATGACTCCTTTTTCTGCATTCTTTTTTCCATAGCCCTTCTCACTCTCAGAAACTCTACTGTTTATTTGTTTTGCTCCTTCTTTATTGCTTTTCTCCTGCGCTAGACTATATATTCTGTGAGGGCAGGGCCTGGCCTACCTCTTCACAGCTATCTCCCCAGAATGACGGGGCACTCAGTAAATATTTTTTGAATGAAAGAACAATTTCCAGTGACTCATGCAAGCTTGGGAAGGCCTTTGACATCACCCAGACAAGCAAACAGGATGGTAGCTGTGGTTTCCGCTTCATGGTTTTGCCCACATGGCCTGCGGAAAGCAGGGAGGCATCCAGTCTACATCCCCAAAAAAAGAGCTGCTTACCTCTCTCATGACTTGCCTGCAGGCCCCACATGGCGAAATAAAATCATCTTGCAAGTCACTGGGGAAGTAGAGAATCAAACAAGGATCAGTGTTTCATGAGAAACGAGGACCGCTGCTGAGTCACAGACGCACCCTGCCCTAGAGGCTGAGACGTGGTGCTTGGTGGCTTTTCATACTTGCAAGAGGCAAGGCCACGGGCAGGACCATTTTTTAAAAAACATTTTTTAATTTTTTGGTATTTGTTCCCTTACCATGTATCCCCCCTACCTTCTTCCACCTCCACCCACCCCCGCCCCACCGAGAACCATTACTTTTACTAGTGCATTTAACAAACATTTAGTGAGCACTTACTGTCACCGCACCCTAGGAACACAAAGGTTAAGGAAAATTTGTCTCTGGCCTTCAAGAGATTGCTCAGCCTGATGCGTGACATAGAAAACGGTCATTTTAAGCAAACTGCAGTAAGAAAGCATGGTAAGAGGAAGACAATCTCTGCCTATGGAGTGAGAATATTTTACAGAGGAGGTGGCATTTGGCCTGGTCCTTGGAGAAAGTGTGGAGTTCATAAGTCACCATTAGTGAACACCTACTATGCTCTGTATCAGGCATGCAAAATAATTATTTCATTTAATTCTTGGTACAGCCTGAGTGTCAGAATTTTACCTGCAAGGAAAGAGGTTCAGTGAGATCGAGTAACAGAGGTGTTCCTCTGAAGCTCTGGTTTTCCTATATTGCAGGCCAAGAAAATAATATGTGCAAAGGCCCTGAGGCATAAAAGAGTAAAATGCATGTGAGTCAAAGAGAAAATTGGGCTCCTTGCATTTGAGAAAGTCTGGAGAAGAGAAGCTTACAGACAAGGTGTTGTCTCTCAGGATTAAGGCACCTACGGGCAGTCCCCCAGCTCTGAGCAGTACAAAGGATGGTGCTCACAGAAAGTGGATTTAACTGGAGGAAACTCCAAGCCTGCTGGAGGCCCAGAGGTTCAACCAGCAGCCACTGTCATCCCTGCTTTTCCGGACCCACAGCTCTGTGATGTCCCTGGCAGGTGACAGGATTCCAAAGTTGGTTCTTGGTCAGCTCCTCCTTTGGCTAACTACATGTGACTGACCAAATTATTGTAACCCATGCACAGCTCGCTTCTTTGCCTGTAAAACTGGGGGATTAACGTCATCCACGTTGTAGGAATGCTAAAAGATAAAAAGAGATAAGGTGCGTGAAGGACTTTGGAAACTTTAGGATGTTATGCACATGTTGATGTTGCCTATACTAATTAACAGTCATGTGTCCCTTTAAGCTCCGTCATAATTTCAGTACCTTATCATATGCAGTTTTATTATATACTGTGTGCTCTATATTCTAGTTTATAATTAATTTATCTTATGATATATTAATAATAACTATCATATTGTTTAATATATGTCCAGAATGTGCCAGGCACCCTGCAAAGCACTTTATTTGCATTATTTCATTTTAATCAACAAACATTTATTGAGCACCTACAAAGGCCATGCACTGTCATTGCTGAGGATATAGCAGTGAACAAAACGGGCAAAATGCATTGCACAATGGAGTTTTTGACTAGTGAGGGGGGCCAGACAACCAACCAGCCAAGAAGCCAGCCAGTCAGCAAACCAATCAGCCAATCAGCCAACCAGTCAACCAACTAGCCAGCAAGCCAACCAATCAACCAACCAACCAACCAACCAACCAACCAACCAACCAACGTGTATCAAATGGAGCTACAGATGCCATGAATTGAATAAAGCAGCTAAGAGGAGAGAGAATGGTGGCTTGCTGCTTTATTTAATCCGCACGATAACTCCCTTTTATATGTGAAGATTCAGTTAAAGAAAGATTCTACTCCATGGAAAGGTGGGTCCTGTCTAAGCACACTCCCTCCCAGCTTCAGAAAAAAAGCGCATAGGAATGTGTGTGGGGGGGGTCCTGCCCAGGATGCGCACTAAGCCACACAACCCTTGTGACTACCAGGTGATGGGTGTTGCAGCTGGAGCCCCTTCGAGTCTTGGAGGTTGGACTCTCGCTAATTTTTTCTTTGTTCCACACATGTTGACCTAGAGTCTGCTCTGTGCTAAGCAGGCACGGGGGAGGGGCAACAAGGACCGATGGGAGAATCCCTGTCTTCAGGGGTCTTACCATCTGGAAAGGGAGCTAAATCTGCCTGTAAAGGCCGTAACATGGGCAGACTGGTTAGGGCCGTGGGAGAGGTGCTCTGAGTGAAATTCGGCTTCCCTCCCTTGGCCTGTAAGGCCCTGTATGATCTGGCCTCTGCTAAGCTCACCACTTCTTCTCCCAACCTGGTGACATGCATGGCCAACTGTCCGATGGACAGCCTGTTGGACAAGGTGACCCGCATTAGGGTTTTCAAGGCGGCGGGGTAAACGTGAGTTCCACTGGGAAGCTGGGATTGGCCTAGCGTTCAAAAATCACTAGATGGTGCACCCAGGCAGCACATTCCTGAGAAATGGGAGACAGCATGATGGTAATAACGGCTTACACTTAACACCGCAAATCTCTGTGCCAGGCACTGCGTTGAGGGCCTTATGTGCATTAACTCATTGGATCCCCCAGCAATCTTATAATATAGGGACTCTGTAGGTACTTTTATTATCCACATGTTACAGATCATGAAAGGTGATGTGACCTGCCCAAGGTCACAGTGCTGGTAAGGGGCAGACCCAGGACTTGAACCAGGACCTGTGGACTCTGCCTGTGGTAGTTTTGTAGCTTGCAGAAGGAATAATGATCACGTTCAAACAAGTTTTAATTTATTGCATACTCTGTGCCAGGAACTTTATGGAAGTCACTCCGAGTCCTCAGGAAATAGGTAGGTGTTACTCTCCTCCACTTTATAGATGAGGAGCCGGGCTCAGGTTGCTGAAACGACATGCCTGAAGCTGCTAATGGAGTTGCATTTGAGACCAGGTCTCAGTAACGCCCAAGCTCCGGCCTTTAACCATTATTCAACATTCCTGCCAAGAGTAAGAAAAACTTAAAAGAATATACATCCCAGAATGAGCTGGGTGCCTTGGAACATTTATTCCTAGCTTTTCCAAACTCCTTCTTCCTCTCCTGCCTGTGCTGGTATGAAGAGTTCCCTGTGGTTTGCGCTGGCCTTCGTCACACACTGAGGCCACGCTTATCAGACCTGACAGGCTGGGAACTTACTGACTTTGATGACTACAGCTAGGACCCCAGTGGGACCGGCTTATCTCCCCATTAGCAAAATCCCATTCTGGGCTCTGCACTCTCTAGCTTACAGATCCCGAAGGGGCTTTCCTAGACTGTTCACACTCAGCGTTAACAAGGAAGCTGGCACTTTCCATTCATTCTCTAAACCCATGCCCTCAATTTAACAAATCATTAATGTAATAATGACTGTATTTCTAGCTCAGGGAAGCTGGTGCAGGCTGAATACCCGGAGTAGAGCAGTTGGGTGCTAGAAAAATACAGGTTTTATGTGAATAAGGACATTTACTCATCGGTAGCTAGCAATACGCAGTCATGTTTAAAAGCAGATAATGACCAAAAGAAAATGCCTTTCATTGGGAACATTCTAAACAGAGCAAGGCTACCATGCTATTAACCTTTTGTTGACTTTGGCCTCTTTTTCCCCAGAATATCATTAGTTTCTTGGGTCAGCTTTGAAATTGAGTTATTTTCCTCCTTTTTAAAAAAAAAAAAACAAAACATATACTTCATATTCTGTTCATCTGCACAAAATGTTCCCAGTGCAGCCTCATTTATTCCTCCCGGAGCCGAGGGGAGCCAGGAGAAACCTCGGTCCCAGGGTGGCTCTGGGAAGTGGGGCCCTTCTCCATCCGTGGCTCCCGTTACTCAGGAGGAAAAGCTTCAATAACCTGGTTCACCTTGGGGCCAGACCGAGGCCAAGTTTAGGATCTTATAAAAGAAATGGGGGTTTGTTTCTGTCATACGTCCACCACTGTCCTTGCTCTAGGTCCTTACGTTTCTGCCGGAAAGGTCCAGCAGCTTCGCCATGAGGAAGGGATAATTCATCCCCACTGCATGACCCGTGCAGCCAGACATCCCAAAGGACCAGCACTTGGTCTGCCATGCAGTCTCTCTCCCATGTCATTGCCCCTGCACCATTAATTTGCTAAGAAAATTCTCTCTCATAGACAGTGCAAAGGTACACACATGAGCAATTTGCCGTTAAATCAGAAGAATAATGGGGTCCAAATCAATCAAAGAGCCAGTCACGTGCTCAAATTCCAAAACCATGAGTTCGGGTCCAGGGCTGACAAGAGCTCAATGAGCTCCGGGAGCGTGGATATGTGTGTTTAGGGCATGTAGAGGGTGTTGGTTAGCGCTCTTGTTCCGCCAGAATCTGCACAAGGATCTCGTGAGTTGAAATAATAGCCAGGTATACCTGGCTGTCATCCCACCAGGTTGTTTTGTATTCTGGTTGTTGGCACTCAGAGGTGAGTGCTGTCAAGTGTAGGAGTCAACCTGCATAGTGATGGATCCCACTGTCAGCTCAAGGAGGGCAGGGAAGAGTGTTTGATTTCCTGGCACAGTGTGGCACAAGGAATGAGCCCTGGGGTGAGACCCTAGAGATCTGGTTTTGTCCTGGCTCCGCCACTAACGCCGAGGAAAGTTGTTCAGCCTCTCTGGGCCTCAGTTCCTTCAACTGTAAAATGGAGGTAGAGACCAGGGAGTCTAGGTGGCCAGGAAATTTTTAGGTTCCTCCAGTGTTAGGTTTCTATGCTGCTTTTCTTTTGCATCTTGGAAGGATCCTGTTGCATTTTGTGCTGTTGTTGGAACTCAAAGCACCTGCCCTTGTCTTAGAGTTGCCTTGGTTCTATATCTGCTCTGTAGGCTCACCAAGGGCAAAGTCCATTTCTTATTTACCTCCTTATCCCCAGCAGTCAGCCCAGAGTCCTCTACAGTGCCTGGCACATAGGAAGTATAGAATAAACATGTTAGATGAGTGAATGAACATGTGCACAGTGGACGACGGCTGAGCAGATGCATGAATATAGCTGTGACACGGTTTCCCCACTCACCTGGCAATAGCAATGGCCCTGAATTCTTTGTACCCTTCTGAGACGGCCTTCTGGATAGCAGTCCGTTCTGCACAGATGCCCAGCGGGTAGCAGGCGTTTTCTACGTTGCATCCTGAGCAGAAAGGAGAACACAGTGGTATTTCCAGCAGAATCACTTCCTTATTACATGTGCTGAGTAAGAGGCTTGCCCCATTCCGGTGCGGGGAAGGATGTATAACTAGGAATGAGGTGGGGAGGAGAGGGTAATTTGACCCAAACCATTGGGAAATTCTGTGACCCGCTGTGTCACGGTGGCCCTCCCCAAGAACCTCTCATTTTCATCACTTACCCAATGCCCCCATCTTTTTTTTTTTTTAAAGATTTTATTTATTTATTTTTAGAGAGAGGGGAAGGAGAGGGGGAGAGAAACATCAATGTATGGTTGTCCCTTGTGTGCCCTGCACTGGGGGCCTGGCCCAGAGCCAAGGCACGTGCCCTGACTGGGAATTGAACCAGCGACCCTTTGGTTTGCAGCTGGGGCTCAGTTCACTGAGACACACCAGCCAGAGCCCAATGCCCCCATCTTGAAGCACGGCCTAGGAGTGGGGCAGGAAAACAGGGCAGATTAACCCAGCCCCATCTCCCCAGCAGAGGTCAAGGCCAAGGGAGATGCTGAGGCGTCAGAAGGGGAGCACAGCCCCAAGCCCTGGATCTAAGAGACGGAAGCCATGGCGGTGGGGCTATGGGAGTGGCAGACAGGGCCTCTGATTCAAAGGTTGTGCCTGTGCAACACTATTGTTGCTGGTTACCAGCCATCAGGGTTCAGCCAAGGTTCTCTGTGAGCAGTGTCGCAAAACAAACTGTCAGCACCAGCAAACTTACAAAATACTGGCAAGCTGTGTACAATGTGTGTCTGCGAGTGCACAAGCCTAAAAGCAACCTCCAGTTGTCCAGTGGGAGGAGGCGCACTAAGGTGGCACAGCCCACCGGAAGAGAGTTTTCCCTACCATTCTTCTCATGGGTGTCCCTGGTCAATGGGGGACAATGGAGAAGGACAATGGACAAAACAATGGTGTAGCCAGGCTGGCTGGCTAAGAAACTCCCCATTTCAAGGAAGCTGCGAGACCACAAACAAATGGCACAGAGACGGGGCCTTCCTGACCCTCAGGACGTATCACTCTCCATAGCTTGCTTTTCTCCTGGAGTCAGGGATATTGTTCCCCAGTATTCATTTCTCCTTTCTCCCTTTAAGTAATACAAATGATTCCCATTCCAATATAGTGGAGACTGTGTTTTATAGACTCCCTTGTATTGTAGTGTTACCATGTGACAAAGTTTTGGCTAGTGAGATGTGGCCCAAAGGGAGTAGGAAACATCTGGATCACTTTTGTTTTGTAAGGAGATTGCTTGTCCTTTATTTTGTTTTCTTCTCCACAGGCTGGGATGGGGTGGGACACCTGTGACCACGTGGCTTATTGCTATAGGGATGGAAAAACAAACACCGAAGGAATTTGGAGCAGAGTTGAGTTGCCTATTTGCCCTGGACCAACTGCATATTCTGAATTTTTACCTGAGAGAAAGATTTCTGTCGTGTTTGAGTCATTGTATTTTGGGATTTTTTTTATAGCAGCTTAACCTATACTTAACTAATACAGAAATTTATGTTGAAAGTGAGATGCAGCTGTAACAACAACAACAACAAAAACCCTAAAACATGTGGCTTTGGCCTAGCAGGCGGGCAGCATGAAACAGCTACAGACACAGCAAGGTGGAAAGCTGGTGCCCTGGCTCCTCTGTGACATGTCATTTGTGAAACCCCACCCTGCAATATGCTGGAAGGCAGAAAATGTAATCTACCACCAAGGTTTCTCCACTTGGCAACGGGAGTCAGCCCTGTGGCAAAGGTGTCTGATTAAGGGGGTCAACTTCTCATCTGCTTTGGGCGCCTCAAGGTAGCCACCACGAAAATGAGGCAGCAGGGATGGGCCAGGCAGGGAAACCAGTCAGTAAAAGAAATGGCTGGCAACTTAAGGACTATGCCCAGAAAGGACCCTTGGGTATGATTGTACTGTATGAAGGTGACTGGAAGCAAACAGACCAGAAGGTTTCTAAATTTTTAATAGACTTGGATAGTCAAAGAAGCCAAAAGGCTGGTCTCCAAAAAGCCTGTGATTATTCATCCCTTACTGCCCCCTCAGCCTGGTCCCTCCTACTCCCCCCTCAGAAGCAAGCTGAGAGCTGTATGACCCCGAGGCGGACATTCTCTCCCACACCCATTTCACATGCATGGCCAAGAGTGATAATGGTCAAGGAAGAAGCTCCCTGAGGGCCACAGGGGGTCCTGTGGCAAAGATTGTTCCTAGTGTTCACTCTCCAATAGAATCCACTGGAGTTTAGCTGGGCACGTGGTTACCCAGCTGGGGACTACATTTCCCAGCCTCCCTGGAAGCCTCATGTAGTCCTGCAGTTTTAGCCAATGGGGTGTGAGCGGAAGTAATGGGTGTGATGTAAAGATGACATTTTTATGGGAACGTTCCTTGCCCCCCACTTCCTCTTTCCCTTTCCCTGGGACTGGAAGGTGGATGTGATGGGGTGGGCCAGTTTTGAACATGTGGATTAAGACACCGCTCGGGGGACAGCAGGACAACGAGACAGGAAGGAATCTTGCAGAGCAGAGCAGTTCAAACGCTCTGGGCTCTAGCCCACCCCTGGTCTGCTACCCGAGAGAGAAATAAGCAGCCATCTTGTTCTAGTCCCTGCTTATTCTGTTCCGTATCTACCACGCTCCCTTTTCCTAAGTCTGAGTCTTCATTGTGATTATGCAGCATTTTGTTCCTACTGTAGTCAACAAATTTGCAAATTAGCTGGCCATTATCTCTTCATATATTTTCCTCACATAGTTTCCTGTCTCTTCATTATTTACACTGACAAGTTAGGAGGAGTTAAATTAATCACTTAAACCTTTAATTATTATCATGATTCTCAGGATCACAGGCATTCACGTCCAATTGATGGGGAGGAATGGCTGTCAGTAGACAGCCTGCTCCCCGGGCGGGGGGGGGCCTTGGCAGCAAGTCCCCTGCTGGGCTGAGGGTGAGTGTTCACTGACAGTTGTGTCGGGAATGGCTGTGTGGTGTTAGGTGGGGACAGGTTTGGAATCCTCCCTTTGGGAAAAAGGCAGACAGGCACACTGGTCACCAAAGGGTAAGCTATAGTGAGACTCTATTATTTTGACAGTCTAGCACCTCTTCCTCCTTTTTTTCCTGGGGAAGGACCCTCACTTCATTCCCTAGCATGGAGTTCCAATGGAAGCTGCCATCTTTTCTCACATGACCTTTTTATTAGTCTAAGGATGAGCACCTGAGCCACACGGGGCCAATCAAAGCTCTTTTCTGAAACTAGGAGTGTGAGCCTGGGCCCTGAGGACCGTCCGGCTTCCATTCATTATGGAGCATTCAGTGAAGTGGATGCTCAGACAAACGGATGAGAGATGAGATGGGAGATGACTACAAAAGAGTCCGGCTTGGTGTGTGTTGTCCCTGAGGTCCGGCTACATTCCAACTCTTTCCACAGGTCATAGGAGCCAATGCGCCCTCCTTTTGTCTAAAATAGTTTATGTGCATTTCTATCATTTGCAACCATATAGAAATCAGTGAATACAGTCGGGATATGGGATAGGAAGTGATCAGGGAGTTGCAACCCTGAAAGCAGTGGTTAACATTTATTGAACACTTACTTCGGCCCAGCATTTGTTCATATTCACTTGTGAGTTACTGTAGCTGGGATAGCAGGCACTATATTGCTCAGCTTCTCAGCTAGGTCAGTGAAAGTTAGCCCTGGCTGGTCTGGCTCAGTGAATTGAGTGCTGGCCTGCGAACTGAAGGGTTGCTGGTTCGATTCCCTGTCAGGGCACATGCCTGGGTTCCAGGTCAGGTCCCCAGTTGGGAGTGCGAGAGAGGCAACTGATTGATATATCTCTCGCATATCGATGTTTCTCTCCCTCTTTCTCTAAAAATAAATAAATAAATAAATAGGAAAAAAAGTTAAATACTCTCTTGTACACTCTGGCCTGCCCATCCATTCCCACCCTTCCCAACTTTGCTGACCTTTGACATCACTGCATTTGACTTACGCCTCCCCAAATTAAGATCCCCGCCAGCCTGCCTAGCCTCCTGGCCCTGCCTCATCCCTGACTCAGGGAGACTTTCTCTATTGGGGTTGGAAGATGTGCAGTTAAAGCAAATGGACAGATTGCAGAAGGTCCGGTGTCTCAGGACAATTGCTCGTGTCTGTGCGTGATGCTCAGAATGCCCTCATATGGAGGAATGTTCCTCCACCGTGTGTAAAAACTGCAATGGGCCAGTTAAGGAGAGAGAGGTTGTTTTAGAAGGGAGTACTCACGTACCTCACTGCTCAAACAGAGCTGTGTAGTAAGAACCCCTAGGTTCCGTTTTGCCCTGGGACCCTGTGTCCTACTGGCTCTGAGAATATGGAAAACAGTCTGAACCTCCTTGAGACTCAGTGTCCTCATTTATAAAATGATAAAGACAGTGCCTTCCTCATAGGCCTCTAATGAAAATGAGCTGAGATCATGCATGTAAAGCACCTGGCATAAAGCGTGCACAGAGTAGGGGGTGGCAGCTGCTAGCTGCTGTTATGAACTGTGTGGAAGCCAAGATTTTGGTGGTGGTAGGCCTGTGTTCTTGAGCTTTTGCTTCTTTTAGACCACATGTGACAGTGACTCTGTTTCTGTACTTCGGGAGCTTTGCAATCTTTTCTATGATAACAAGGCTGTATGTAATCCGCTGCCACCCTGCCTACTTCTTAGACCTCATCTCCTTTTGCTCTCTAGGCCGATTGGCTTTACAGCTGTTCCCCAAGGGTGCCAGGTCCTCTCCTGCAACAGGGCCTGTGCACCGGCTGTCCCCGCTGCCTGAAACTCTTCTCTCTTTGCGCAGTGCTCTCCTTACTCTGCTCAGATGACACCTCCTCAGAGAAGCCTTCCTTGATCAGCCTATCTAAAACTGCTTCCTGCCCTCACTTCCTCCAATCCTCTCAAACCCTTTACCGGGCTTTAGTTTTCTCCGCAGGAGGTAACACTTCCCTGAAATGGAAGTCATTATTGTTATGTAA